GTGCATTCCCTCTTTATTTCTTGTCTCGGTTATTGAGTTTTTCGTCTTATCTCTTTTTTCTCTTATTTGTAACTTGTAAGTGTATCTTTGGTTATTCTCTGACAGTATAAACCATGAGCATTAGCTAATCAACTTGGGATGTGGATACTGTCAGAATTTCTTTTTTCTTCTTAGAATCCCATCTCCATTGTTGAATAAAATAATAAATGATTCAAATTTAATATTTTAAAAAGCAAATGTTCACTTTCTCTCTCCTATTTATGTAATGTTATAATAATAGTTTTACAAAATATGAAATTTGAATTATTTATTATTTGATCCAACAATAAAATAAGATTATAGAAAGAGAGAGAGAGAGAAGGATTTTGAAAAGAATCCAACCCATTAACTTGTGGACCTCGAATAAATGTTTGTTGCGCGTCCAACTATGGCATAATTCGGTACGCACTTCCATTTCATTATCTATTTTTCACGCTCACAGATAGCGAATGTAGCGTAGTTTATTTGCAACATGCTGCTCTGCTCGCGTACATATTAATCACGTTGATGCAAATTCATGATCTTAGAAAAGTAGTCACTTCATGCAAAAAAAAAAAAAAATGGAGCATCAGTTAACTTTTCAAGAGTATCACTCTTGTTGTTCAGTTTTCATATCCTCATGGCATTGATATGATTTTTTTTTGGGGGAATAATTCAAGATTTAAATAACGAGTTCACACTCACCTACTATATATATCCCAGTATTTCATCAAGCCTTTGTCAAAATCGCTATTATTGCCAAGGCAGCTTTCTACTTCCACCACCATTATTTCACAATGTTTATTGTGAATGCTTCTCACCCTTTTCTATCTGAACATGGCTCCCATCTTTGGGCACTAAACTTCATACTCATTTGTTTGTCTGTGTGGAAGACACATTGGAATATTATCGCCGAAGCAAACTCGGTGCACTAATTTTTCTCCTTTCTTGCAGTTGAGGCAACAATATACGCCTGAATGGTGTTGCTCTGCAATTATTTGATGCTCCAAATCGAGCATTGTTGCTTGATGAGCTTGTTGGGAAAGTCGAGATTATGACATAATTGCGTTAAACTGACATAATTACGACGTCACATTATCGAAGAGTTTCTGTGTTTTGTGTGTGTAATGGGTCCACGAGAATCGCTATTTGGTGGTATACGCTACAGGGGGATGACAAATTTGGAGCTGCTTTTCCCAGGCAAGCGACGAAAAAAGGATAAGCTTCTTATTATGACATGATGGGCGAAAAAAGGATTTATTAGTGTGTTGGTAATGTGAAATAGCGGGGAAAACCACTCTAGTAGTCGTATATAGCGATATAGTGCTACTAAGCTAATTAGGATAAGCTCCCTCTATATCACAGAGTTTGCGATTTATCAAGTGCCCCCGCCTACATTATTTTTCCTTGCAACGGCTTTGGAGGCAGGGTAGCCAAAAAAAAAAAAAAAGAGGCAAAAACTAGCTAAACTAGATGAACTGTCCTCAAGATTCGAAAGTGGCTCAGAAAAGAAAAAAATCACAGGTACTAAATGTGGACACATTTTCTAACAGGGATTTGAACCTTAATTTATCATATTATGAAAAATTGATTTCTTTTACTAAATCTAACTTCTATTAGTTATCGAATGCAGCTTTTTTTTTTGGTATACAAATTTTAGACAAGGGTTCGGGCTCAACCCAAACTAAGGGCAGGGCACTTGAATGATTCCTCCTAAGTGATACTAATATTAGGTAGGATGAACCTACATCATATCCTCAGGTGTTAACCTATGCATCTTCATTTTAGGATGCCTCCTCAAGTGCCATGACAGAAAATTGAGCCCCCTTACCTGTAGGTGAGAGGGTGAAATTCCTACCGTTGAACCCATGGACGATGGGTAATACATCTTTTAAAATAGGGAGAATCACAATGAGGTCCCAAACAAAAAAAATAATTGAAAAACAAGTCTCATAGGTTGTCATTCTCACTGTAGGACTTGTCATTACAGGCTGCTCAGGTTGTTATTGGGACTTTTTAATAATTATTTCTCTTCTGTGGGACTTGAATGTAATTCTTCCTTTAAATATTGGTTAGATGTTCAATTGAAATGGGTCGTGGGAATATGCCCATTGGGCCTGGGCTCAATGCATATATAATGAGGAGAGCACATTAACAGCCCAATTGGTAATTCTCGTGGACCTAAATCTATGGGTTTGGCTTGCTGCGGCCCATCCTCCCTTCGACCCTCCCTCTGTTTTCACGCTACAACCATACTTCACAAAACGAAAAAAAGAAAAGAAAAGAAAGCGTACAGTACACTGTACACCTCCTAAAGCCTGGGCTGTACTGATTCGAGTGTCCAAATTCAAATAATCAAACCACTTGATTTTCTCCTACTCTAGTTGCAGTCAACCTTTTTCTGTGGCCCATCCTATTTTTCTTGTTTTAGATGGCTTTGGCAAAAATCAGGAAGTTAATTAGGCCCCATAGCTAAGTCCAATTAAGATTTTGACAAATATAGGCAAATCAAACCACCCGGGCCCGAATCACTGGCACCCCCCAAATTGGAAAGGCCCGAGCCGTAATACATCACGCGCGGGACAAAAGTAATCACCAATGGCACAGCCTGACAGGCCACCATTATGGCGAGCCTTTCCCAGCTGCCATGTTCTGATGTTCCACTTTACCAGTGTTGCCGCCAACCACGCATTTTCTCATCACAGTCTCCTTTCGCTACTTAATTCTTCCATTCCTCGTCAGGAGAAAAAAACATACTTATTTAGTTTAACTTGATTTGAGAATTAATATTAGTCTTATATATAAGATATATTTTACAGGGTTATTAATTTTTTCTCAAATTAATCCTATTAATATTCTCTTAACAATAATCAAATAAAAAAAAAGAGTCAGGGGATTAAAAAAAATTAGAATGTTTTAGAAAAAAACATATTATATTAACTAATTTATTTAATATCTTTAATTTGATCAAACTAATTAATTAGATCTTATATAATGAGGGGAGTATTCATTTGGCGTGGAGCTGAGGAAGTAATAATTCAAAGGAGTGAAATTTATCAGACAGCTGGACAAGTCAACGGTGGCTGACCAAATCAACCATGAACAGAGACTGCCTTCCATTTCATAAACCGCCACCCTGTGTTTGTCACGTCTCAACATTATTTCTCCCCTCCTGGCCTCATTTCGTGGGGCCCGCCTGCTTCCTTCCGCAAACCCCTTTAATTTCCCTAATTAATTCGTAATCATCAGTCCTCTTTCCCGCTATACATTTTAAAAAAATCCCACTATTATTGTTTTTTTTCTTCCTGTCAAGCAACCCAAATTCCTAACTCAGATGACCCCACATTAAACTAAATCATTTCGCTTCATCCTTGTTTGTTTCTTTCTCATCCCGTATTAAGGTTTCTGTTACCGTTTCTCCCGACACCCACACACTTGTCGCTCTTAGAAACGGGACTGTGGTTCGCTTGCGGCGGTGGGCTGGGACGGTCGCCCTGTTTGTTCAATTGGGCCTATAATGGGCTTTTCGAGCATCGAAAAAGTAATCCGAGGAAGCCACGTGTACGGAGGAGATTGAAGCGGGCTCATCATGGAGCTTGTCTGCAAAGCGAATAAAATTGTTTGCGGTGTCCAATACAAAGCAAGCACACGGGTAAAGGGAAAAGGAAAGAGCCCTGCCACCCCTCTGCCGCGCAATCCACTGCTCACCCTGCAGTCTGCACAATTTTGCACGCCACTATTTTTATTTATAAAAATTCCAAATCCAAATATTAGCGTCATCTTAATTCTTATTTCCCCCTTATTTATGACTTCATGATTCCGGTGCCTTTTCGGCTGCTGCACACCAACCTTTTACACACACACACACACATATATTTTAAGGTAGTATTGACGAATCTCCTTCCATTGAATCTCATTTATATTTATAATTTATGATAAATAATAATATTAGGGTCATGAGGTATTTATATTTTTCATTTATTCTAATAATATTAAAAGGGTGTTTGGTAACATGAAAAAGTGTTTTTAAAAAGTACTTTTTCTTAAAACGAAACAAATTTCTCCATATATTTATTTTGTATATTATAAAAGTACTTTTAAAATCATTGTTTGGTTTTTATCCAAACACCCTCTAAATAAGGCGGCAACAAATTATGTTTAAACACTGTTTTACTATTTTTTGTCTTAAATATAAAAGCTAGTTGAATAATTTGAGTAGGTTAAGGAAAAAAGTTAAGTTAGTTATTTATATAAATATGTATTGTTTTTCTTAAATATCCTTACTAATCAATTGTGTTGGCTAGAACTATCATTTTTACAAAGACTATATTAGAAAAAATGCATAAATATAAAAGACAAAGTGATTGGAGTTTTATATTTAAAAAAAAAGATTTTATATTAAGAACCATGCAAATGTTTTTTCAATAAAAATAAATTAATATGTGAACTTTTTGGTAAGTTTCTTTCACGTAAAAAACCGGGCATTGATTTTGGGGCACAGCTTGAAGATCGCAATGATAACGGCTGACTGATTTGGTCTGGACATGTCCGTAAGTTTTTCGGTGCGGGTTCGAAGAAATAATAAATGGTGTCTTCTTAATTCTGCAATCTACGTAATTGCCGAAGTTTTAAGGGGAAAAATATAATTTAATTATTCCCCGACGCATTTTTCGTTTGATGTCAATGTCAATAAACGGATGGAATTGAATCAGAAATATCCAGGATTTTTACCTACACATAGACAATCTTTTCCTCCCAACACTCATTAAGACATCATCTTTAGAAAGGGACAGGAAAGTTAAGAAACCCACTCAGGTAGCTTCAAAATGCACACGCGATCATAACAAAACCTATGGAAAAAAAAAAGGATAATAATAAAGTTAAAAAAATTACCGCCAAAACGTCGTCGTCGTCGTTGTCTCGCAGCCCTTCACTTCCCAAAATTTCCACAAGAGTGCGAATTTCCATTCCTCAGAGATATCCAGCAACCAGGAAAAACATCCAAAGAAAGCAGCTCCCAAGATCCGATCAGATCCATTCAACCCACTCTCTCTCTCCCCCTCTAAACCGTCTCCCATCCCTGTCTTCTGCATCCTTCCCACACGCTCTGAAATTTTATCTTTGCATCTCTAATTCGAGTTCCATAAATCGCCTTTGGCACTAGGGTTTCCAGAGAGAACGGGTCCCAGTGCTTGAAATTCTACTAGGAATGTGTTAGATCGATGCGTGGGCTTCTTGAAGCTCTCAGTTCTGGACGCTGACTGCATGAAGTTTTGGTGCAATTTAAGCTTTAACGAAGGAGAAGACGAGGTGATGAGAGGGGGAGATAATCGTCTAAACTCAAAGGAGGAGGAGCGCGTATTCGGAAATGATGGTCTATCTGATGACGACGTTGGAAATGATGAGCAGCCTTTAGTCGGCAGTGATGCCCCTTTAGCTGTCGAGTTTATTGAGCGTGAGACCGACGATCAATTCAGGGTGTTTGAGGAGATGGTTAGGGCCGTGCGGGTGGGTGGCTTTGCTTCTTGGACCAATACGGCGCTGTACGAGGGCGAGAGTAGTTCGGCTGCCGCTGTTGTTGCCGCTGGTCTGCAGAATGGCACGGAGGATAGTCGCGATTATCACCACAAGCGCGCTAAATTTCACTCTGATTTCGAGTGAGTTTCAAAGTCCATACATTCTTATATCACCCTAACTATACTTTGAATATGGAACATTGGCGTTCAGTATCATTTTTATTCGAAATAACTGGAAAGTACTTTCCCTGGACGATAATGTTCTATTCCGAGATTGAAAACATCTTCACCCTTATAGTTGCTTGTTTTACACACTGATAGTTATATTCAGGCGTTTGATCCGATTACAATCGAGGATTTCTAGTATCCTATTCTATTATGCTATAGGATCAACAAAATTAAGTTGCCCTGGTTTATCGCCCAAACTACAGTATAATGTGGAGAACAAGGAGCGTGGAATTTTTTGGCTTAGCATCTTATAATGCTGTTCTCTAGTTCTTTTAGGTTTGTTACTGGTATAATAAAAAGAACTAAGAACAAGAAGACGAATTTTGGTGCCCCATGAATGCAATAGCTTATTGCTGGCATCAGTTTTGTTTCCGAGTTCGTTGTTTCTTTTTTTGGTATTAATTTGCACATAAAGGAGTTCCATCTTGGATAATTTTGCTTGGGATCACTTAGCATGTATCGTTTGATTTTTTTTTTTTTTTAAATGGGGGGAGTATCATGCCATTTATAATATACGGCAATTGTGGAAACCCCGTTTTTATGTCAACTTTAGCTGTGTTGAGTGTCTGAAATCATGCGCGCGTGCGCGCACTATTTGATTGTTGACACGTCTGTTTCTCCCATCTTTTGCAAAGGAATTTTGGACGCTTGCTGGAATTTTTGTTTTTAGTTATTTAATTGATTCCTTGTGAACTACTCTGTACTTAGCTTAATAACCAGATATTTACTTCTTGACGAATGTTGGCTGAAAGTGGTCTTGCTTTTTTCCCCTCTTGTTTTAAATTTTTGTTGTAAACTTTAATATGATACTTTGATATCTCCTACATGGACACCCTAGGAAGACCTGGACTTTCTGGCTCTTTAATGCAATTTCCTTGTGTCTTTGTTATTCGCACTTGACATTGGAAGAATCCTTAACTCTGGCTAGGCAACTTTAGCCTGGAATATACTGTATTCTTTTGGAAAAATTTGGGGATAGCAATATTTAATTAGAAATGCTATTCATGTCTGACATGGAAACTAGCACACCACACCATGATATACCCTGTAGCTGATGATAATGACTGTGTTTGGCAGTAAATGTCGATTTGCCACTTCAACATCTTCAGATACTGGGAAATCAAATACATCTATGGACTATGGAGATTTTGAGAATATCCCTGGATCATGTCTTCGATATAATAACGACTCATGTTATGATGCTTTTGCATTGATGAATAATACCGGTGAGGAGAATGACTTGGATTCTAGTCTTGTGAATGACAGTGAAGGAAATGACCATGACATCTCAAATGCAGAAGATCTAGAGGTCAAAATGGATCTTACGGATGACCTACTGCATATGGTATAAAAGAATTACCTTTGTGTTGTTATTTCTCGTTTAAAAGGAATTGATGTTCTTTTAATATGGAGCTATGGAATCTAAACCCACGTCGTTTCCCCCTGTTTAATCTATCTATTACATCTCCTTTTCTTTACCCATGTACTCAGGTTTTTTCATTTTTGGATCATCCCAATCTCTGCAAAGCTGCTAGAGTTTGTAAGCAATGGCGTGCTGCTAGTGCTCATGAAGACTTCTGGAAGTTTTTGAATTTTGAAGACCGGAATATATCTGCCCAGCAATGTGAGCCTGAATGCACCTACGCTGTGATAATTATTTTTAATTGAAATTTATTTTATAGAAATACTTTTAACTTTCAACTAATAAGATTTTTATTGTGAAAGAAACTCTGCATGATGTGCATGCTTTGGCCGCACCTCTTTTTGGGTTAATTTGCTTATTCAAAGCTTTATGTGGATTTACAGTTGAGGACATGTGTAGCCGTTATCCAAATGCCACAGCATTGAGCATTTCTGGTCCTGCTATGCACATGCTTGTTATGAAGGCCATCTCTTCATTAAGGTAAATAATTTGCTGTGATATTTATTTGGTCAAAGTTAATTAACTGATTTGTGACTGGCTGATTTGTTGTCATCATTTTCAGAAATCTTGAGGTTTTAACGCTGGGAAAAGGACAAATATTGGATAACTTTTTCCATGCTTTAGCCGATTGTACTATGCTGAAAAAATTAAACATCAATGATGCTACACTTGGCAATGGTATACAAGAAATCTCTATTTACCATGATAGATTGTGTCATCTTCAATTAACAAAATGCCGTGTAATGCGTATATCAGTCAGGTGAGAACATTTGAAGTGTGACTTAAACTTAGTCAAATGCTTGCCTATGATCTAACTTTTGATGATCTATCTTTCCTAGGTGCCCTCTGCTTGAAACTATGTCATTGAAGCGCAGTAGCATGGCCCAGGCTGTGGTTAATTGCCCCTTGTTGCATGAGCTTGACATTGGCTCTTGCCACAAGCTTCCAGATGCTGTTATTCGCTCAGCTGCGACCTCATGTCCTCAGTTAGTGTCGCTGGATATGTCGAACTGTTCATGCGTCAGTGATGAAACACTGAGGGAAATAGCCCAGAATTGTGCTAATCTTAGTATTCTTGATGCGTCCTACTGTCCAAACATATCTTTGGAGGTAGGTTTAGAGTATGCAACAATCTTAGGCTGTATATAATTTGGATTTGTCTTTGTTTGACGGGCCTGTTTGTTTGCCTTTGAAGTCTGTTAGACTGCCAATGTTGACAGTTCTCAAGATTCACAGTTGCGAGGGTATCACTTCTGCCTCAATGGCTGCAATAGCTCATAGTTACATGTTGGAGGTATGGAACAGGACTGAGCTATTGATGTTATCTGTTATACTTGATGAACTTGTTTACCACTTTAAACTAAAGAACCAGTTTTGGATCCATATCAAATCTCTTCCACTCATCTTTCCCTGTTAATTTCCGGAGTTCCTTATATGAGGGTATGACCCTCAATAATTGACAGTAGGAGCTCCAGCCTTTGCTGTTGGTTCACAAGCTGTTCATGTGATCATCTCTGCTATTGTCCTTAAGATTGCGTGTATGGCAACACTTATTGACTGAAAACCTGGCTCTGATACTATTTGTTAGATGCTAAATGCATTTATTGAATTTAGACTATAAAACTGATACTGAATCTATTCCACCCCTCTCGCACTTATACTTCCTTCTGTTTATACTAATCACTCCATATGTGACAATATGCCTGAACCCTTGGGCATTGATTTCACTGGCACTGCAGGTTTTGGAGCTTGATAATTGCAGCCTATTGACTTCTGTGTCTTTGAATCTTCCACGTTTGCAGAATATCAGATTGGTTCATTGTCGCAAGTATACTTCTTCCCCATTTTCCCCTTCATCTCCAGAATTTTTTTTTTGTTCTTTTGTTTTTTTTCCCCTTCTATCCCCTTTGTTAAATGGATGCTTGTGCTTACCTGTTTTTGGATTTTTTTTTTAATATTTACCAATATCTTCTGTTGGATTGTCTTCCTTTACAGATTTGCTGATCTGGACTTGAGAACCATGATGCTATCGTCTATACAAGTCTCTAATTGCCCAGTGCTCCACCGCATCAACATAACATCGAATTCACTTCGTGTATGTCACTTACTTTGACCCTTTTTTTTTTTGGGCCATGCTGATGCAGATATGGTTAGAATTTGATGGGCTGATTGTGGCAATGCAGAAATTAGCGTTACAAAAGCAGGACAGCTTAATCACGCTAGCTCTGCAATGCCAATCTTTACAAGAGGTGGACCTTTCTGAGTGTGAATCTTTGACAGACTCTATATGCAAAGTTTTTAGTGACGGTGGAGGATGCCCTATGTTGAATTCACTAGTTCTTGATAATTGTGAGGTATGTGAGTAAGTCTTTTCAACCTTATTTGCTTCATTGCTTACTAAAGGAAAGTGCTTAAGATATATTTGCTTCTCTACTTTTTTCACTATTGTGCTTGTGAGACCTTTGGTGTCAAATTTTAGTTGATGATTTTATTATTGAAATGTCTGACTATTATGATTATCATCATCATTATTATTTTGTATTTTTGTCTCAAACTTGGTGTTTTAATGGATTTAGAGCTTGACATCAGTGAGATTCGCCAGTACCTCTTTAGTCAATCTTTCCCTTGTTGGTTGCCGGGCAATCAGTACTCTTGAGCTCTCTTGCCCTAAACTTGAGAAAGTTAATTTGGATGGTTGTGATCATTTGGAAAGAGCATCGTTTAGTCCTGTAAGTGATATTATTTTCTCATGAATTGCTTTAAATTCTGTTTTATATGACAAGCTATTGCATTCTTCATCTGTTTGATTTGATTGCCTATTAGAAAAGGAGGATAAATATATAATTTGCATGTCTGAACTTCGGCCTGTACGAAGCTCCCTCCTTGTTTGCTTTATTGTTTACATTGTTACAATGCAAGCTTATAATGTAGTATGGGCGATATCTGATGTTCATTTCTAAAGGCTTGGGAAGGGGCTACAGGGCTACTATTGTGTACCAATCAATATATGGTAGTCTAATCTGCAGTGGCTAAAGACTAAATGCGGTTTTTTTTTTCCTGCTTCTCAGGTTGGTCTTCGATCTCTTAATTTAGGAATATGTCCAAAATTAAACACACTCGACATTGAGGCACCAAATATGATCTCACTTGAATTGAAAGGATGTGGCGTACTTTCTGAAGCATCCATTAACTGTCCCCTGTTGATATCTCTAGATGCTTCCTTTTGCAGGTTGTGTTGCACTTGTTTTTACTTCAGCTATCCTCCTAGTATGGAAACTAACATTTACTGTTTGGTTGTATAGCCAATTGACGGATGACTGCTTATCTGCAACAACTGCCTCGTGCCCACTGATAGAGTCATTGATATTGATGTCATGCCCATCAGTTGGTTCAGATGGACTTTGTTCTCTGCGTTGGCTTCCAAATCTCACTGTTCTTGATTTATCTTATACTTTTTTGACGAACTTGGAGCCTGTTTTTGAGTCTTGTGCACAATTAAAGGCAAGAACTACCATAGATATTCATGTGCTTACTATTGAAACCCCCCTTTCTTTTAAAAAAAAGGAACAAAAGAAAGAAAAATGGAAAACAAAAAACACCCAAAAGAAAAAGCATTCTAGAGTAAAAAATTATTCGGTTGAGCTGGCTTATTTAATTCATTTACTTCTTTATTCGCATGAGAAATCCATATATCTACTTGTAAGTGTAAAAGCTATAGAAAGCTGCATTATTCATAAGTCATAAATACTACAGCTTACCCTGAACTATGTATGAAGCATATGCCCCAATACTGTTAAAAAGTGAATGAACAGGGTTCTGTTTTTGTTTCTTTGGATGAGATGAAACATGAAGAAAGAAACTAGGAAGACAACAATTTTTTATTTGATAAAAATTAAATTCACAAATATCTTTGTCAAGACGATTATCTATGGGTTACTTATGCTCAAATAAAATATCCTGTTCAATTCTCCCGATTTGGTGGGCTTAAAATTGGTGCCTTAATGCATTTTATTTATTGCATCTAAATGGGTAATATATCCCACTTCTCTATTTTGTTTCCCCAGTTTTATTTCACCCCAAACAAGGTGTTGACTTCTTTCTGGTTTTAAAAGAAAATTTGTTTATTTGTTATCCTCCCTTGCAGCTTATATTTTTGTTTTATGATTTAATATGGTATGCATATTTAACAGCTTTTCATTTGCCCCCAAACCATGGAAATGCAATGATTTGAAGCCTTTGTTACTTTGTCCCTCACTTCATCTTTTCTGACAATGTTACTGTTCGCTATTTCTTGAAGGTATTAAAGTTACAGGCATGCAAGTATCTCACTGACTCGTCACTTGAGCCTCTTTACAAGGGAGGTGCTTTACCAGCACTTCAGGAGTTGGATTTGTCATATGGAACTTTATGTCAGTCTGCCATAGAGGAGCTTCTTGCATGCTGCACACACCTCACCCATGTGAGCCTGAATGGCTGTGCTAATATGCATGATCTGAATTGGGGTTATAGTCGTGGACAGATCACTGAGTTGCCAGCTGTAAACATGTCTAGTATGATCTCACATGAGGATGTCCTTGAACAAAGTGAGCAATCCAGCCGTTTACTCCAGAATCTCAATTGCGTGGGATGTCCAAATATTAGGAAAGTTCTCATTCCACCTTTGGCACATTGTTATCATTTATTATATTTAAACCTTTCTTTGTCGGTTAACCTGAAGGAGGTTGATATTGTTTGTCTCAACCTATGTTTTCTTAATTTAAGGTATGGCTGTCTTTCTAGAAAATATTAAATGGTCTTATTCTTCTCATATCACATGCAATGACTTTTAACTTCTCTATTCAGCAACTGTTCATCTTTGGAAACTTTGAAGCTAGAATGTCCGAGATTAAGCAGTCTATTTCTTCAGGTATTAGTCTAGCTTTTCCATGTTAATGTATTGATGCATGCTTAATTTGATATGTTAGTTGAATGCCCGCATAAAATTTATTGCTTTTGGTTTCATATCCTACTATTTTTTATTATACTCATTCCTCTTTTTTCATTACTGGCGTTATTGGCTGTCATCTTCCATATTGAAATTTGTTCTGACGTTGGGCACACAAAGTTTCCGACCTTTACTATGGAATGTTGGAAGCTTGCTCCATTCTCTCTGTTTGGATTGATTGGCATCTTTTTAAGTTTTACATAAATTTGAATGATTTCATTTCATGGATTGTTCATGTTCTTGACAGTTTTCTCCCCTTTAAAATTGTCATCTTGGCATTTCGTCCTTCCTCAAAATGCAGTATCTGAATTTTTATCTGTATACGTATATTTGCAATAATTAATTTTGTTAAATTTTGGTAGTTTTGGCAATTCACCCTGTGATATTTGTGGTCCCTGGTGCGTTGTGTGGATAGTATCTGTCCATTTTAGCGACTACCATAAAGCCTGACATTTTCTCCCTTCAATTTTTTCTGCGGGGTGGGATAACTCTGGGGCTTTCAGTCCTGCAACATTGATGAGGAAGCTGTTGAAGCTGCTATCTCCAAATGCAGCATGCTGGAGACTCTTGATGTTCGGTTCTGTCCAAGGGTGAGAATTAACTGCCTATGTCATTATATTCCATCAGTACTGTGAAGTAATTCTAGGCGACTAGCGAACCTTTCGTTCCACAACACTGGATTTGATCTCACTTGTATTTGTGGTTTGCTTTACGATGGCCCGCAGATAAGCTCAATGAACATGGGTAGATTACGAGCTTCTTGTTCCAGTTTGAGGCGTATATTTAGCAGCTTGTCAACTTCATAATCTCGATCTTGCATAAAAAATGTTGCCGTGCCAACTTGCTTCGAGTTAAAGGCACCCTAGATTTCATTTGATGATGCCCATGTATTGTAAATTGTTAACGACTCGATTGTTTAATGCTTGGCATATGAGTTATGTAGCTATATTTATGTATTACATCATCTTTCTTGAGTTCCAGTGGTTACTCGTAAATCCCGGCCTCGTCAATTTTTATGATCCTTGTGATGTTCTCATCCTCAAGCGGTCTGCCTAGTCTCGTGTAGCTTTTGCGGTGAGAGATTTAAATACTACTCCTTCCGATTTAAGAATCTATTTAACTAATTTGGTTAGATTAAAAAGTTAGATAAATTGGTTAATTACAAGAAATGATTTTTTTTTGAAACACTATAATCATGTTTCTTGATATTCTTTTTTATCTCTTATTTGATTATGGTTGAAAGAGTGTTCATATAAGTAATTTAAAAAAAATTAATAAATATAAAAAATAAGTCACATAATTAGGATCAAAATTAAATTAATAATTAGATCTTATATTAAAAATTGGAGGAGTATCTTAACTAATTTTTATATTTAGAATTAAAAGTAACATATAATGTGTGTGAAATATAAATTGGGATCCGTGTTGAAATACATAAAAGGAATTTTTGGTTATTGGGTTTTGTTTGGTGGCGCCACGTGTTTGAATAAACTATGGGTTGTTTGTTCTTTCCCCGGCGATCATATTACATTTCCCTCGTTCGCACGCGTGTAATTCCTCGTTCCTCCAAATTTATAACACCAGCTTTAGCGAATGTAATTTTTTTTTTAATCATTTTATGTAATTAAAGGGTACGCATCGCATAGGTACCACTAGGCTGTTCTGCGAGACCCTGCCGACAGGAATATCCGACCCGACTTCCTTATGTCGGTAGGATGTCAATGAGGCTGTGGTTGTTCTTCGGTTCCGCGGCCCCCTCGTTTGATGGGGATCTTCTTGACAAGAGGGGAAAAAAATACAAGTAGCTGATAATTTATTAATTTCAACTATCTCTAGTTTAGGAAAAGAACATTATAATAAGAAAGATAAAATTAAAAGAAAAATTATATTATTTTAATACACTTCAATGTTACGTACTTGTTATAATATCTTCAATACTACTATTTTTAATATAAAAACCAGTTTGACTTTCAATTTATCATAATTATTCTCATATTTATTAATTTTTTTAAAATAATCTATATTAATTGCACATGTTAAATACTCCAACAATTAGTAGTGCTAGCTAATATACATGAATATTAAAAATATTTTAGAAAATTTAAATCATATTTATTATAAATAATTGATTTAATAAACTTTTTTAATCCATTCAAATTAATTAACTAGTCCTTATATTGATGATAGGATGTAGTATATGTCTTTCATCATGACAATAAATCTATAAATGCTAATAATATGAGCTTTACTATTTCTTTTCCAAAATTAGAAGGTAAACAGTAACGACTAAAATCAAATTCGCATCGAATCTGCAATATTTTATTGAACGTCTCTCAAAAAATCGTAACAAAGCAATGGTCTGTTCCAAAAGGAGGTTGCTGCGCAAATCTCAAATGGCCATAAATTGGACACTGATCCAAAATATGGATCACCCGTCAGTGCGGCCACCCAATCGACCCGGACCCGGTTGGTGTGACTTCCATGTACCTTATACCAGAAGACAACCCGATAGAGGTTGACGTCTCACTCCTCTCTCCGGTCTCCATTCTCTTCACTTCCCCTCTGCTCCTCTCTCTGCTTTCAGTCTTCACAATGGCGATAACTGTTTGGTCTGTATTAGCCATCCTTCTCTTCCTTCATGCAGCTGCTACAGGTGCCGTTAACTCTCAAAGTAAGTCAACATTTACTTTCCGTATAAAGAACCATCTCTCAATTGGTTCTACTTTTTGGTTTTTGCTTCTGCTTCCAAACGCCCGAAGATCCTTTCCTCTTTTGTTGGATTTGTCTTTTTTAATACTTTCTAATGTTGCTCCTCACTCAGGTTTGCGTGTGTCCATGGTTAGAGTGAAATGAGACTTTATCATGTTAGTGTTTGTTGAAGTTGTTCTCCTGCTAGATCTCAATTAGATAGAGTTCTTTTGTGCGGCTGATCTCCCAGCAAAAGTTCGTCTCTTTCAAGATGTTTTGTTATTCCTGTTGGATGCTCTTTGTTCTTGAAGAAATTGGTGGCAGAGAAAACCATCCACATTGGATCTTAAACTAATAGTGCCGAGGTGGAAAAGCGGACAAAGAACATACAAATAAAATTCTTTGGATCTTCTCCCATTCTGGTTTTTTCTGTGACCGTATCTCCGAACCAAATTTAGTTCCGATCTTTGTCATTCTTAATCAGACAACAAATGTTATCAGCTCAAAAATTCATCAGCTCTCTGTCTTTGGAGTTGGAGGGCGATATGTAGGTTTTGCCCAGGATCTGCTTGGTGGCCATTCTCTTACTTGAGCATGGATTTGAGTGCATTTTATGGGCGCTCGTTTTGGATCTTGTGTACTCTTTCATATAGCATCCAATCTAAGTATCGTTGGTCGGTCTTTCTTTTATGCGTGTAACACGAACAATCCGTTTTAACCTTTCAATTTAGGTGCTAACACAGTTCTTTCCCCGAGTTTATTTTGAATAAATAGTCCTTTTGCTCTTTGTTAGGTGTTTTTACCAGTGTAAAGAAATGAGAGATGAAAACGTCAAGTTGACGTTGACCTGGTGGCCATTTTACTGTTATTTATGAGGTCGTAGGATTTAATGTAGTTAATGGGGAACTAAACGAATTAACTTCATTTCAAATTCTGACTTTCCTGTAAGGTCAAGACCTCTATACAGGTTCAGATCCTCCAATGTTCCTGCATAGATCTAGTTTTCGTTTACACCATGGACAATACCTGCTTTAGGACCGCAATACCTGAGCAAATATCGTAATTTTATTTGTAGCGACTATTTGGGCTACAATGTTCTATATGAACGCCGTGCTTGGAATATAGGATTAGGGTTTACTATTGGTCGAGAGCTGGAGATGCGGTTGTAGATAAAGAAATATCTAGCTCTCATAATGGACCTTGAGAATCTATGAACTAATAGATGATTGGATTTTTGGAGCATGAACTTGGCATCTATTGAATAGAAGGTGCTGAGCTGTGGTTAAGCTGGCCATTTAGCAAGTTATCCAGGCTTGGCTCATTTTAGCTTGGCTCAACTTGATTGATTTACGCACACTCACTCGTGTATATATGGTTATTTTTCCCATTTAATATGGTATATGTATTTGACATATGATATGGAAGTTACCTGATGTGAAGTTCAAGCTAGTTTTTTTTTTTTTTTAACAAGTTCAAGCGACTTTAAATCCCTAAAATACTGCGCAACTGACTGATCTCATCTGTACAAGGTCGCTCTACTTAGTGAGCAGAAACCCAAGCACTTGTTTAGGACTTGTTTAGGCACCTTGGATCAGCGAACCAAGCTTGAGTGCAAGTTCAAGCTCGTTTAATAAATTAGCCAAGCCCCACCCTTAGATCAGCTTGGCTTGTTCATTGCTTTCAAAAGATTAGATGAGATTTAGGGATGGTAGAGTGGAGAAATAACTGATGGGAATTAATCTTTTTCCATTATGGCCTGCTGGAGTACTCAGAATTGTGATTTATATGAAGATCATTTCCATTTATATATATTTTTTATTTTTTCTGTGTTTTCTAAAATCTCCAATTTGACATGAAAACTGAACTTGGCAGTTAAAGTAACTGATAACCCAGCAGACAAGTTGGTAGCCGCAATCAATCAAAACAGAACTGCTCACAAGGCCTCAAGCTTGCATGACAACCCAGGGCTTGCCTGTATTGCCTTACAATACATAAAGGCATACCAAGGTGATTGTGGTGCTGTGGGAGGAGCTGATGCCAAGAAGCCTCCTGAATCTCAATTTGCTGAAACTTTTGCCCCTAGTTGTGGTGTTAAGGCATCAACACTTGCCACTATCACCGGTCGTTTCTTAGGCTGCCAGACTAAATATGTGCATGCACCAGAGGCATTTTCAGAAATCCTGATAAAAAACCAGAGGAGCTTGGATATACTTTACAGTAAGAATCACACTCAAGTGGGAGCTGCTGTGACAGGTACTGATGGAGGATCTCCTTACTTCTGGTGTGTGTTGTTCAGCAATGGTAAACCTAACAGCACATTTATGTTTGAGGATGGTGTGGCCAAAATAACAAAACCCGGCTGCTTCAGTGGAGCTAATGATGAGTGCAGTGGGGCTTATGGCTGGTCTCAACTTCGTGGTATATGGGTATTTGCCACTGCGGCTCTGGCTGCTTCGAGTTTTGCTTTGGCTTTGTGATTACACTGTGACTGAAATTTGATTGATTTTATCTCCTAAAAATTTTACTTTGATTCAATTTTTTCTCTGTAGATTCCCTATTTGGACTTTTTGTTTGATGTCCTTGGATTTGTATTTGAATGATGACCAGGAAAGGGGAGAGACGTACAAATTGTGTTACATTATCTCTCTTGATTACATATGAAAATGAAATTTCGCATTTGCCGCATCATTCACTTGTTTGCAGGTCTTCACCTCTCCACATTTTGTACTCTCATTCCTTCTACTAAAAAGTATCCAATGTCCATTATTACCGATTAATTTGGATTTGAAGCAGTTCAGGTCTTAGATATGATAGATTTCTTTTATCGGTGTATTTTCTTTCCTACTCACAAGGCTCGAACTTGAACCATTATTTCAGGAATTTTAAACTCATTACTACTCAAAATTCTGGATCGGTCAATATTCCTTCTGCGAAAAATAATAGTGGCGACTTTTTGCGGATTTTGATCTACTAACACAAATTGGACAATCATATAGCTAGTAAGGTCGATGGCCATTTGTCAGATGAATTCTAACAAGCACCAGAACATAGCCAGACAGGAGAACCTCAGGAAAACTAATTTACCTGCAACTCAGAAATCTATTTTGGGGAATGAGACCCTTGAAGCATTAAATATGCACATTTAATGGGCACGGGCTTGGAAACGCCTGTGGTGTAGCCACACGGGGCCCAAATAGCTTTTATCAGCAATTGCTGCCACGTAAAGACAAATTAGGACCGCTAACAAGTTTCTCCCAGCTTGTTGAACTACCCATGTCTACCAGCATATTTTGATGCCTCAGATGGCTGATTTATCAGAAATAAGGATTTTTTTTTTTAAATTAAAAAGACATGCACTGGCTAACAGTTCGAGATGACAAATGATAGGTTAAAGGATGAGGGATTTTAAAAAAATTGAGGAACCATGCATATGAATCTAACCATGTATATAGATCTAACCCAAATGAAGAGAGAAGACGAGAGTGGCAGGGAAGCAGAAAATACTGTGTAGGAGGGTGGAAAGGAGAAAATGTGTACGAGAATTCCAGTATCAGCTGCTGTATGCAACATTGGACTTGCTATGCAGAAATTATCTTCTTGTACTTGTTGGTCATTGCTTAGAAAACAGGTGAATCGTGAATTGAAATTTACGAAATTGCGGAAACTGAACTCCAAAATGATAAGTGACGTAGATCTTCGTCTGGAGTGGCCTCGAAGTGTATGAACTCCACGAGGGCGTCCAAGACGTAACGGAGACGCTGACTTTTAGTATCATTTGTCTCATGCAGCATTCCTACATATTTATTCAGGGATGATTAATCTGTTATAATCATTTTTTATTTTTACCTTATTAATTGTTGGTTAATTTCACAGTATTAGTTATTTCCTTTTTCCTACCTGTTCATTATGTCCTAGTTACTCACACTTGCTTCATAAAAAAAGGTGCTTTTGAAAAATAAGGTATAGTTTTTATAAATTTATTGTCCATTTCTCATAAAAAAAGATTTGAGGGAGTAATTAGCATTTGTTTATCCTGCACACGTGGTCCGTTAACCCCATCATGAGACTGTTATGCCGACGAGAGAGAAGGGTGAAACAGAATAAATATGGCCCAAAGGGCAATTTCATCGTGCATGTCTTAAAAGGGCAAATGCGTGTTTTTACTTTTTGCCAATGCGCGTTATAATTCACGATGCTTGTTTGAATTTTAAACTGGCATTGTTTTAAGACAAATGTGTTTTTTTTTTTTTTGGCCAATGCGTATTATAATTTACGATGCCCGTTTGAATGTTAAACTGGCATTGTTTTGATTGAAATTGAGGCAAATCTCAAATCATGTTCGGCAATAGTAACTCTGTTTCTTCGTATAAGAAATAAATAGCCGGTTTGAAAATATTAAAAAATTAGTTAAATTAGTTATTTGTTACAAATATGTGTTAGTTTATACTTTATATAAGCTATCATATTCAATTATGCATATTGAATGATTAAAATTATTTCTTGACCAAAAATCCTTGCAACTTTAATTTTTAAAAAAAGATAAGAGATAAATTAAACTCAAATCCTCTATTTAAAAACAAATTTAACCTCCAATTAATTTTTATATTAATGGTCAGGCTCTGTTACTTAAAATGAATGGAAAAAAGAAGAAGCTTGAAGGAGTCATGTAATTTAACTACCAATCAGAGATTTAATAAAAAAGACCCAGCAATGATTTAATTAGATTTCCATTTTCCCAATCAGAGTTTTTAAGTGGATAAGTAGTTGTTTAAAATTGCAAGCTATGGTAAGAATTGCTTTAAAAAAAAAAAAAGGGAAACCATGGTAATAAAAAATAAATAGTAATAATTGGCGTCCGTTACGACATTGTAATCTGTAACGTGTAGTATTTTGGAGAGCAGCGGCAAGAAGAGAATCGGTCCAGCTGCTGCCCCCCAGTCAAACAAAGGCTGAAATGGAGTAACAGTCGCGAACTGCGGTGAAAAAGGTGAAAAAGGTTGCTCTCCAAGGCCAATCCCACGGCGAGTACAGCGGTGACGTGTCCAATACGAAATAAATACTCGGCTCTTTCGCCATTTTTGATTCTTACTCTACCCTCTCGTAGGGCGGGAACCCAAAGTCTCACCTCAACTCTTCTTCCACGTCTCTCTCTCCACCCCACTCTCTCTCTAGGGTTTTTCAAATTTTGAATTCCTCACTTCTGCTTTCTGTTACTAGCTACTCAATACCTAAATTGTTTGGCTCCCCGCTCATTTTTTGTTACGGGGACGCAAGATGAATTTCCGTCATGGCTCCAAAGTTTGGGTTGAAGACAGGAATTTGGCATGGGTGGCCGCTGAGGTTACCGGCTTTGCTGGAAAGCAAGTCCAACTTGTCACTGCTTCTGGGAAGAAGGTGAGGAGTTTGCATTTCCCCACTGCGTTTCATGCCTAGTTAATGTGATATTTGCATAATAATGAGCAATTATGGATATATTTTCACCTTTCTGGTTCTGGGATGTGTGGCTTGTAGGTTTCTGCACTGCCAGAGAAACTCTTCCCCAGGGATGCAGATGAAGAGGAGCATGGTGGAGTGGAAGATATGACGAGGCTGGCTTACTTGAATGAGCCGGGAGTTCTGTATAATCTTCAAAGAAGATATGCCCTGAATGATATATATGTAAGTCTTCTGCGTGACGGTTGATCCTGTTGTTAGTTATTTGTATTGTTAGTTATTTGTAGTGATTTATTACTTTAACGCTGGCCAACCAAGCTTAACCATAGGCATTATCATGATGGCGATGTTTGTAAGTGAACCTTGTCAATATTTTCTGAAAGAAGATACATGAGACGGAAAAGACTAAAAAATGGTTGTAAACTTGAAATTAGAATAATAGTGCTTGGGAACCAAGCGCGGCATTTTGGATTGGTACTGTATATTATTTGCCGCACAACTAACCACATGAGAGAAGTCAGGGAAAAGAGAAGTCCAAAATAAATTGAGGGTTCTTTTTTATTTAATCGTTATTTTCTAACTAAAGGTCTTGTATCTAATTTTACTTGATAGTTGAGATCACCAAGTTATTTGCACAAATTCATGTTGCCAAATGAGCCAGTTAGCAATTTGAATTTTGTCACTTCAAAAAATTCTTTGATACGCACTTGCTTAATGTTAAGGTCTGCGTTAATAAGGACTTAATGACATGTCCTGGTGGACAAATCTTATTCAACTGAACAAATTAATAAATAATCCCAAGTGTTTCATGTGACAAACTAGGTCAGTTGGGCTAACATAGTATGGGACATGTGGTTGTCATAAATAATACATGAATATAAAATTTTTTGGATTGTCGTGCTGATCTTAATGGGATTCTTAAATTGGTTTCTGTATGTTCCATGCTGTTTTATGGTTTTCTCATGAAATGTTTTTCTTCGGTAGACATATACAGGGAGCATTTTGATAGCTGTAAATCCATTCACAAAGCTTCCTCATCTGTATGATACCCATATGATGGATCAGTATAGAGGAGCACCATTTGGTGAACTAAGTCCACATGTATTTGCTGTTGCTGATGCTTCTTATAGGTTAGTCTGCATTTATGTGTTTATATTATATGTCTCTTGTGATGTATTTATTTATTTATTTTTATTTTTATTATTCTTTCCATACCCTATTTCATGTTGTGAAATGTGAATTAGCAAGCTTCTGTTGGCCATGATCTAGAGCAATGATGGATGAAGGTCAAAGCCAGTCTATTTTGGTCAGTGGTGAAAGTGGTGCGGGGAAAACTGAGACAACAAAATTGATTATGCAGTATCTTACCTTTGTTGGTGGACGTGCTGCTGGTGATGATAGGACAGTTGAACAACAAGTACTTGAAGTATGATAGTAATGAATCCAATCACTTATGGGTTGACAATCAAATTATTTTTTATTTTTTAATCTGGGTATTATAGATACTAATTCCATTTTCTGATGCATTCAGTCCAATCCCCTCTTGGAGGCTTTTGGTAATGCCAGGACTGTCAGGAATGACAATTCTAGGTGAATTTGGCTCCTTTTCTTGCTTCCCTGCTTATTTCTACCCTATTTGTTTCCTTTAATGTGATTTTTCATATTTTTTCACTTACTAGGTTATTGGTTTTTCCCCATAGAATCTGAGGAAAAAATTGTCGTATGATTTTTGGTCATCTTATGGTGTTAGCTCATGTTATCTTAAACATGCCATGCATAGTAATGACATACTTTAGTCGTGTCTGTAGTACTTTTCCACTGAATTTATCATTGCTATAGTACATGTTTGAATGAAATATCCGTTGTGAACTGTAGGTATGGTGTTGCATTCTCCTAAAACAAATTGATATCGCAGTGTCAAGTGTTTCCATTGAAATTATAATTGTTATGATCCTCTCCTAAGCTTAAACTATTACCGTGTTTTTCCCATTGCAGTCGCTTTGGGAAGTTTGTTGAAATTCAGTTCGATTCAAACGGTAGAATATCTGGAGCTGCTATTCGAACTTACTTACTGGAAAGGTCACGAGTAGTGCAGATAACAGATCCTGAAAGAAACTATCATTGCTTTTATCAGTTGTGTTCATCTGAAAGGGTATTCAAAGTCTTATGTTGCATCTATCTGTTTTCATTAATTGGTTCTTGAGTTCCTGTGTTTCAGCATTTTGCCATGCATGTTACCCTTTTCTAAATGCGGTTTGCAGTTGAATCATTAAGAGTTATACGTTATGATTGTAATGCACTGTTTTTCAGGATGCTGAGAAGTATAAGTTAAGACATCCGAGCCACTTTCACTATCTAAATCAAAGTAAAACGTATGAACTAGAAGGTGTAAGCAGTGCTGAAGAATACATGAAGACAAGGAGGGCAATGGATATAGTTGGTATAAGCCATGAGGATCAGGTATAATAAGATTAGCCATTATTACCCATTTGTGTTGCTTTGCTTTAGAGGATAAAATTATTGATGGGCTGTGTTTTACTTATGCTTATCCTACATTTTTATTATCAGGAAGCCATATTTCGCACATTAGCTGGAATCTTACATTTGGGGAACATTGAATTTTCTCCTGGAAAAGAACATGACTCATCAGCAATAAAGGATGAGAAGTCAAGGTTTCATTTGCAGATGGCAGCAGATCTCTTCATGTGGGTAATTTATGTGAATTCTTGTTTTCTTTATATAAAACTTTGGTTGGCTGAATTATATTTCATTTCCCTCATTAGCACACCTGTATGTATTAATTAAATATATGTTCATTAACTTTTCCTGTATACAATCTTGATGCCAGTATATTAAGAAGATTTATTTCTTTTAGAAACATGTTATGAGGGAAATGACAGTATAAAGTGTTTTGTTCTCCAATGGGATGGTTAACAATTAACATTTCATATGGTTTGTAAACTATTTTGAGTGGCCCAAAAGGAGATCAATGCTGGGTCATATCTACTTTAAGATGTAATGAGAGGTCATAGTTTTTATCTTCTGGTTTTCATCTGCTTAACTTAATGGCTATAATTTTTTCCTTCTATAGGTGTGAAGTGAATCTACTGTTGGCAACATTGTGTACTCGCTCAATACAAACCCGTGAAGGAAATATCGTGAAAGCTCTTGATTGCAATGCTGCTGTTGCTGGTCGGGATGCTTTGGCTAAAACTGTTTATGCTCGCCTATTTGACTGGTATTTTTTTGGTCAATGGAGATTCACTTGTCATATTTGATATGCATTAAGATGGCCACATTAATATTTTTGTTTTGTTTTATCAGGCTAGTTGAAAAAATCAACAAGTCTGTTGGACAAGATAACAATTCCCGGATGCAAATTGGAGTTTTGGATATATATGGTTTTGAGTGCTTTAAGGATAACAGGTAAGTCATCAATTGTATGCTTGTGACTTTGAGCAGGAGTGTTCTTTTTCTTCTGTGGACTGTCAAGAAATGAAGTGAATGGTTCAACTCTGCGTCTGTAGCTGAGACATTCTGATCAAATGATCAGGCATTTATTCTTGTGATATTGTTCAGAGATTGATTTCTCCTTTTCCTGGAGTGGTTTAAACCTGCATCTGTCTTTATGGGACATTCTAATGTATGGGTTAGATCAGGCATTGTCTAGTGAAAATCCTGCATAACGTTATTGCTGCTCAGACTTTGTGATATCCAATTTAGATTTAGATTTTTTTTGTTTGCTTCTCCTGTTGAAGGAAATAGTTAACTTTTCTCCATATGATCTCCACTTAATCCTACAACGTTTTTTTCAACAGTTTTGAGCAATTCTGCATTAACTTTGCAAATGAAAAGCTCCAGCAACATTTTAACGAGGTATGGAAGTGTGTTCTTCATTATGCTGTATAATCTGCTGCCTTTAAGTGTCATCAGTGGGGTTTTATTTCTCTGCATCAAGCAAATTTAGTTTGTATTTTGCGTGTATAATTATCTGTCACTTTATTTGCTGCAGCATGTATTCAAGATGGAGCAGGAGGAGTACAGCAAGGAAGAAATTAACTGGAGTTACATTGAGTTTATTGACAACCAAGACGTTTTAGACTTGATTGAAAAGGTCTTTTTTGGTTTTTTATTTCCTATTGTTTTTAGGTTGATATACTTATGATCTGTACTTCTATGTTCCTTGTAGTATAATGGATGACTGTCTTCCTCTTTGTGCATATCCGTGAGAGGAGAATACATAGGTCATTAATAATTGTGGCTGAAAAATATTGCAAAAGCTATGGTTATGTATTGATTATTAAAGCAGGCCAGAGATACTGAAATTTGTAGAAGAGGATTTCTATTAGGAAGCCTGCTAGTCACATAGTCAGCAACGTATCAAAACCCTGCTATTGTCTTATCCTTCTTTCTGGGCCATACGTCATGAATCATATGTCTGCTATCATGTCAAAATAACGTAATGTGATATCTTAAGATTGTATTCTGCTTGTATGTTTGCCATTAATTTGGTCTCTTTTGGACTGATCTTTGTTGTCATTTGCAGAAGCCTATTGGCATCATTGCACTCTTGGATGAAGCTTGGTACAATTCGAGTTCTCTTATGTGAAATTATGAATATGAGATTTTTTTGTTCTTCGTTTGTTTATGAATTTCCTGTGTATGCAGCATGTTTCCAAAATCAAATCATCAAACATTCTCAACCAAGTTGTTCCAGCATTTCCGGTCCCACCCAAGGTTGGCAAAAGAAAAGTTCTCGGAAACTGATTTTACCATCTCTCATTATGCTGGAAAGGTGAGTTTGGGCTGCAGTATTTTTGCTTGTTTAGTACTTGAAGACTTCACATGCAACAAATTCTTCAATAATCTGCTACTTTTATGCAGGTCACTTACCATACAGATAGCTTCTTGGACAAAAATCGTGATTATGTTGTTGTTGAACATTGCAATCTATTGTCTTCTTCCAAATGCCCCTTCGTGTGTGATCTTTTCCCTCTGCTTCCAGAGGAATCTTCTTCTAGATCATCATACAAATTTTCTTCGGTAGCCTCCAGATTTAAGGTGTGAGGATCTACGCCTATCCTCCTTTTGACTCTCTCTCTCTCTCACACATACACACACACTCTCTTGCCTACTATGGGCCGGCATCATCATCGAAGCTTACCATGGACTATTTTTGCACCCAAATCATGGAGTTTTTCTTAAGAGAAATTTTCTTACCCGACAAACAGTCTAAAGGTTTTCTATTGCAGAATATTTTTCTTTGTTTTTTTTTCTTTCACAAATCTAACAGAGCCCGATGAGTTTGGCTTTAAATTACTTTGTTACTTTCCCCATCATTGCAAGTTTGCATCATGATCTGTTTCCTTAGAGATATTAAAGCGCTCTTTTTTTTGGCTGTTGGTTGAGGTAATCTTTTGGTTCTTGGGTACCTTTTAGCTGGAGGATGAATGGCACTAGCTACAAGTGATAGCTATTATGAATTTGTTGAACCCTTTTTTATGTTCCTTGAAAGGGGAAAGGAGCTGTAGACTGTGCTATTTCTTTCTTGTTATTATGCCACTTAAAGGGTATCATGGGGTTAGATAAGATGTCCCATCGTTATGTTAAAATTTTATTGTAGAATTAACCAAGAAAAAAGCATTATGGTAGAATGAAGTATTTGTTGACTATTTCCCTGTTTCCGACCTTTTCATTTTTCACTGGAACCTCAGCAACAACTTCAAGCATTGATGGAGACTCTTAATACAACAGAGCCCCATTACATACGATGTGTGAAGCCAAATTCTTTGAATCGGCCACAAAGGTTTGAGAATTCAAGTGTGATACATCAATTACGCTGTGGGGTCAGTAGCTCAAATATTCCAGCTTCCCTTTGTCAGAGTTGTTATCAGAGACATAGATTCTTCAGTGTTATTTATTAAACTTTGACTTCATTGGTTGCTATCTTACTGTTTTTATTTTCATTTGTCAGTGATTGCAATGTTTGTTACACCATGTTCTTTATGGTCACACATCTTGTAGTTGATTTTCTTAAGAGTTGCATCTTACAAGGTACAAGAAGCTAATGTGTCATGATCAGTTTCTTGTCCTGATGATGTTGCATTGGATTTGAGATAAATAGCTCTAAATACCCTTGCATAGTATGTTTTCTGAAACTTTTGCGCATTGTTTCTGTGTTACAGAAAAGCCAAGTTATGATTCATGATAGTATATTTGAAAATTATAAATACAGTATACAAATTGCAAGGTTTGGCACAGTCTGGTTGAATTGACTGTTTGAAACTCTTTTAAGTATTTGCTTAGTTGAACGAATGTTTTGCAAACTTTGGTGGAGCAGATGGAGCTGTAGTGAATCTTTTTGGTGTTTTCAAATCTAAATGAGGATTTAGATGCTTTGAACTTGCGCGGATGACATATTTTTTTAGTACTATAGTATATGCTTGCAGAGGAGAATATACATCGTTTAGAGGTTAGGTTCATGCTGTCAAGTGGATTTTTCCAACAAGCTTTTTTCCCCTTGCATCAATGATATCAAACTTTGATGAAAAGAAAAAAAAAATGAAATGACTTGCATCTAATTCCGTTCACGTATACTCAGTGTTGTTGCCTTCATTTGAATTTTCATGCAAATAAGTTGCTGTAATGTAAGTTTAATTGTGCATGTATGCTAGGTTTACTTCCTAAAGCTCTTCTATGTCATTTTTTATTTTTTAATTCAGGGTGTCCTTGAGGCTGTTCGAATTAGTCTTGCGGGTTACCCCACTCGTAGGACTTACTCAGAGTTCATTGATCGCTTTGGGCTGATAGCTCCTGAATTTATGGATGGCAGGTCAGTTTTCTGAAAGTTTAGATACACAGTTCTTTAACTCTTGTATTCTTTGTGTTGAAAAAATTTCTGTCATTTGGATTACTTTTTCCAAAATGAAACTGATAAATATGGTCAGGGTGAAAATTTTGACTGAGGTTGAAGAAGTACGTATACTAGCATGTAAATATACATGGTTTTGAATGAGAAGGACATCAAAAAAGGAAGTTTTTTACATCAATTTGCTTGTGTATTACGATGTCTTGTCATCAATAATTTTCATTAAGCATAAAAACCTCCTAATTAGTAGAAAAATTTGTCTTTATTTTTCAGCATTCAATGCATGCACTATGGTCATAATTAATTTATGGATGTGTAAGTACAGTCATGCACTAGTTCTAGTCTTTTTATTCATTAGAAGTTTTTTTTTTTGGGGGGGGGGGGGTTCTCTCAGTGGCCTTCAAATTTTCATACTTATCTTCTCTGTAATCTGTATCAGTTATGATGAAAAAACTACCACCGCAAAAATTTTACGGAAGCTAAACCTTGAGAATTTTCAGGTATGCCTTTTGGAAATGGTGCACTGAGCTGATGTTCATTGACAAACTTGGGGTGTATAAACATGACTACTTCTCTAATGATTAATTTTGTGTTGCTTCTCTTTTCTGTTTCAGTTAGGTAGGACCAAAGTATTTCTCAGGGCTGGTCAAATCGGCATTTTAGATTCCCGCCGTGCTGAAGTGTTGGACTACGCTGCAAAGTGTATTCAGCGTCGACTAAGAACATTTATTACTCACAGGGAATTTATCTCCATCCGTGCTGCTGCATTTTCTATTCAAGCATACTGCCGGGGTTAGTTCTTTTAATCTGTTTTCTCTCCCTTGAGTTGATTATTGTGTTAAATAATTTTTCATCACTGGGTTTCTTTCCCCATCAAAACCTTTGCTTCTGCAATATTATGGCATTTTCACTACTTCCCTCCTATCTTGCTGTAGATTTGGCACCCAATTACCCTTGCCCTAAACCCTAAACCCTAAACCCAATAATTTTTGGTTTATGCTATGCTTTTATGACTGTAAACTGCTCTTACACAAAATGACAACTTGTAAATCTGAGGATGTAAAAAGTCGTGCAAGGTTTCCCAAGTCTAGCCTGAATTAATGCTGAGGTTGGATGGATTGTGCCTCACTAGTATTGTATTTGTGTTATGATAAGCATGGAACATTCAGGGTTCATCATTTTGTAGTTGCTTTGGCTTGGTGCTCATTTATATTGTTGTTGTAGGATGTCTTGCTCGAAAGATGTATGCTGCTAAACGGGAGACATCTGCTGCTATTTTCATTCAGAAATATATTCGTATGTGGATAATGAAACAATCATACTTGAAACTATATTCTTCTTCTATAACCATACAATCCTTTATTCGTGGTTTCACAACTCGCCAAAGATTTGTTCATGGAAAAGAACACAGAGCTGCTACTGTTATTCAGGTAAGTTATAACTACAAGATAACTTTTTATCTCTGCTAGGATTTCTTATTTTTAGAACCATGACTTCTTCATCTTCTTTTTCAATAAACTTGATTAGATTTACATGATGTAGCTAATTTTATTGATCATATTTCCAAAAGGGTAGGAAAGCTCTTTTTTAGTTCATGACCTCCCCCCCCCCCCCCCAAAAAAAAAAAAAACCAAGTACGTTCAAAATTCAAATTCTCATCATTTTATTTGATTTTCTTTGTATGATTTTATAGGCTTGTTGGAAGATGTACAAAATTCGGTCAGTTTTCCAACATCGTCACACTTCAATTGTGGCAATACAATGTCTTTGGCGGTGTAAGCAAGCGAAAAGAGAGCTTCGCAGATTGAAAAAAGTGAGGACTTTATTTCTTCTGCTGTCCTAGTATTAAGATGTTGGTGTTTAAACTTGCTGATTATGTATTTGCAGGAGGCTAGTGAAGCTGGTGCCTTGCGTCTGGCCAAGAATAAACTTGAAAAGCAATTGGAAGATCTCACATGGCGATTGCATCTTGAAAAAAGATTAAGGGTATACCTCAAAAGTGATATTTTGACAGAATCTCTCCCTATGTCAAATGTGTTTTGAGTTATATTCTTCAGCTGCTTCATTAATTCTCTAAATGTTTTATTCTTGCTGAAGTCAGTATTCTCTGTCCACTTCAAACCTTTAAGTAGTTTTTGATTTTGGGTTGTTTCGACAACTAGTGGTAATAATTTCTTCTATTCCATAGATCAAAATTTTCACATGTCAGGATTATCATATTTTACATTGCCATCAGTTGTCAACACTCCTTGTGTGGCAATGACTGTGTCATTGTTTATTGTTAGTTATATTTTTGTTCTTGTAACCTGGTCTGTTAAATTCGTATATAAGTTCTGACTTGTCACTCTTTATTTATCCAGCAGACGCCTCATAAAACATCACAAGTTTTTTTTTTTTTCCTGGTGATATTATAAAAGTTTTCATCCTCTGCTGTTTATTGTTTTGCAGGTTTCTAATGAAGAGGCTAAGCAAGTGGAGATGTCAAAACTTCAAAAGACACTAGAAGCTCTAAATCTTGAATTGGATGCAGCCAAATTAGCAACGATTAATGAGTGTAACAAGAATGCTATGCTTCAAAATCAATTGGAATTGTCAGTAAAGGAGAAATCGGCTTTGGAAAGGGAGCTAGTTGCAATGGATGAACTACGGAAAGAAAATGCTGCGCTAAAGGTGTTACACTTAGTATATAAAATTATTATATTAATTTATATTGGTTTTTCATGCCATATGAATCACATGCTTTATTTTAGATGTTGCTCATGTGAAGGATTGAACAATTACTACTTATATGCAACATTGGAGGCATTATTGTAACAGTTGCATTTGCTTCTGTGTGTAAAGAAGCCCATCACAAATCATTGATTCTTTCTGGGACTGTCTATCGCTCTTTAGGTTGCTAGGAAATTTAAGACAGTTTATCTTTGGGAATACTAGTGCTGTTTTAGACGGTAGTCATGATTGCATTAGAAGAAATATTTAAGTGGGGAAATTTTATCTTGTTTGCCTGTTTGTCTCTTCATTAATTTAATTAGTGTTAGAAGCCGTGATCCTCTCCCCCATCTTCTCCCTTGATTTACTCTATTAATTACCTAGAATAAGTTCCTGATTTTTGTGATATTGCATTATTACTGATTGATTGTAATCTCTTTGCATTATTATTATTGATTGTAACCGGATTGCATACTCCCATCCGGACTCTATATATTGAACTCAGATCATATGAAATAATATATATGAGTGAATTTACATACTCCACAAATATGGTATCAGAGCTCTGGGTTCGGTCTGAACCCAGAAAAGCTCCTTAAACGTCTGCTGTGAGCCAGAGAGAGAGAGACAGCACGGGGAGAGAGAGAGAGAGAGAGTGAGGCGTCCTCAAACTGGTGCAAGAAGAGCTGCGTGGACGACACCACCCCTCCAGTCCTCACCGGCGTCCCTTGATCGGCCAGTCCCCAGAAGCCGACGTCGAACGGAGCTGCGCGTGACTCTCACGCGCTGTCACAAGCTCTGCGCGTGAAGTCCACGCGCCGCCACGCCCCTGTCACTGTTCCAGCACGTGAAGCCCACGCGCCGCCGCCAGAGACCTCCAGTACCTTCCAGAGACCCAGAAAATGGATGACCCAGAATTTCCACCACTTTTTGGATCTGTTCGCAATATTCCAAGGGCCCTCATGTCCGGTACATCTTCTAATACTCAAGCTACTCCTTCTAAAAACTCCACTGCAGAATCAGACTTGACAATAGCCACTGAACCTCAAGCTATGGGGGTAGCACACAAACTTAATGGTAGCAACTATCTCCAATGGTCTCAAAGTGTCTTAATGTATCTGCGTGGGAAGCGTAAGGAGAAGTATATCAATGGAGAAGCACAACAACCTTCACATAATGACCCCAAATTTGACACCTGGTTCGCTGAAAATAATCAGGTGATGTCTTGGTTGTGCAATTCAATGACCCTCGAAATCAGTGAAGGATACCTTCTTGCAAGCACAGCCAAGGAAATCTGGGATGCTGCTAAGCGGACCTACTCTACCCTCGACAACACTGCAGCCTTATTAGATCTCAAGAGGCAACTCAAAGATCTGAAGCAAGGCAACTTAACTGTAACACAATACTACAGTACTCTGACAAAGATATGGCAGCAATTGGATCTCTTTGAAGTACATCCTTGGAAGGATATAGATGATGCTAATTACTACAGACAGTTGGTGGAAAAGGGACGAACATATGAATTTTTGTTGGGCTTGAATGATGTGTTTGAAGAAGTGAGGGGGAGAATTATGGGACTGAAACCTCTGCCATCCCTATTTGAAGTCTTCAGTATGGTTAAGTTCGAAGAAAGCCGAAGACACCTCACCCAAGGTAATCTGACCCCAGCAGAGGGCTCGGCATTGGTGACGAGAGGGTTCCAGACATCAGAGGGGCCTGAGAAGAGAGGGAACAAGTGGTGCAATCATTGTAACAAGAGAGGCCACACCAGAGATGAATGTTGGAAACTACATGGAAAACCAACCCAAGGGAAGCAGAAACGAGAAGATAGAAAGAGCCACCACACCTCATCTGAAGAAAGAGGTGACGATGGAGACCAGTTGACCAGAGAAGAGCTTCAAATGCTTCGTAAGATACTTGAAAAACAAAACAAGTCAAAATCTGTTCCCAACGTGAACTTGATACAGTCAGGTAACTCCATTATAGCCCTTAATGCAATGGTAACTAGTGATGAGACTTGGATTATTGACTCCGGTGCTACCGATCACATGACTGGTAATAAGTCCTTCTTCAAATCCCTCAAATATTGCCATGAGAACCTTAGGGTAAAAGTAGCAACTGGACTATATACGAAAGTTGAGGGTGTTGGCATTGTGGCTCTATCTGAAGATCTGGAAATCCATAATGTTTTGTTTGTCCCTGCTCTTACTTGCAATCTTATTTCTGTGAGCAAATTAACTAAAGGGCACGTATGTCGGGTGATCTTTGATGATGTTAAATGTGTTTTTCAGGATTCGACCTCGGGGAGGAAGATTTTGACTGCTAAAGAATGGGATGGACTCTACTACTTTGAAGGAAAGGATATGAAGATAGCAGGAGCAAAGAAAGCTATGGTTAGCTCCAATTCTCAGAATAAAAATGTAATGTTGTGGCATCTAAGATTAGGCCACCCCAGCTTTGATTATATGAAGCATGTGTTTCCAACTTTATTCAATAAAAATTCTTCTCCTTTCCAATGCGAAACGTGCCAAATTGCAAAACAAACTCGCGCCTCTTATCCCAAACATACTTACAAACCTACTGCCCCGTTCACAATGATCCATACCGACATTTGGGGACCTGCCAAAACCAACACCCAACAGGCACAAGGTGGTTTATCACATTCATAGATGATCACACCCGGGTCACATGGGTTTACCTTATGAAAGAGAAATCCGAAGCCTTACAAATTTTCAAAAACTTTTGCTCGTTTGTGAGAACCCAATTCCAAACACCCATCAAAGTTTTGAGAAGTGACAATGCCAAAGAATACGTGAGTGGAGCCTTTAGGGAATTTCTTGAGCAGGAAGGAATCCATCACCAAACCTCATGTGTCTATACCCCCCAACAAAATGGAATTGCTGAACGAAAGAATAGACATCTTTTAGAAGTAACTCGAGCTATTATGATGGAAAGAAACGTTCCGAATATGTTTTGGGGAGATGCTGTTCTGACCGCAGCTTACCTTATTAATCGCATGGCCTCCAAAATCCTCCATTTCAATACCCCTATTCAGAAATTCCTCGAGACTTACCCCACCTCACCTATCATCAATTCCATTCCCCAAAAGATCTTTGGGTGTGTTGTCTTTGTTCATAAACATGATGGAGGCAAATTAGGTGCTAGAGCAGAAAAATGTATTTTCCTCGGGTATTCCTCCACCCAAAAAGGGTATAAGTGTTATAGTCCTACTACCAGAAACCTCATCATCTCCAAAGATACCGTCTTTTACGAGGATGACACTTACTACCCCAAATTACCCATTCAGGGGGAGCACTATAGAGTAGAATGGCTAATTACACCTGAACCTATAACCACCTCCAGCCTACCTCTTAACCCTCTTGAATCTTCCACACCTCAAGAAGAAATCCCTGAACCAGAATCACAAACCCCTAGTCCTACACCTTCTCCAAAACACCAAAACACCACAAACACTCCTCACCCAATGGAAACCAATGCTGAAATTGATGCAGGGGTGACAGAGTACTCAAGTTCTCAATCAGGTAGTAGGGTTCCTTCCATTCCAAGGCAGCAACATGATTCCAATTCGAAGTTGGATCCTGAAGAGTTGGGATGGCCTATTGCGCTCAGAAAGGGGGTAAGATCGTGTACTCAGCATCCTATTCAAAAATTTGTCTTCTATGGCAATTTATCTGCACAAATGCAAACCTTTGTAGTGAATAGTTCACAGGTGAAGATTCCAGAAACATTTCAACAGGCTATGACAGATCCTAATTGGAAACATGCTGCATATGAGGAGTTCAGAGCCTTGAAGGAAAACAACACGTGGGATATTACCACACTTCCTAAGGGCAAGAAAGCAGTGGGTTGTAGGTGGATCTTCACCCCTAAATTCAATCCTGATGGAAGCATCAACAAGTACAAAGGAAGATTAGTGGCTAAAGGGTACACTCAAACCTATGGGATTGATTATCAAGAAACGTTTGCTCCTGTGGCAAAATTCAACACCATCCAGGTACTCCTATCCCTTGCTGCTAACCTTGACTGGTCTCTACATCAGCTAGACGTGAAGAATGCTTTCCTAAATGGAGATTTGGAGGAGGAAGTATACATGGAAATTCCAGATGGAGTAATTGCTCCACCCAACTCAGTTTGCAAATTGAAGAAATCATTGTATGGCCTGAAACAGTCTCCACGAGCTTGGTTCGACAGGTTTGCCAAAGCAATCAAAAGGTTTGGTTACATTCAAGGACAAGCTGATCACATTCTTTTCGTCAAACACAGTGATGGAAAGGTAACAATCCTAATTGTGTATGTGGATGATATAGTCATAACTGGCAATGATGAGGTTTCTATCTCCCATCTCAAGAAAGCCCTAGCTAGGGAATTCCAAGTGAAGGACCTAGGACAAATGAAGTACTTTCTTGGAATGGAAGTTGCTAGATCCAAAAAGGGTATAAGTGTGTCTCAATGAAAGTACACACTTGACTTACTCCACGAAACAGGAATACTTGGGGCTAAGCCTAGTGAGACTCCTATGGAAGAGTCATGCAATCTGGAAGTGAAACCAAACGGGACACCAGTTAACTCAGAAAGGTACAGAAGACTTGTGGGTAAACTGATCTACTTGACTCATACAAGGCCTGACATTAGCTATGCAGTTGGAGTGGTAAGCCAATTTATGCATCAACCCCAGGAAGAACACATGGAAGCAGTATACAGAATCCTCACCTACCTCAAACTCAATCCTGGAAGAGGAATATTCTTTCGAAAGGGGAATACAAGGAGCATAGAGGTCTACACTGATGCAGATCTGATAGGACTCCAAGTCAGCACATTAACGCACCAGAGGAGAAATAGGGAGACTGGAGTAGTGGTTGAGTCTGTTTGCATCTTTTTAGGAGAGTTGAATGAGTCTTTAGGTTTTATTGATTTTATTAATGATTTATTAATTATTAATTGAATAAGGGGACTTTAGGTTGTTAGAGGTCCATCAACGTCTCTTTCTGTTAGTTCCAAGATATTAGGGATATTTACTTAATTCTTATATTTATTCAATTGTAATTTCTGCATTATAAATATGTTAGCCATCCTATAAGCTAACATATGAGAGATAAATATTTGTTCAGTAATTTGGAGATTCTCCTTTTGGCTACTAAATCTAGTTAAGTGAGATCCTTGCTTAAGTAAATTTTAGTAGATTTTATCCCGGCTATTAGTGAGTTGAGAGTGAGATTCTTGTCTCAACCCTCTACTAGATTATATTTCAGTTTTTTTTATTCACTTAATTATCTAGCCATTTGGGTTCTACCAAATTGGCATCAGAGCCATGGTTGAGACTAGATCATCCCGCATTCCCAACCCACCTGAAAATCCTTTAGCAGGAGATAGTGATCCTTTGACCACAATTGCTGCGCGACTGGAAAATATTGAAGCATTAGCTAATAGAGTAGCCAATTTGGAGGCTGCATCTGAAAGAACTCGAAGAGGAAACCAACGTTCTCATTGGGAAGCTGACAGTGAGGACGACCCTGAAGCATCTTATAGGCGCCGAATGCCTTACACAAAAATTGAATTCCCCAAGTTTAGCGGTGGGGATCCGCGAGGCTGGATATTGAAGGCGGAGAAATATTTTAGGTACTATGACACCCCAGAAGATTTGAAAGTGGATGTGGCATCAATGTACTTGGAGGGAGACGCGCTTGATCTATTCTCTTGGGTTAACAATGAACGCACGGTAGTGTATTGGGATGAACTTGTGAAGGCTCTTCAAGAAAATTATGGACCACCGGAATACCAAAACCCAGATGAGTACCTTTGTAGCATTCGACAAACAGGGACAGTGTCGGAGTATCGTTCTGAATTTGCTCGCAGGTCCTCACGCGTCAAGAATTGGCCAGAGCATTGCTTGTTAGGTGTCTTTATCAATGGGCTCAAGGAAGAGTTGAAGGCGGATGTACGTATCCATAAGCCTAGAACGGTCTATCGAGCAACCAGTTTAGCATTAGAATATGAAACTAAGCTCCAAAAGGCTAATGGGCCTAAGCCCAACATAGCCTCAGGAGTAACTCGCACCTTTTTTCCCTATACCCAGCCAGCACAAGACACAAGCATTGCACAACCATCTTCATCTGCAATTCCAAAGCTCCTTCCACCGCCAACCCCAAACACATATTTGTCTCAGCACCCATCAGCAAAATCACCCAGTTCCTCTACCTTGGAGTCTGAACGCCAGCGTCGCAAGGAGAAAGGGCTTTGCTATCGCTGTGGTGAAGTTTTCAAACCAGGGCACCGCTGCAACTCCTCTTTTTCTCTCCTAGAACTCATTGAAGAAGGAGAAGAAATTATCCTACCCTCAAAAGAAGATGTCAACAATATGGGAGATGGAGGGGAAGTTGAGGTTATGTTTAACGCCATGGTAGGGAAGGCAAATGCTGGAACCATGAAGCTCAAAGGTTCTATAATGGGCCGAGAGATTCTGATTTTAGTAGATAGTGGGTCTACTCACAATTTTATATCAGAAGCATTAGTTTCTGATTTGTGTCTTCCTACTAGTGTGATGTCTTCATTTGGAGTTCAAACAGGAGATGGTAGAGTGGTAAAATGCAACCGTATTTGCACAGATTTAGAGGTAAAAATTTCTGATTTAGTTATTAAACAAGATTATTTCCCCTTCACTTTAAGTGGAATTGATCTTGTTCTGGGCATTAAATGGTTGGCTTCATTGAATACCACCCAAACCAATTGGAACGAGATGGTCATGATTTTCTGGATAAATGGCAAAAAGTACAAGCTTCAGGGAGTTATTCCAGGGACCCATACTGCTGCCCAATTTCAAAGTCTGCTCTTATTAGAAATGCAAATGAATGGGAACCATCGATCAAAGGCAAATCCAATGGATAAGGGAACAGTTCAAGTGGCTGCGCAAGTTCATCAATTACGACTTGAGGGCAAGTCGTGTCTTCAAGGAGGGAGTATTGATAGGACTCCAAGTCAGCACATTAACGCACCAGAGGAGAAATAGGGAGACTGGAGTAGTGGTTGAGTCTGTTTGCATCTTTTTAGGAGAGTTGAATGAGTCTTTTAGGTTTTATTGATTTTATTAATGATTTATTAATTATTAATTGAATAAGGGGACTTTAGGTTGTTAGAGGTCCATCAACGTCTCTTTCTGTTAGTTCCAAGATATTAGGGATATTTACTTAATTCTTATATTTATTCAATTGTAATTTCTGCATTATAAATATGTTAGCCATCCTATAAGCTAACATATGAGAGATAAATATTTGTTCAGTAATTTGGAGATTCTCCTTTGGCTACTAAATCTAGTTAAGTGAGATCCTTGCTTAAGTAAATTTTAGTAGATTTTATCCCGGCTATTAGTGAGTTGAGAGTGAGATTCTTGCCTCAACCCTCTACTAGATTATATTTCAGTTTTTTTTATTCACTTAATTATCTAGCCATTTGGGTTCTACCAAGATCACAGGAGAGCTGTGGATAACAGGAGATCAGTCACAGGATACTGCACTTATGTTTGGGGAAACCCAGTCACTTGGCGAAGCAAGAAACAAACAGTAGTCTCAAGGAGCAGAAGCAAGAAACAAACAGTAGTCTCAAGGAGCAGTGCTGAAGCTGAGCTAAGAGTTGTAGCCCTCGGGGTATGTGAAGGAATGTGGGTGATTAGACTCCTGAAGGAATTGAGAATTTCCTATGAAGGACCTATGAATCTCTGGTGTGATAATCAAGCCAGCATTGAAATGACCAAAAATCCTGTGTATCACGACCGAACAAAACATGTTGACATTGATCGGCACTTCATCGAAGAAAAGGTCGAAGATGGCACCATTAACTTGAACTATGTGCGTTCAACTAATCAGATTGCTGACATCATGACCAAGCCGTTGGCTAGAGTATAGTTTGAAGGGCTTCGAAGCAAGTTGGGAATGGTTGACATTTACTCTCCAGCTTGAGGGGGAGTGTTAGAAGCCGTGATCCTCTCCCCCATCTTCTCCCTTGATTTACTCTATTAATTACCTAGAATAAGTTCCTGATTTTTGTGATATTGCATTATTACTGATTGATTGTAATCTCTTTGCATTATTATTATTGATTGTAACCGGATTGCATACTCCCATCCGGACTCTATATATTGAACTCAGATCATATGAAATAATATATATGAGTGAATTTACATACTCCACAAATAATTAGATTCCTTGTTCTATTTTTTATAGAGTTCTTTGGATGCCTTCGAAAGGAAGAATGCAGCTTTAGAGCTTGAGCTTATGAAGGCGCAAAAAGTTAGTGATGAAACCATTGAGAAACTGGGGGAGGTTGAACGAAAATGTTCTCAATTCCAGCAAAATTTGAAAAGGTGCTTTCTACATTTCTTTTCATTCTACGGATGTGCCTTGTTTGCGTTTGTTAGAATCTGAATGAGTGTTCTTATAGGATTTTATTATGTTGCTGTTTTATAAACAACTAATGACTCATCTTTTTACTTGCATTTGAATTTGAATGCAGTCTTGAGGAGAAGTTGTCAACTTTGGAGGATGAAAATCATGTCCTCCGTCAGAAAGCTTTGAATCCATCTCCTAAGAGCAGCCGACCAGCTATCGCAAAGTCTTTTTCAGAAGTAAGTTGTATACAATGCATATATCCATGTTCACCTAAGACATTTTTATAGGTTCAATTTAGCTCAATTTACTATGACTATCTTCGGGTCCCTAATTCTTGTTAGACAGATGGTTTTATTTACTCATTTAAGTCTATGCTCTTTGTGTGCTAAGAACTTTTGTACAGTGGCTTAATTAATTACCTTTCTTTACCTTTTGAAACAGAAATACTCAAATTCAATAGCTCCCCGTACGGAAAGAAAACCTATATTTGTAAGATATGTACTGCTTTTTTTTAGCTCTGTTCAATAGTGGTCATATGTAATTGTAATTGTCTTCATGTGCTCTAATTTGATGCAGGAGTCACCCACTCCCACAAAACTTATTGCCCCATTTCCACTTGGCTTGTCAGACTCTCGTAGATCTAAGTTAACTGCAGAGAGACACCAGGTAGCTCCCTTGTTTCACTTGTATCTTGATTCTACAATTCAGTTACATACTTTTCCTGATTGATGCACTTTCTATGTAAAGGGTATTTTTGTCATTTGGAAATGAGAATGAAAGGTAAACTTGATGTTCCAAATGCATAATCATTGAATTTGACCATGAGCTATGCTTGATGCCTGGCTGTTCACTATGCATATGTCGCTCTGGTAGTTTTAGCAGCCATCTTGTTGCATAACATAGGATACTCAGACCTGTCCGTGTATGTAAAAATTTATATGGAAAGTTTTATCTTTTATTTGACTCCCAAGATTATCTGCAGGTTGTTTTCTGCCAAATAATTTGAACACTTCGGGTTAACATGAATATATGTTATGCAGGATAACTATGAATTCCTCTCTAGATGTATCAAGGAAGAGTTGGGGTTCAAAAATGGTAAACCGTTGGCAGCATGCATCATTTACAGGTGTCTTCTTCATTGGCATGCCTTTGAATCTGAGCGAACAGCCATTTTTGATTACATAATTGAGGGAATTAATGAAGCCTTAAAGGTAAATCATATATTATTACTTATTTTGAAGTTTCCTTTCTTATTGTAACTCATACTTGTTATTATGACAATCGTTGTGGTAACTGATATAGTTTATAGTCCTTTACATTGGGCCCTTTTGTTATTGTTTTTGGAGTATATATTCATTGGATATGCACCTCCTTCAGGCTAGAGATGATGACTCTCTCTTACCATATTGGCTGTCCAATACTTCCGCGCTTTTGTGCCTCCTACAAAGGAACCTACGTTCAAATGGCTTTCTAGCTACTACTGCCCAGCGTTATACGGGATCTTCTGGCTTGACCAGCCGAATTGGACATGTGAGTTATCAAGTTAAACATTGCCATATAATGTTTATTTTCTACAAGAGCAATATTTTTTCTGTGACTACATGGGAGACTTCTAACCTAATTTAAGCAGTATTATTATTCTGACTTCTGCGTCTTGGCTTTTCTATTGGGATCAAAATTGCGTAGGAAGTATAGAAGCTGGGAACTTCGCAGGGTTTAACTTGGAATAGATGTTTAGGTGTTAGCTTTTGTTAGATTTTCAGATTTTGTACCATCAGCACTTGTTGATGTTGCTTTTAAGATATTAGTCGTAACTGTAGTTTATTGAATTGTACTCCACAATTTATTATTCTATTTACAAAAATGAGAATAAGGTCATTCGCCTTATTATTTAGTGTATTTCTCTCTGTTAAAATTCTTTTAATGTTACCTATGTAAACGTTTATAAACTGGAGCTTATTGATGTATTAGCATGTTTGTTCTGTTTGAAAAATAGTATGTATGAAGGTGCTGCTATGATGTTGACTGATTACTTCTAATTTGTTAATCTTTACAAATACTTGTATGTTTTTCGTCTCTTTATTAAAAGAAGAAATTTTATAGTAAGACATAGGAAATAGCGCAGGGGCTTGTGAACAAAATACTGGTAAGTGATTATTTAGGTAATTTGGGAATAAAGGGATGTATGTGGGCTGTTTTCCATATGCTATAAAGCTGGAGCTGTCATTTTTGAAATGTTATTGGCAGAAACTTGAAAAATCAAATAGCATCTCCATAAGTAGAGAGCAAAAAATGGTTGCAGTATGTGTCCACATCGACCAATTAGTTTCAGCCAACAAAGGTCTCTGAAGGGTGATCAATAATGTCTAAATCAATGTGTTTTTCTTAAGTCTTCGTATTGTACTTTGTGGTTTTCGAAAATCCTCACCTCTCTGGGTGACTCTCCTTTTCTGCCTCTTGTTGATTATAATTTTAATTTTAATGCTGTTATCAGGGACTGAAATCTCCAATAAAATTCCTTGGATATGATGATGGTGTGTCACATGTAGAGGCAAGATATCCTGCTATACTTTTCAAACAACAGTTAACTGCTTGTGTAGAGAAGATTTTTGGCCTGATACGTGATAATTTGAAAAAGGAGCTTTCTCCACTTTTGAGCTCGTGCATTCAGGTGACTGTTCTTGCTCTTGGCAAACTTTAACCAGTACTTACATTTTTGGAGACCGGATGAATCATTCGTTCTCCATTCTCAGTTTATCTGACCATATGTGGTCATAATGATCATTGGAGGATCTAGTTAAGTGCAACCTAGTGCTGATAGCTGACATTGCTTTTAAATTTTTTCCATGAAAGTTACCCAGAAGAAATTATTTCGTGCACTTGAGATGTGTCAGTTGGCAATAATTTATTCCTTTTGACATTGCTACATGTCAGCTGTTCAAATGTTGCCTTGTATTTTTCCCTTAAGCTTTTTTCAGATATGTAGTAGGCCTTGATTGCATTATTTATTCATCTGTCCGTGTAATTTGTTGTAGAAATTGAAAGTTTAACTCAATTTATAATTACATGATTGAATGATTACTTTATTACTTGTTTTCTCACTCTTTAAATCTGTAAATTATAATTTGACATAATGTTCCTCTGGACCCTACGGGGCACCTGATAGGCACCAAAAACTGCACGGGTGCATGGGGGAAAATCATCCCGGTCTCCTAGTGGACTTCCTCAGCAATCTCCTGGTGGTCAGTGGGACAACATCATTAAATTTTTGGATTCACTTATGAGCCGACTACGTGGAAATCATGTATGTTTTTCAAGGATCTGTTTCTTTCTATACTGGTCTATTTGTTATGTTTTTGTTTGTCTTCCTTTCAGAATGCACCTCTATTTGTTTTTACATGCTTCATTGTGTCAGAAGACTTTTATCTCAGAATGTCATGCTTCGTCAAGAAGGCTGTATAATGCACTAAACTAGACAATGGCTCCAAATTTTGCATTTCCACAGAAGTTTTTCGTACAATGAAATGGAGTTTAATTATAAGATGAAACCACTATTCAGGATTATGCATTTTCATCCTGCGCTGCTGTTTTATATATGTATATATGTATGTATGTATGTATTTTTTAATATATATTTTTTGTTTATCCTCAGAATTTGTAAACCATTTTGCTAGTCATGAATTAGGGATGCTATATATTTGTAACATTCATTTAGGCTGTAATAGAAACAATTGCAGACTGGTGTGGTGGGCCAATAATCATTTAACTGTTTATTGTCTCTTTTTTTTTTTGGCGGACTTTTCATTTTTTATAGTGAACTGACATTGTTGGGAGAATAATGTCGCCAAGATCTGGAACATTTCCAGATCTGGCGTGATCTTCATTTATTAGTAATCAATATTGATAGCAAGCAATTTGGAGGCTGATAGTGTCATTAATAAGGATGAATCAGGGTGGACCAGATTTGGAATATTCCAGATCTGGCCTTATCAAGGAAGGCAATTAACCTCCTCTATAATCCCTGATTTCGAGGGACAGCTACCCAATGTTCCAGCAAGGACTTCCAAGATGTCTAGCAATTTCTCCCTCAAACTCCCCAAAATTTTTTCTTTATTTTGTTTCAATCCTTTATTTTTTAGTTGTTGGACATTTATTGTCCAAAAGAGCCGTGATTATTTTATGTTTCTTTCCCATCTTGAAGCATGACCTCCGCGACACCCTGCGTGTTTCTTTCCTTGCTTATAAGCTTTTTCTACTGTAATTTCACTTTGGTAATGTCATCATCCCTTTAGGGCCTTCTGTTTTGTCATCTCTCTTGTTATCTTATTTTTCTTTTGAACTTTGAAAGTTGAAGTTGTATAGAATAGCTTAGTCTAGGATTGAAAATAAGGACTTTATCCTTTTTTGTACATTCTGGTGGCTGGCTACGAAGCCGTTTGAATAGATACCAGATGTATTGAAATTAGGTTGTCTTAGTTATTCTGAAATTGTTAATGGTGTTGAGATATCATGATTGTGGTTGTAAATCATAAAGTTATTATCATTATTTTTTTTTAACACCGATTTACTTATGCTACTTTGAATTTGTGTGCCCAGGTACCATCATTCTTCATACGTAAACTAGTTACTCAAGTCTTCTCTTTCATCAATATTACACTCTTCAACAGGTAAAAAACTTGGTTACTTGGAATGGTTTTTTGTGGCATCAGATTGCTAATTTGATTGCTTGGTTAATCGATTTTTGATAGGAAGAAAGAATATAGAAGGTAGGGAGAAACAGAAAGAGTGAGAGATAGGATGTTAGGAATCTCGGATTGACTAAACTGCCCAATGCAATCTCCCTGATACGAGCTAGTATAACTGAAAACTCTGGGCCCACTACACTCCAAAGCAGAACGACAATTCCATAATAGAATTAACAACTCTTCTGTGATGTTAACTACTGCCTAACACTCTTCCATTGCCCCTGACATTTAACTTTCTTTAATGTTATAATCCTATACATTATCCTACCTATCTTTTGTAGCCTTCTGTTGCGGCGTGAATGTTGTACGTTCTCAAATGGGGAATACGTGAAATCCGGTCTAGCTGAACTGGAAAAGTGGATAGCTAATGCAAAGGAGGAGGTAAATTGAGTTTACTTGCCCATAATATCTCGTGGTTGGAGTTTACGATGTGTGACTAATGTTTTTAATTAAATTCAGTATGCAGGAACATCCTGGCATGAGCTAAATTATATAAGACAAGCTGTTGGGTTTCTGGTATAAGCAATACTTTATTTTAATTTGTTGGGATGCCTGAAACTGTCAAATAGAACTGCATGTCTTATTTATGCTCTCCTCCGTTTGAATTACACAGGTAATTCATCAAAAGAGGAAGAAATCCTTGGAAGAGATTCGACAGGATCTTTGTCCGGTATTATTATCGTATTTATTGATCACAACGTCGATCCTAAATATTAGTCCATGGCAAAAATTTTCAAGTTCCATCATTCGCAAAGGCTCTTGGATGATATTAACTATACGTTTGTGGTTAAAACAGTGAATCATCATGATTTTACTTTTCTTTCTAACTGATTTAACATATGGGCAACATCCCTTTTCGAGATTTGAGTGGTGTGATATTTGTAACACTTTTTATATCTAAATTTCAATATTTACTTAAACATATTTGATATTTTTTGGCTGGTAAGATCAGTAGTTTTTTTTTTTTAAAACACGAGAAGGTTATTCAATTGGCAGCATGCTTAGCTGTTCTGAGAATAGAGAAAAAATGGTATTTTAGTATTGTTGTATTTGGAAGACGCTTGTTCCCAAGTCATCCTTTTATTGCTTTGTGCCTGAATGTTCTCTACATGCTATGCGAGCACTTTTGAGTGGAATTTGTCTCAAAATTATAATGAAAAGGGAAGCTTAGGTTTTAATTTCAGTGCACTTCTTTTACAGGCATTGACTGTGAGGCAAATCTATCGCATCAGTACTATGTACTGGGATGACAAGTACGGAACGCAGAGTGTATCCAATGAGGCAAGTAGAATTTTTAATTGTTATTTTTTTCTGTGACAATATGAGGCTGGTTTGCTCAAAGCTTCAAGTCATCCATGCTGAACAGGTAGTTAGTGAAATGAGGGAAATTGTGAGCAAGGACAATCAAAATCTGACTTCAAATTCATTTTTGTTGGATGATGATCTGAGGTAATCTGATTTCTCTCTTGCATCTCTCATTTTTTTTGCAGATTTAAGACCTGATTGTTGAATGAACCTATAGGATTACTACTTGTTCTTGTTTACTGATGGCAATGACTAGTCTTTCCTTGGGAAGTTTTACCGTAAAAAAGCTCTTGATGGTATGGTTATGTCAAGCGTGTCTTTGTCAGTTGAAAGTTCTCGTTCTTGTTTTTTTGTAGGATACAGACTATGAACCATAAGAGAACTGCATTTGCCACGTAGATGCTTAGAATTTATATGCTGACCACCTATTGAAAATGCAATCCTCCTACACAAATCCCGGCCTGAAAGGGGGTTTTTTTTCTTTCCAGCGGCTTATTCTAGTGGAAAAAGGATGGAATGTTCATTCCTACCCACCTGATATTTCTTATTAGAATCGACCAAAAATGGAATCGATGGTCTAAATGATGATAATGCCCCATTTAAAATGTTTTTCTTGTCAATAAAATTACAATCTACATATAATTCCGGCTCTCGGTTTAAAAAGGTTGATGATGGCCAATACATGGAGAATGAAATAAGTATTAGATTCAATTTTATTTGTTATGTTGCTATTGGCCTGTCTTAACCTTAATTTTTTATTGCAGCATTCCATTTTCTGCTGAAGACATAGATATGGCGATATCTGCAATAGATCCCGATGACATTGATCACCCGCCATTTCTGCCGGAATATCCTTGCGCCCAGTTTCTTGTTGCACATTAGAAGTGATTGATCGATGACGGTTTCAAGATTGTTTCTAAAGCTAAGTCGGCCTAAAGTATTGCATTGATCGCAGTGCTCTGCACGCTGGAAACACAAGTTTCTCTTCACATGGATTGCGAGCTTTGCTGTCATCAGATGTTTTCGATAATCCCGATAGATTTGCCAATCAAGATGTCTACCAGTCAATTCGGGAAAAGTTGCTTCGTAGGTTGTCCAGAAAGTTGTAATTAAGGGTGGACGGCAGTTTAGAAATTAAAAGCTTCCTTATATTTTATGTTGCTCCTCCTCTTAGCTATGCTGATTAGGGGGTCAAAATGTAATGATGTAAATGTATTTGTAAACCGACCTAGGGCTAGGCAGAAAGAATGAAGTATTGTTTCATTCATTGATGTAAATACTGATCTTGCTATAGTATTATCCTGCCACGTTTAGTCTTGGCACTTACAGTAATTTGGTGGCGGGCAAGTGGTCAATTCGATCGGATCCTTCTCAAGAACTCTGCCAAGTCTAAACCCAAAAAAAGAACAGGTTAAGATCGTTAAAATTTTAGTAACGGTTTTTATCAAAATAAATTAATTCTATGTCGCAGTGTCGGTTTTACTAAACGAGTTCATCCTAAATCCTAAGTTTCCTGTAAATGAATCAGATAAAGGTTTCACCGGTTTATGATGGTATGGCAAAACAATTCAACTCAAGTTCGCAAGTAAAAGCTCTTTTAAACACTACGGTAGTCCTCAATAATTGACACTAAATTGCAATGGTCATGGGTAAATCACTTTCAAGTTAACAGTGTATCAACATCTTACTTGTACAATTCACGATTAATGATGAAAGGGAAGGGGTTAGTGCACAATAGGTCACAGGGCCTTCCATGTCTCTACTATAGTTAATCTAGAAGACAGAAGTGACGATCTGCGATGATCTTTGTACGGCTCCTCTAAACATTGCGTGGAATCAACTAGCACCAAAGTAAGAATCACAAGCGGTCATCTTTGTACGGTTCCTCTACGGCATTGCGTGGAATCAACTAGCACCGAAGCAAGTTATCGGCTCTGGGAAGTTCAAGCACACAAGAAGTATCCGTCAGATTAGTTTACCAAGAGCCGTTTCATTGCTGAAGGAGGAACTCGACATATCCATTTTCACAGCAGCGGCGCAATGATGTAGATCAGCCAAGGAGAATGATCGAGAACCAGAGAAGTTCTGCGCAATCGGAAGAGATGCACTTGCTCTAATAGATGCAGGTAACCTGCTTCATGGATGCCGTGGTGGACGAAGTGGTGGAGGTGACCTTGAATTTGAATCCTCGCTTGTAGTACTACTGCTTTCGCAGTTGTTCATGGCGACTGCTAGAGCCAGAGTGCTTCGACTATTGCCCATTGACCTCTTAGAAATGCCCCCACTACTGCTCCTTAAAGGGAAACTTCGATTCTTGTCACAAACGTTATTGAAGGCCATCAAGTTTCTGCGTCTCCTAGTGTAGGCATTCTCAGGTTTAGTAATGTCTTTGACCGATGGTGAGAAGGACGCTTCTGCCAGGCTCGTGAAGGACTTGGATTTGCCATTGTAAAACTTTGAGATCCCTCTCCTGTCAACAATTCAATCTATACATGAGACAATTGGTCGAGCTCAAACCGAATATACATTTCACTATTTTACCAAACTATTGAGCACGAATATTATCATCTCGAAAACTTGCCTAAGATTCTAAGAAATCTTTGTGAAACATGGCAACCTTGACCAAATTGACATAATCTGTTCCTTGCTTCAAGTAACAATCGAATGGAATTTCTTGTATCAAATTAAATTAGAATCCGTGTTCTGAAGTATAAATCCGACTTAGAGAAGGGGTCATGATAAAAGGTTTCTTCATAATTTGACACATCGCAAAACGCGCGAGCGCAGAAAACACAGAAAACGAGAGTTTTTCAAAAAATAAAAGCACAAATTGGTGAGTCAATAGGGATCTGAGAAGGAAAAGTTGGAAATGCATGATACCTGATTGGCAACATCTCTTCTAACGACTCCATCATATCCAAAGGTCCATTATACGCGCTCTGAGCCTCATTTTCACCGCAATCCTCATCCACTGCTGACCTTTCTGAGGACAAATCGCTGTTTCTCCCGATCGAAGAAGTTGAAGACGAAGACGTACTGCACAGATCGTCCGAAAACTCAGCTGGCACCGCTGTATTCCCACCGACCCTGGCACACAGCTTTTGATCCTCCGGCGACTGGAAGAACGCCGGTGCGCATGTGACCACACGCTTCAATCCTGAAGGTTCGATCCGCATGTTCACCAAGGAAAACTCACAGGCACTCATCTAGAGGAATATGTCCAGAAATGCGAACCTTAAAACGATTTAAAAAGAGACCAAAAAGATAACACAAGCGCACAACGGATGAAGATGAAACGCTGAGATAAAGCAGAAAGAGAGGATGGAGAGGAAGGCAGACAAGTGTGAGAGACAATGGATTTGGGGGAAGCACACAGAATCAAAGGACGGGAAATGGTGGTCTTTATTTATTTGTTTCGTTGTTTATTGGGGAAATCACAAATAAAGACCCTCCAATTAGCAAAATCACTCTATGGTCACCTGAATATGTTAAATTACTATGAGGGACCTGGTCTCAAATTGTAATTATGAAATCATGGCCAAATTACCAAAATACCCCTCTTTAATTATTTTTTTTTAAAAAGAAAGCCACTGCCTCACCGGAATCCGCCACCGGCGCCGAAGCTTCGGCGGCCGCTTCCGGCCACTGTCGGCGGCCGGACGCCGGTGATCTTCCTTTGTTTTTTTTTTTGAAACTGTTTTTTTTTTAAATTGGGGGGAAATGAGGTTGGGGGGATTTGATCCCCCAACCTAATGCTTCCCAAAATAAGGAATGACCATTGAGCCACAAATTTTTGTTAACATTATGATGCAAAAAAAAATATAAGTTAACTCATTTATTCTTGTTCCAGGTGATAACAACAATACATCTGAAAATAACAAGTTCTGATTGTAAAATAACACGTCTGGAATAAAAATTTAACAATATGTTTTTTTATAACAATAAATTTTGTTGCAGGTAATAACAACAATACATTTAAAAATAACAAGTTCTGATTATAAAATAACAAGTTTGGGATTAAAATTTAATAACACGTTTTTTTTATAACAATACACTTTGTTTCAAGTGATAACAACAATACATTTAAAAATAACAAGTTCTGATTATAAGATAATAAGTCTAGGATTAAAATTTAACAACACGTTTTTTTTATAACAATTAATTATTTTATACTTTTAAAAAATAAATTATTTATAACTTATAAAAAATATTTTTAATATATTTATTTCTCTAAAAAAATACTTTTTAATCTGTATATCTATACAACTCATTATAAATCAAACTACTTCTTATAAATTATAAAGTATTTATAATAAGGCATTTTGATTTATTAATCATAGTATAAATTTTATATTATTTCATTCTTTAAATATTAAAAATAGTTTTTATATTTAAAGAATAAAATAGTATTTTTAATTATAAATTAGAGATAAATTTCATTTATAAATTTAAGCAGTCAAAAAGTATTTTTAATCAACAATAAATTGTACTATTTATAATTTATAAGAAGTAGTTTGATTTATAATAAGTTGTATAGATATATAGATTAAAAATTTAAAAAAAAAATTAAAAAGTGTGTTGCCATTTTCCCTAAATTTTATTTATAAATTTGAACAATAAAAAAGTATTTTTAATCTATAAAAAATTATACTTCAAGTTCTGGTTATAAATTGGAGATAAAAATTATTTTTTTAGCAAATTAAATAGATTACAAGTACTTTTTATAAGTTATAAATAATTTATTTTCCAAAAGTATAAAATAATTAATTGTTATAAAAAAAAGGTGCTGTTGAATTTTAATTCCAGACTTGTTATTTTATAATCAGAACTTGTTATTTCCAAATGTATTGTTGTTATCACTTGAAACAAAGTGTGTTGTTATAAAAAAAACATCATGTTAAATTTTAATCCCAGACTTATTATCTTATAATCAGAACTTGTTATTTTTAAATGTATTGTTGTTATCACTTGAAATAAAGTGTGTTGTTATAAAAAAAAACATGTTGTTAAATTTTAATCCCAAACTTGTTATTTTATAATCAGAACTTGTTATTTTTAAATGTATTGTTGTTATTGCCTACAACAAAATTTATTGTTATAAAAAAAACATATTGTTAAATTTTTATTCCAGATGTGTTATTTTACAATCAGAACTTGTTATTTCCAAATGTATTGTTGTTATCACCTGGAACAAGAGTAAATGAGTTAACTTATATTTTTTTTTGCATCATAATGTTAACAAAAATTTGTTGGCTCAATGGTCATTCCTTATTTTGGGAAGCATTAAGTTGGGGGATCAAATCCCCCCAACCTCACTTCCCCCCAATTTAAAAAAAAAAAAAAACAGTTTCAAAAAAAAAACAAAGGAAGACCGCCGAAAGCGGCCGCCGGCGCCGGAGCTCCGGCGTCCTGCCGCCGACAGTGGTCGGAAGCGGCCGCCGGAGCTTCGGCGCCGGTGGCCGGATTCCGGTGAGGTAGTGGCTTTCTTTTTAAAAAAAAAATAAATTAAAGAGGGGTATTTTGGTAATTTGGCCATGATTTCATAATTACAATTTGAGACCAGGTCCCTCATAGTAATTTAGCATATTCAGGTGACCATAGAGTGATTTTGCTAATTCAAGGGTCTTTATTTGTGATTTCCCCTTGTTTATTTATTATTTATTATTATTATTATTATTATTGTACTAAATGTGATATGGATGAAAGAGTGGAACAGGATAATAGCAACGAATTTATATTTATTGTTTGGCTGCGGAAATATGTGGAACTGTGGAAGGTCTTATCCTCATCCACTGGACGTTAAAAAATTACGTGTGCATGAGCCGTGATCGCCTGCTTCGGGGTCTGTCATACAACCACCTGCCCAGCCTATTGGGCATTAGCTTGCCTTGACGTCATTTGTCAACTCAGACTTTTGTTTTCACCTTTTTTTTTTGTTTAATTGAAAAACGATCTTTATTTTTTTAAAATTTGAAAAAAAAAGTAGAGATAATGTTTTTCTAAATATACAAAATAACTACCCGTTATTCCTTACATTCTTTAAATTTTTTATCTCATTAAATTATCATCATCAAGTATGTCATCATCATATCAAACGCCAAATAGGATTTTTTTTTATACCAGAAAACAGGAAATTTTGTTCAAGGTTAAAAAATAGGGACATTTATTGTTATGCATGAAACGATTTTTTTTAATAGAAATTTATATATTTAAAAACTTTTTTCAGAAGAAAAGTGTGTGAACGGGTGAGAATTGATTTTTGTTTTTGCTTGGTGGGGAGCTGGGAATGAAACATGGGGTTGAGAGCAGGCGATGACAGGGGAGCCACGTGGAGACGATGACCGGAGGAAATGAAGCTTATCGGGATATTGGGGGGGTGTGGTCGGGGCCCACGGAGGCTTCAGCTTTGAAGGGGTTTTGTTGCGGAACACGTGCTCGGTCATCCTCTCCCTCCTTGTCTCCTTCGTTTCTTTTTGGGAACACAACGGTGCAACCTCCACCTTATCCCATTACGCGTCTTTTCCATCACGTGCTCTCCACTCCCTCCCTCTGCACCACCAACCTTCTCTTTCCCTTACCCCTATCACCAAACCAAACCCGACCCCAATGGCTTTCCTTCATCTTCACTCAATTATATAAAAACGTGGCATTAATTATTATTTATTATATCTCATTATCTGTACAGTTCAAACGATAACGTTGGACGTTGTTGGAACATTTGTGTTGGCGTTATCGTCTCATGCGGCAATTCTCCGGACAAGGACAACACAACAATGTTTGGTCCGCTTTCCCTCCAAACCCCGGCATTATTGACTTCACATAGAATACCACAACCTAGCTAAATACTAAGATCAGATTTTGTTTGATTTTTATTTTAATATTAGATATAAGACTTTAATCTATTTTGTCTCTCATATTTATATATATTTTTAAAATAGTCATAATAATAATAATTCTAACCTATATACTTGATTGGTAAGAATATTTTAAAAAAGACAATACATATTTATTATAAATAACTAACTTGATTTATTTTCTTAATCTACTCAAATTATTCGATTAACTTTTATATTTAGGATTGTGGGTAGTATTACAATGCAAATGAATATTGAAATTCATATTCATATTTATAGTATGTATAAATATATCACACCCATTCTTCCATACACAAATCACATAAATCTGCCAAGCCAAAGCTAAATTAATCGGTGGCTCAGCTAAAACAATACAATGAAGCTAGGAAAACTAGGTAGTGCGTACATGAGAATTCTTGCGTGTAAATGTAATAACGTAAATATATGCCCATGATGTTCTAAACTTCCAGGGCTTACGTGAAGTGGTCAAGGGAAAATATAACGGTCTCCTTACCCAATTTGAGGCAACCGGCGACGCACCAAACACGTAATGACCAAATTGATGCTTACAAGTCTGGGGTCTGGCCAGGAGAGATACATCGATCGGACTGTGTTGTTTTCCTTCTTTTGGGAAAATTAATTATTTATTATAGATGAATGCGAGCTTTGCAAGAGGACCGACGGCGAGAGAGTTGACGTACGTGCATGGTTCAGTGGCTGCGGAATCCGTACGTTTGTCGTCGAAGTGATCGTTTTTGTCGGGTCCTCCCAGTATGGCGCCGGTGAGCTCGTTAGGGTTTGGTCCGTCACGTTGTAACCATTTGATGAAGCTATCCGGACAGGTCACCTCCTCGTTCGCCGCCGACATCGGCACCGATGCTCCTCTGTGGTGGGCTTGTTTTGGTGGGTTGTTCCCGAATCCAACCATTATAGATCTTCCTTCTGGGTTCTTCCCCAGAATGTAATCCATCTGCACATATATATCCATCCAAAATTAATGATTAGTATCTGTATTTACTAAATAAATCTTCGAATTTTTCGGCTGCGTGATTAATTATTACTTGGCCCTTGGCGAATTTAAAGAGGTCGGCCGAGGTGAATGTTTTAGTTCCACAAGTGATTGTTTGTTTGTGTTCTTCCAGAATGTCGCCGTAAAAGGTGAAGACCATTGCCGTGCCGGTCACATATTGCGTGTTGGCTCCGTCCCTCAAGTGAATGACGCCACCTATAAATAATAAAGTTGGGGATCACAATATCATAAGTATTAATTATATGAAAACATTAATAAATGCATAAAAGGAAAGGAGTTGAGAGAGAGAGAGATATTAACCGGGAGTTAATTTAATCTGACTGTAGGGACTCTCGGGATGGACGGAGCATATGAAACTATCGGCTTGATATTTGAATGTATCCAATTTTGGGACTCCTTCATAAAGTAACTGAGCAACAAACACATAAATATGCAGCAATCAGCTATTAGCTAGCTATAATATATAAGAAACTAATCAGAGAAGAAGAGTTTGAGATATGAGAATCAAACCCTAGTGATAAGCACTTGAGCTCCTGCGTATTTGAGATCCCAGCTAAACTCATTCACATAAGCACTAATGGCTTCCTCCTGAATGTACTTCAAATACAATGGTTTTTTGGTTGCGATATATAGCCATGTTGCTGCCCACAACAACTCATCCTGCGTCGTCCCCGTCACTTGATTTCATTAGAAACTCAAAGATTCACATCTAATTCCAATTAATTAATGAAGCAAATGAATGAATGAATGAATGAATTACATTGTAGCCAGAGAAAGAGCAGTAGAAGGGACATTCTCCATCATAAGTTCCCTTGTGTTCTTTCGCCATTTTGAAAAGCTGAGCGGTAAAAGGCCAAAGAAATGACAAAAGTAATTATTATCAGTAATTATTATAGGTTTGCATAATTCCATGCAACGTTACGAAAATGTTTGAATATTTGAATTTATATACCAGCTTGGCCTTGTTGAGGAGACTTCGAGCGTAAGCACGATCGGTACTCCTGAAAACAATAGAAGAAGAAGCCATTGCTGCTGCAGTTTCAGCTGCAATCTCTGAACCGGGCGTGCCATCACCAATTTGCAAAACTGTTCTTTTTGTCTTCATTTTTTCTGGTCGAACCCAACAATGGTGATCCTCCTCTGGGTCCCCCACCTTCACGAGAAACAACAGAAACATATATATAAGATATGTGCAGAAAGATATATGTGAAGGAGTACTAGGTAGTAGCTTCACCTGCACATATAATCGATCGCGTCGGGAAGCACATTTGAGCAAATAATCGGTTCCCCATTTGATGGCGTCTCGAACATTATCCATTTCCTTGGCAGCTTGAATCTCATCCTTGAAATAAACTGCAGCCCATGACAGAGTAGTAACTGTGAAAGCCAAGGGAAAACCATATTTGACGTTGTCTCCTGCATCATAATATCCTCCAGAGAGGTCCACCTACGTACAGTATCATCATGCATGCACATAATAACAACAATATTAATTACGAAGCGATTAATGAGCTGAAATCATCATTATATATAATCGATGTTCTTAAAAGAAACGCATACGTTAGCGAGTTTTCCGTCGTCAAGTGCGGAGTCCCCTCTCCAAGGCACTCTGTTATTGGGAGGGAGCTTGCCTGAGCGTTGAGCCTCCAGAAATACGAGGGACTTGGTGAGAGCGTCTTTATAATTAAACTCGCCACTGACGACATTTGAACATCCTTCAAACACAGCAAGCCATGTGAAGATTATGGCCAATAATGCTCTACGAGTACCCATTAGCCCCAGAATGAATCTTTCAATAGCCTAAAACACAATGAACGTACAAGGTAAAAATAAGAACAAAGGAGGAAGTTTTCATGGAAAGGGAAGGGCTTTCATTTCGGTGTGGTGAATCTTTGGGTATAAAAAGGAAAGAAGGGGTGATTGTGGGGTAGAGAATAATGGCTTTAATTGGAGAATGAGATTTTTCGTTAGAACCAATTTGGAACTTAATTTACCGAATACTATACATAAACATGTACATGCGGTGGTAAAAGATCCGGCAACCATACCAGCAAATGAGGCAGCTATATTTTTGCCGATTCTGAGGAAAACAAGGATACACCACACGTCTTCTCTCACCAGCATTTCACCATATGGATTTGGATTTCATGATCTATAATCAGCATTTCGGCATCCAAATAGTTTGCATTAACCCTCTTCCCTTTCTATATATATGAATTGGATGGTAATCGCGAGATACGTGTTTTTATTGGGTTGTTTGTCGTCCCAAATTAACCTGCATGGTTTTGTAATCTCAATGCATACATTTTTCATTTTATAAGTTAATGAAATGCATGGTTCCAAAAATTATATGCGCCAGTTAGCAAACACATAATATGTTGGACTTTTATCAGTCGGTTAAGTATGATTAAATAAATAATTTCAGCCCAAAGAAAGTGTAGTGACGTAATAATTATAGAATTCAATTGAGAAAGTATGCTTTTTTTATATTAATTGAAAATAATTTATTAAAAAAATATAATTTTCTTGATATTTAATACCCCCTCATGTCTCTAATATTAACCCACGAGTTGCGAGCATGGGTGAATGTACGGATTACAACATATGATACTGTGTTTTCGGATCAGATTTGTTCCGGCCAGCAACCCATCTGACAAAACAAAACATGTTTCTGCTGCCTAAATCCCCAACGCAGGCTTACATTATGTGGGGCCCTAACCCCCTCTCAATTTTTTTTTGGATAAAAACCCACGTCCCATTTTCTGTTTTTCAAAAAGTTAAAAATGTCAGTAACGTGTTGGCCCAAAATGAAGTTACATGTTGGCTTGGGCTTTCTCCTTTAAGGTTTTCTTTTCTTTTCCTTTCTGCTTTTTTTTCACCCCCTCAGAGTTCAGATATGTTCAAGCACGTACGGGATGACTCTGGCCTTGCACTACTGACAAGTCGCTTAGGTGCTTGACAGAGACAGCTAGACCTCAAGTCCTTTAGCGCCTTTACAACTAAATTGGAGAGGACACACCAAACACCAAGAAAACAACTCCACCAAAATGATTCTTTTCACCTTTTCTGACCAAATCTACAGGGGTAGCATTTCTGTTCCTCAATTTTTATGTAAAACAGAATCCAGATCCAGCCATCACGGACAGGGAAGAATTTGATAGTGACGCTGAAATTGCTTGTTTTCTCCTGATCAGACACAAATTTAGTTTGCTCAAGCGATTTATTTAGGTTCTTCATGGAAGCAATATAGAACCAAGTAATTGAAATTATATTAAGGAATTGAAAGGTCATCCCGCCTCTGCTTCGTCCCTTTTTCAAAGCCATATTTTAAATTACCGGAGTCATACTTACTATTCTAGTTTTTTTGCCTCATCAATTAGATAAGTTTCCAGGCGAACGGTAAAAAGTTGTAATAAGCAAATATAGGAAGTTGGAATGGAGAAATTGAACGAGACAGCTTATGGCGTCGGCAGCGGGACATGTCGTGTGCCCTATATGCCTCAAACATGAATGATGTGGGCACATTCCCATTAATCCCTCTCTTTCATTCATGTTTCTATCCAGTTCTTTCACATGTTCCTCCCGCTCATATCTCTCACCTTGCTTCTTTACCTTTTTAGTGGGGAAGAAACACTTGGGACATGTCCTCATCAAGCATGTGAATGATTTGTACCCAACCATGAAATTTCAGACACAAGGCAGTTCTCTAAATTAATGGAGCATCAAATGTATTTTGGGAAAAAATGAGGAAGAAGAACAACATTAACAGGCATGGAATATGAAATACATCATTAGTGGGTTTTCATCGAAAGATAATCACAATTCACAAATCATGATGTCGTTTCTGAGAAGCTTCAATTCGACTAATTTGACCTTAAGATATACCCCCATTCAACAACATTAATTACCTGCGCTTAAAAATCAACAAATTGGATTAAATATTTAGTATACCTCTCCCCTAATATACCCAAAATCTGACGACCTCTTCCACCGTAAGGATTACTTCATCCCCTAATATGTTGCCTCTCGGTCATAATAACCCCGCTTCAAAGAGATTCCTCCGCCTCAATGACTCATCCACAAGCTTGAAAGTCTTCTTCACAAGCTTTTGATCCAGGGCAGTGGTCCGATATATTTTAAAGACGCGATCCACACGATCAGGTGCTGTGCTCTGAAAATACAATTTCTCGAATTTTTTCTTCACAAACCTGCAACCATAGTTTATTATCCAACTTGCTTGGTTCTATGATGATGAAATCATGAAACATCAGGCATGTTGTTCTCTCCTCTCCTTAAATTTCTATGAAGTTACTTCAACATAGTAGACTTCAGGCTTTCAGCATCAACTCAACGCACAAAATTTAAGAAAAATATGAAGTCTAGAGTTTCGAGGGCATTCAATAACCAGAGTCAACTATTTCCTTTTAATTAACGTCAATGAGAAGGGGGAAAAAGAACTTGCTTACTCGTATGCATGCTCGATCTCTTGTTTCCCAGAGGAAACTGGCTGGTAATCTTTAAACCATTCGCATACATTAAGTGGGACCTGCATAATGCCAAACTTGAATCAGTAGACAGAAATGATTATAGCTTCCGCTAATGGCAGTGTACAATGTTCAGACTAGCCTTACTTTTAGGATCTTCTTCTCGAATATGTCAAACTTGTTTAAAAATAACATGAAGGATGTTTTCTGCACAGGAGCAAAAAGGAAATCATTATTAAGATGGGTACCAACTTTAAGATGCTAGTTGTCAAAAGATATAAAAGCCCTCAACAGCAAGTATCATAAAGGAAACAAGGCAAGGAAAGAAGTTAAATAAGAGTTCCCCACAGACATTAAAAATAGAGCATGAAAAAGACCTCAAAACATGGTTGCTTTAGGACCCACTCAAAAAGTTCCTTCGTCTCCATCATTCTGTTCTTGTTTTCATCCTCAAAAAGTGTTTGATCATACCTGGAAAGCAGATATGAGGTCAGCACTTAAACTTTACACAAACCATAATGATAATTGCTTTACTCATTGCTTAACCTGGCACAAGTTACCTTGTTACTGATAATATTCACAGCTAACGGGCTAGTACAAGCTTAGCCTTCAACTACACTATAAATCCCTCCAAAACTTATTTTATTGTAAATTGGGTTCCGTCTGGGGGAACTATCAAAGAAAGTTCTACTAAATCTTACAACTACTCTGGGAACCAACAGATTTAAAACAACCAACAAGTGTCAAGCAATTCGTAATAAATACATAATCCAAGGGAAGGTCAGCTTACTCGCTTATAGCAGCGCAGAATATTACAGCAGTAACTCCTTCAAACAAATGAATCCATTTTCTCCTCTCATTTCTCTGGCCTCCAACATCAAAGAGCCTATATACCTCACCACTTTTCTTGTTTTCCCCAACTGGACTGTCAGAAATCAAAGATATACTCATCTAGTCAGTATATTCTGGGTAGCAAATCATGATGAATAGATCAAGAAACCGTTAATGTCCCATAACATTACAGAAGGCAACTCGATAGGGAAATACACTCAGAAACAATAATTTACCCTTCCCCCTGGCTATATGTATAAAATCCTTCGGAGAAGCACAATCAAACAAAGTTAAGAAAGCATCAGTAACTAACTCAGGTTGCTTTTTGATTCTTGAGTTGAAATAGTTCATAGATTACTAGATTAGAAGATTAATAAAAGAATATAAACGAAATGTAGGCACAACTACAAGCAACAAGGACCAATTACAGCAATAAAATATGAAGTCAGTACAATGATAAAACATATAAATGGGTAAAGGAAAGTTGCCAGCTACATTCACGGGACCTGATGGGAACACAACCTTTCTAGAGCATAAAGTTGGGAACAAGATTTTTAAGCTCAATCATAGAACCAAACTTTGTGATTGCTTATTCTCCATGTAATCATTCACAGAGAAAGAAATTTTGTTTAGTACGCAAATACAGATAACCCTAGTTTCTTAGAGACGGCTGTTGTAAGATTTACACCTCAAGAAAAAGGAGCATTCATGGTCTTACTAGGTTTCTACACGGGCTAGAAAGACTTTTAATCCTTAACCACAAGGTTATATAAGTCCCCATTTTCAGAAGGCAAAGAATGAATTAATGAGCACAGCTACTTGTCATTCAATATCTTTTCCCTCAGCAAATTGAGACAGGAATATAGAACAGGAACATTCATATGCATCTTCACGTGTTATTTCAGACTTTCGTTATGACAACTCTGTCAGATGAAGCATATTCACCTGAACTGAATCTCCACAACGCCAGTGGTACGGACTCTTGCATACAGAACATCCTCCTGCGGTGGAAAACAAAGCAGCAATTAGAAATTTACTTTCAAACATGCATTTAAAAAAGGGGGGAGAAAGAAAGAAATATAGTTTGGATACCTTTGTTGGAACATAATCAGCATCAGACAGTCTCTGTAAATTTTCCATGAAATAATTGGCACAATCTGGAACTTGGAGCTCATTACCACGGACATGTGTTTCCTACAGTTACAAGTAAAATGCATGGAACGTGAGTACTAAGCAACTAATGCCAAACAACCTCCCCCCCCCCCGGGACATATGTTTGGGGGCAGGAGGCAAGGAAGGATAAAGAATGTTGAGAACGGCAACAATATCACGCCATCTAGCCACCTGAATTGCAGCATCTTTCCATAAAGTCTCTATTTCCTGTGCAAGCTCCTTGGTGAGACGTGGGTAATCCGACCTACCTCCTATTTCTGAGAGTTTCTCTCCAATATCCTGCCATAAATATCTAGATGTCAAGCTCTATGAATATAGAAAAAGAATCTTCAGCATAAAAGTTTGAAAAGGGAAGAGAACTGCATAAGGGAAAAAAAATGGATTTGTGGTCAAATACTGGTTAGTTTTTCTTTTCTCATGATATACTTGCATGACAAGATAGCACACCATGATATTATCATGTGTTTTCCGTCCAGAAGATGATTAAACCATATTAGAGCATAAATCATTTAGAGTAACCTGCCTTGTTTTCATTGGATATCGCATACTTTGAAGACTCAGTTTCATTCTGAGCCAATTCCTTTGATCCATCATGCAATATCTGTTCAATCACATCAAATTATAATCAGAATGGCAATTCTCTCAGCTAGTCCATTAAAACTCATCTCACATACATTCTAAACAATAGACATTTGACTCTATAAACTATGCATATTGTCAACGAAAAATAATCAACACACCCTTTCAAATATTGCGTACTTTTATTGTCTGATACACATTAGCATGAATGACTGGTGCATAGCTCTTGAGCTCCGCCTCGTCAAAGCCAGTTTGAAACAAGAGTTTTATCTGCATATCATAAACAGATAGTATAAATCAACAAATCCTCGAATAGATGTTATGCTAAGGCACAGGCCCTGCAATTTCTTGCCTGTTTAAAGATTGTAGACTTCCCTGACTCTCCAGCACCTAAACCACAGGTGTCAAATTGATTTAAATCAGCTTAGAAGAGAAATAACAAAAGAAAGAAAGCTGTCAAGCGACAATAACATGAGATTCATTCAAGGGATTATAGCAATAATGCCTAGGAATAAAACAGACCACTTTCAAGAATAGCAGAGATTGATTTTTTATCAACAGAGGAGACAATTTTATCCCTTGAAAAAACTCAACTATGTCAGGATCACATCAAGGTATTCACCATTTTTTTCTGGATGCATTTTACTAGCCAGCAGAAACGACCAACCAATGATATGTGCCATTCCATCAAACCAGAGAAGCCATCACCCCTCAATGTGATACTTAACTTTAAAATTTCCATAAATACCAAAATTAACAAGTTTCAACTTTAGATATGCACATGAAGTACACACAACAAAAATAAAAGGCACTGCCTAAGTAACATGTACCAAGTAGTAGAAGTTTCTGAATATGCTTTTCGGCCTTTGTTTCTTGCTCTATTCTTTTTTCAATTTCAGCAGCCTGCAAGTGCATGTCATATTTAGGAAGGAACAGTGCTAGCATCAGCTAACAGACAAACTTAAGCAAGAAGCCTAGCATAGCATGTCAGCTCAAGCATAACGAACCTGTGCATTTTCTTCAGTATCAGCATCATTATATCGACGGTTTCTGCTGCAGAGTAGGCCCATATTTTCTGTTACAAAAGACTGCATAGAAGAAGCACAAGTCAAGCTCCACCAGAAGTCAGACTGTGCTTCAATGCCACGATGTAATCCATAGTTATAATAGTGGGCTAAAAAAAAAGACTTGGGAGCAGAGCCGAGCGGAAGTATGCTAAAACTGATATCCATGTAACCTTAGCCAAAATATCTTTTTCCTTTTGAATTTGAAGTGAAGATCTTACAGAAAATCCCGAGTAAACCAAATCGCCCCGATGCATGATTGAATGGACAAGAAGAGAAAATTTACTTTTTCACAACCAGAGAATAATTTGGTGTCACAAGAGCAAACTGAATGGGTGTACAAGGTTAGGATGCCATGTAGACATCCACACATTATTCTGATTACTTGGTTTTATCATATCAAGCAACTTCAATCAAAGACAGTTAATGACGATTAATTAAAAAATATATAAAAAAGAAAAAGCACATAACTCCGCTATATATCCGCACGGACAATTGTTTCGCTGAGTCATTGCGTGCCACCGCCTGATATTTTTTTGTTTTCCCCAGAATAATCAAGTTATTAATCTCTTAGGCCTCAGACAGTAATCAATACAAGTGAGCAGTACTTTTTTTTTCATTGTTTAGCTTAGCGTCACAATCGACACACATACATTAAAAGCTATTTTACACTGGTCTCTGCAGTAGAAAGCAAGAAATTTCGACATACGAACAAGCACGGGCATGCAGAGTACAATCAGCCCATCAAATTTTTAAAGCTCAGGAAATAGAGTCGAAAATGCTACAAGAATCAAATTCAAAAAACCAGAAAGCAGAAATGAAAGAAGCAGTGGCTTGCATCTTGATCTGCGTATATAATCTCAATTGCGGAGATCTCCTCAACAAAAGAAAATGGGGGAAGCAAGGTAGCAGAAATAATCAAGGAGTGAAAAAGATCCAGAAAGCGAAGGAGGAATGTAACAAAAACAGAAGAAGATACCTGGGAAAAGGAGACGGAAAGCGGCGAAGGGGATCTTTTTCAGAAGTGCGGAGATGGATGTAGGGGGGCTAGATTTGGCGGATTGGCGAAGGGTGAGGCAGAAAGCAAGTTCAGCTGTTGGGTGTGGAGGAAGATATAGTATTCTAATAGCAAAACAAACCAAAAAAGAAAAAAACGAAACGAAAAAAAAAAAGGAGGGAGCAGTTCGAGAAAATGGAATTTATATAAAAAATGGAACTTGGAAGCAAGACAAGGAAGGAGCAGAAGGAAAAGGATAGAGAAAGAAAGGAGGAAAATGGGGAAGGAAGAGGAAGGAGGGAGGGGGAAGAAGGATTAAAGAAAAGAGCGCCGAAAGCTGGCGCGGCTGCTTCATCCACAGTGAGCTTCGGTCAAAGTTGGAAAAGACAGACACAGAAGAATACTACTTTTTTATATTAAAATATTCGTATTATATAAGGTGTGTATACATATGTGTGTGTCTTCTTGGGAAAATACACACTTAACGCCCTTCCCTACATCGCCCCGATGGCACTGCCACGCCCTCTCTCAAATATCTTGTCACGCTTTACGACCACATTTGGACCTGTCCTTACCCATCGTTGAATATCAATTCTATCCACAGTACTCCATCTATGGCACATGTATTCCTAATATTCCGTATAGTAGATCACCTGCTCATAATATAAAAACTAATTTAATTTTTAATTTTATTTTAAATATTAAATATTAAATTATTTTATTTAATACATGATTAGTAAAGATATTTTTAAAAAAATAATATGTATTTATTATAAATAACTAATTTAACAAACTTTTTTAATCTATTCAAATTAATCAATTAACTTCTTATTAAAGATTATAAGTTGTAAATTGCTTTTTTTTTTATGCTTTTGTTGAGTCGCTGCTTAGCATTAAAATTAAAATTACTAAATAGCAGTAAATGGTAATGTGAATAAAGTTTTTTGCGTTTTTTTTTGGGGGGGGGGGTTTTATGCTGGCAAGAGGCACATAAATATGAAATGGAAAGGGGAAAAAGACGAAAGAGGGCAAAGACAGCAAAGAACGCACCTCCCGTGCATTTGGATGCTGCCTCCTATCCCCACCCCCAAAAAAAAAAAAAGTCCTTTTTCCTTCCATCCCCTGATTCACTCTGCATCTCCTTTTTAAGAAGAAAATAAATTTTAAATCAAATCAATCAATACCAGTACTCAAAAATTAAATTATGTAAGAATATATCTATTTTTAACAAAATTAAGGTGTAATTAAAAAATAGATCATATTATCTACACCCTGTAAAGAATCCAATTTATTATAATATTATGTCTATAGAAAAGTATATTTCTTTTCATAATACCTGAATTAAGACATACAATATCTATGACACTCATGTTGCCTCTTTTGTCTGTTTGCATTATACAAGCCTCCGATGTATTCTTAAAACTTAACTAAGTGGGCCTGAACATGAATTTGGGTCATTTTCCCGTTTCTAATTCTATTGGGCCACACCAACCCAAACTCCAAAAAAAGAAAGAACGTAGTAACACTTACACTCATGGGCCGGCCCAGTTCTCCCTCATCCTTGTCCCTCTTCAGTCGACCATGCCATGTCCTACCCAGAGCGTTGGGGGGGGGGGGGAGTGCTTGGTTTCATACTACTATTACATTGTCACAATGTCACATAAGGATCACGTCGCGCACTAACTTCTAGAGCAAATGAATGGATTTTGACCGGACAATATCTTCTTGAGTTGGCGTATTGGCAATGACAAGTTCCAAACTGTTATCACTTTCTTCTTCTTCTTCGTCAAATCATTCAATTATTGACGCTGAACATCGCTTCAGTCTGGTTTGCTTGTTGGTAGGATGGGAAGCGACGGCCCACTCTGGTATGCTTTTTAGTTTCAACTCTTTCACTTCACCTACTGCAATTCGCTCATTAATTCTTTATCCTCATGTTCCAATGCTGCTCGCTAAGTCACCATAATCAAGTTTGCAGTAATCAAAATTTTAATCCAACTCTTTCTCAACTTCCACATCGGTTTGCTGTCAAAGCTCAATACAATCGTCACACAATGAGATAGCATAGCCTTTGGCATTAACCCATTTGTCAAATGATCAGTATTTGTGCTGTGGGACATAGAACCTTCAAAGTTCGGCATATTTTCATGAGGGGGTCAAAGTGGTTGTGGGTTAGATTGATTAGTTGATTAGTTCACCCTTTCTATTTGACTTTCTCAACAAACCCCATCTTTCTTTTTTCTTATATTATTAATTGCGTCAATGCTTTTTTTTCCCCCACACCTTCTCATTGAATTACTCGGTTGTGTTGATTGTTTCTTTTTTATTCTTTATGATGTTGCATGGGGGAAAAACTAAAAAAGTGTCAGGAGCGAAGTCTCATTCTGATTAGCCCTTGGTAGGAGTTCTAGAAGCAGCGTCTTTCAAGTTTGATCACCACCAATTTGAAATGAAGAATTTGGTTGTCCCGTTGCTATTGTGATATTATCTGATCTTGACATACCGACAACAATGATTCCGAGGAACATTACCGACCAAAAACAAGGAGATATTCAATCGTACCTTTGCAGCAATCACATATTTTTTCTTTTTTTCAATTCTCTTGTTGGAACACATTGTTTTTATTTTGTTGGAATAAGGAAGATGTCTAAAAGACAACAAAGGAATACTGAATTATTGGATAGGAATTGAGATGTTATACCAGACAGCTTTATTAGTTTATTTTGCGACCTTCGCGGAGCATGTACATCAACTTGTAAACAAATAAACAGGAAAAAAAAATGTACATACAGGGGGGAATTCTGCTGTTAATATCACATCGGAGTCACGGGTGGGCAAGTTGATTGACTTCTAATTAACTAATGACTGGATAATTAGATTACGAATATAAAAATAATTCGACGGCGAATAAAATAAAACGGATGATTTCTGCGTATGTTTGAACCATTGTATCCATAATCAAGCACCCATAAGTCAAGGAATCTCTTTAAGGGTAGTTTGGCAAACATGGGGCTATAAATTTCTCTCCTTGGACTCATTTTACGTTGTCATTTATGTCGTCTTCCTCAATCACATTCAAAAGCAGAAGTTTTGTTTGTAAACGGCGCATATCATGATTCATAAGAAGATTACATGGAGGTCTATCATCTTGACGTTCAGTTGTTACAGGACTAAATGCCCAATAAAGGAATCCAAAAAGAAGATGTCCAAGCAAGGTTCTTTTCAGAGACTAAGCCTCTCTGACATCAGCATTTCGAGCTCTGGTCAGGCCATTGACGATCTTTCCATCTCCCTTGCTGGCCAAAAGCTGTATCCATTTACTCTTGAAGAGCTAAGAGAAGCAACACATAATTTCTCCTGGAGTAATGTGATAGGTGAAGGTGGTTTTGGACCCGTGTACAAGGGATTTATTGATGACAAGCTTAGACCAGGTTTGAAAGCTCAACCTGTGGCTGTGAAACGACTAAACTTGGACGGCATGCAAGGGCACAGGGAATGGCTGGTTAGTTTTCTGAAATGAATAGCTTTACTTCTTTCCATTTCTTTATCAGTCACAAATAAATTCCCATGAACATATTTGCTTTTCTAGGCAGAGATAATCTTTCTCGGACAGCTAAAGCATCCAAATCTTGTTGACTTACTTGGGTACTGCCACGAGGAGGAACACAGGCTTTTAGTGTATGAATACATCCCAAGAGGCAGCTTGGAGAGCCAACTTTTTAGAAGTATGTTGCTTTTCTTAATATCTTCCTTCTTTCAAGTAATTCTTGATGGCACAAAGAGAATAGAGTCCTGATTTGGCCATATTACCTGTAGGATACACTGCAGCCTTGCCATGGTCAACCAGGTTACAAATTGCACTGGGAGCAGCCAAGGGCCTAGCCTTCCTTCATGAAGCAGACAAACCTGTAATATATAGAGATTTCAAAACTTCAAATATCTTATTAGACTCGGTACGTATGTTATCTATCTTACTTCTTAAGGATGATCTTCCTAGTTAAGTAATAAACCCATGATTGATCTTTCTTTTTTAAATGAGTCCAGGATTATACCGCTAAACTTTCAGACTTTGGGTTTGCAAAAGATGGACCTGAAGGGGAAGACACACATGTAACAACACGAATAATAGGAACACAAGGCTATGCAGCACCAGAGTACATCATGACAGGCCACCTTACAACCAAGAGCGACGTGTATAGCTATGGGGTGGTACTATTAGAACTTATAACAGGAAGAAGGATAATGGATAAGAGCAGGCCAAATAGAGAGCAGAGCCTGGTGGAATGGGCGAGGCCTTTATTGAGAGATCAAAGAAAGCTCCACCAGTTCATAGACCCTCGACTTGAAGGACGATTTCCTATCAAAGGAGCTCGTAAAGTCGCAGCATTGGCTTACAAGTGCTTGAGCCACCACCCACGTCCTAGACCCACAATGAGCGATGTGGTCAACACATTGGAGACCCTTCAGAACTTTGATGATACATTCATAGAACCCTTTGTGTATGTAGCCATGAATCAAGATGGCAACATCAACTAACAGCATGACTCAATATTATTCATATGTATTAGAACTAGATAGATGGCAAATTTTTTATGCTTGTCTATCAACTAAATAGTTATTAAGCAAAATGTAAGTGCAGATGTTCAGCTGGACCAAAATGTCCAGATATGCACAAAGCAATTGTAATTTGATGCGAAATAAGACCATCACACCAGAACACAACTTGTCATGATTGGCAATTATCGGGACATGCCCTTGCTGGAAATTTATGTTCAATCATTGATGATGGAAGGCAGGGGAATTTTAAATCCATGGAAAGTCATTTGCATTTGCATCATAGAACAGCTACAGGGAATAGTAGGCCCTAAACCACTAAAATTTTTAAGTCGTGTTGGTTGATTGATCATTGAGATAAAACCTACCGTATGCCTGTGGTCAAGGTCGGTGTTTCATCATGAAATATATTCATATATAATATATAGATATATAATCAGCAAGCTCCCAAAAATATATGATGTAAGAAGCAGTAATTGATTTGAGAATGTCAGCATTGCCAACAACTACTCAACCACCAGTCGGTGTTTCTCCGTGAAAGAAAACCAACGCTAACAATGTCTCGTGCTTTTCTCTTGAGTGTCAAATAAACAGTGAAGAGAAATAACCTTGTGAAAGATAGGACATGCAAGCAATGATTTTGTTTTACTACATTCCTTGGAAGTGCTTCTATCCTGTGACCGGCATGATTTAAATCTACCTGTTCTTCTAATAAATTTCCTTCTTCTGGTTACTGCTGTCTGTTTTTGAATAGAAGATTTATGATCTCGTGCAGGTTTTTTCTCATAAGAGACAAAGACAAGCTCTGGTTAAGTTACTTATTGTTCAAAATTTTCAATAGATGAATTGACAGTCGATGCTTTTATATGGGGCAGTTAGGTTTTTAAACGACGAAGGTTCAAAATTCTTGGGGTCCTTGTGTCTTTTCAAATTCAACCATTAAATTCTATCTCGCATGTTCTAGTTTGATGTAGATCTTGATCAGAGAAATTGGCGGGTAGGCCAGCCGGTTCATGTGGATCTCGAAGCTGAGCTTATGCTCACAAACATCTACAGAAAAGGAGAAATTCGCCACCTCTTGCTGTTACTAGTAGTTCTTATGCACATTTATTTGTAGTTCTTTATGACATTTTTTCAGACGTTCGGGCTCGTTTTTGTTAGGGATATAGGGCAAAGGCACTGCAGATGTATTGCGAGTCGCTAGTCATTTCTTTCTGGATAAGCCATGTATTTAATTCTCAGAAAGATAGGTGAAATACATCCGCGTGAAAATCCTGAGGTTCTGGTTGATTTTCTTTTTCAACAAAATATCTACTGTTATTTAAATTATAAATTTCTTTGTTTTTCATCCTGTTATTTTTTTAGCTTACTCAACTGTTTGGAGGAAGATGCCTTGAGAGGTTAGAGAGTCTCCCTCAACAAAAGGAGAACCTTGAAAAGCTCGTCCATGGATCCATCAGAATTTTAGTTTGGAGTTGTTGGATACAGTTGAAACTTCTACTTAGACTACCAAGAGTGCCCTCTCTGATTTCTCCCAGCCTAGCCATTAGTAGCCAATGCATTGAATTGAGGCCATGCCTACTCTACAGAAAAAGCCAAATTGTTTTCACCTATGCATCTTTTGACGAAATAAGACATTTGCCTGAGTGCATTCTGCAGCTTGCAGGTTGCAGCATTGGCCTTGCCCCGCCATAACCTTGATGGTATATGAGAAGAGACAATGGCTGGCCCTATATGTCTCTCAAGAACATGAAGTTTAATGAACAAGTTCCATGATAGTATTTTTGTGTGGCCATCGAGTCTTAATGCTTCAGTACCTATCTCTGCCTAAAGGATTCTGACAAAGTCAATTCCAGTGCAACAGAACTTGCGGGTTGCTTCATTAAACGCCAAGTAAGGACTACGAGTTAAAATTGCTCATCTCTTTCGACAGTCCTGTCAGTTGACCACATGGGAACTTCTGATCTCCTTGTAAACAGTCCCTCTTATGGCGCATTCATTCTTGTGGGGGAGTTAGATAATAGTTCAGCTATGGCATCTTTGCCAAAAAGGTCAAGCCATTTTACTGCGACCACTATAATGACCCTCAAGCAATAGAAAAAAAACGCCAGCAAAAAACAAACAAAACTTCAGATTAACAGTTCAGTATAAAACAGATATGACAGATATAGAAATATACAACACAAAAGTCATTCTAAATACTAGATCCTGAATTCCCAAAAACACAAAGAAGAATATAATAACCAGTAATCATTCTGTGTGAGGAAATCCAAAACACAATCGATCTTCCTCAAGTCTTCGTTTTTTAAACTAAGTACAGGCACAGGAATTGTCAACAACAAGTGAAACATCCTCTCCTTCACTCCTGAAAAAGAAGTAGCCAATGGAAAGGCCTACCGCGATCGCAATAAATACCCCTCCGTTGAACGACATGATGGCCAACATCAGCAAATATCCGATGGCCGAGTTCACCCCAAAGAGAATGGCTCCCGCTAGCTTCACTCCCAGCCTGGTTTTATCTCCAACGAGATTCGTTTGCAGAAGAGGGATCCGGATCTGCGGCGTCTGAGACGGCCTCCCAGATAAAATGAGCTTCAGGCGAATTCGGCGATTCTCCAGGTACTGGTAGAAAGCAGAGACGAGCAGGCAGGCAAGTAAACTGAGGGCGTAACCCGTCCATGAATGAGTCCTCCAGGAGTCGATCAGGAGGGTGACTTTGTAGCTCCAATAGAAGGTCATGTGCATCATCTTTGATGGAGATTGCTGGTCAGTTCTGAAACTTGGTGTTTTGGCGATTACAACGGCAAATTTTGCGCCTGGGAGTCTGCACTATTTTCTTGAAATTTCAACACCGGCTGAGGATTAGGTCTCATCCAAGGATCAAGAAGATCATCGACGACCGATTCACACGAATGAAATGGTCATTTTCATCTTTATCCTCTGTTAGGGAGAAAATTCGTTTGGCTACCCTATCTAGCTTTATTATCATTGTGCCTTATTGGTGACGTTATCTGGACAGGGACTAATATGTGAAATGCCCTCGGACGAACTTTGCGGTTATGGCGTAATTTCCCTTAAGTAATTTGAGTCGAATTCCCGTCCACGTGGGAGGGTTAATGTCTCATGGAAATATTTGGATAAGAACAAAATCATGATTTTAAAAATATTTTTATATTTTACGGTATACGAAATAAATATGTGAAAGAGTTTGTCTCATTCACAAAAAAATACTTCTAAAAGTAATTATGAGACTACCTAAACACTCTAAGTCTGTTTGGCATGAGAGGGAGATGCAAGGGAGGGGGGAAGGGAAAAAGAGCTCAGTTTAAAAGATTAAAAAAATAGAATTATAGAATTTTGATTAAAAATGTAGTGTTAATATTTTAATCTTTTAAATTAGTCTTTATTTTAGAAAGGGTAAAATGGTCAAAATTTTTATTAGATTATAGGAACTAATATTATAAATAAAAAGAAACTTGAGAAACTAAAATCTATAACTTGAAATTGAAAAACAAACCTAAAATAAAAAACAAACTTAAAAACCAAAGTTTGAATTAACCCAAAATATAAAATAAAAGAATAAGAAAATTTAAGTTAAAAAAAATGTAAGCTAAAATTTTCTCTTTCGTCTTTTTTCTTCCAATTCCCTCGCACCAAACATAGAGCCGGGCGTTATGTTTTCGGCCAAGATTAAACCAGCACTAGTTGTGCGTAGAAAAGGTACTGGGTTTTGGCATTTTTTGCCAGCAGGTATTAAGAGAACTAACGGCTTTTTTTTTTCTTGGACCTGTAAGAGAACCAACGGCTTACAAAATTACAAATATCTTCAATATGCAGAAGAGTCATGTAAAGGTAGAATTAAAATTATGTTGGCGAAGAAAAAAGATAAAGATTATTATACGGGTTTTGCACAAAAGTTCTATCAAAGAAGGATTCTGACATGAGTATGGTCAACTTGCAAGGGTTTTGGGGGAGGCGATGGAATAGCCTGCAAGTAAAAGTCAGTTTTTGAACGTAAGGATAGGAAAAAAAATGTTACAGGCTAAAATTATACACGCACTTTGTTTCGCTTTAGAATATATTGCCCATCTAAATATAAAAAGCTAATTTAGAGACTGCATAACAAACAAAAATATTAATATCATTTTATAAAATTAAATATATAATAAAAATATATCTATAATATTTTTTAAAAATGTCTGAACATGACACACGGCTGTTAGAAAAATCTGGGCCATCAACACCATACTGTTCATCAACAGTATCACACATCACACCATTATCCTTCGCTGTGTATGCTTTTTTTTTTTTTTTAACCAGCCCTTCACTGTATATACTGGTTGTCTGGTTGAATGAAATTGATATTATAAATTATAGTTAAATACCCTAGCTAATAGAAACAGTTTATATACATATTCGTATTAGACAGAAGTATTGCGTTAGATAAGAGATGGCGTATTGTTGCTTGCTAAAGAAAGATAATCAATAGTACACGACTCGTCCTCATTGGAACCATTCATTTCCCTCTCTTATGGTCGGACAAACAAATCAGGGCAGTCAGACGCAAAGGGGAGGAAATTTCTTTGCCCTGTCATTTTGTGTTTGCCTCACGCGGCGACTCAGACGAGTCAGGGACATAATTTGTCAGAAACCCACACTCACAGTAGACCCAGGTGGTTGATTGCAATTATATTGTACTGTGAGCACACTTTGTATGACATCCATTTGCTAATCAGAATGAGACTTGCTAATAAGACAAGTATGGTTCTTACTGAGACATCTCGATTCTAGGGCAAGTAAGATAAACCATCAAATCAAGAATAGGAAGATGAACACGCGCGTCAGAGATTAGTGCTAATTACATTGCTTTTTGCTCAGCATGCTAAAAGCTCATTCCTTTCTATGTGACAGTGGTTTTTCCCCCTCCTGTAAAACAGAACAGAAAGGTTCGGGCTCTGAAACTATGACCAGGCCAAACTAGCATCAGGAAAGCATCATGGTCACGCAACAAATGAAGCAAAAGTTGTTCCTGCGACTCGCGAGAACAACATATGAAATCAGATAATGTTTGGGATCATACCCTATCAGGTATCCTGGGGAGTTAGCAACAGAACACATGTAATAAATTGAACGAGGCAGAGGATAAGATTTCGCGGACAGGGTATCCCTATCAGGGGGGGTCTAGCACCTTCCAAATTGCAGACAGTGGGGCCATAAAGTTATCGTTTTTTAATGAAAATTCATTGATTCAAATGGGCCCCATCTTTCCATCCTCTTTTAAAACAAAAACCCCCCCGTGGTGCTCGATCCCCCCACACCTCATGTTTCAGATATTTTCTCGTGAGCCTTCCTCTTCCTCACACACACACACACATCGTACTGCCTTCTGTTGGAATAATCTGATCAGCAGCATCTTTTTATAATCGATATACTGATCCGCTTTGGTGTAGCTTAAAACAACAAGAATGACAAATTAAAACACGAAAGGAAGGGGCTTTCATAGTTAGATATACGCCTTGAGCAAACCACAAGGAAATGACATTTATTTATTATTAATGATAAACAATTAAACAGAGAGAACGAACTCCGATTGAAGTCAGGGAAGGAAGACTTGTCCCACCGTCATCCCTTCAATCGAAGTTTTTCAGATAGAAACGACCAGCGGCCTCAACCAGGATCCTAGAAAACCAACCACTAAACAAAGACTAAAAGACACCTAAACGACAACACAAGACAATGCGAATACTAGGTTTAATAATCCAAGCCCGTGATTACGCCGAGCCACTAAACCGCTAGTTACCTACATCATCTTAATTAATGGCGGTTACTCGGTGTGGGCTTCTGGGTGAGTGCCCGGCATGGATGAGAAGCAGCTCTGAGATCTGCCCAAGGGACAACACGTCAGTCCCTCCTTCCTCGGAGAATCCAAAGTCCGAAGAAGGAGCTGTTTCATTGCCAGAATCAAATCCTCCGTCGGATTGTTGGGAGGGCTCGAAGATCTGAATTGCTGACAAAACTTGATGTGTCGCTTGAGAGCTTCATCGGTGGAGATATCCATTTCTGATCTCAGTGACTCGTCTTTCACTGCCTCGGCGCACAGCCCGCAAATCCAACGACCTTGGTATCTCTCTCGCACACGACTAATATACGCCTGCGTGCATTCCTCCATCAATCCACAGCAGTAGCACTTCACAGACACGGCTTCGACCACTTCTCCAACTAATGCCTTCGTCGTTTGCGTCTCTACTGAGGACAGCGACTTTGATTCCTTCAAAACCGTAGTAGCCATGTCGCTCTCTGTTTCTCGTTCACGACGTTTCTTCGCAAACCGACCTTTTATGTGTTGAGAGTTGAATTCAAACTTGGAAGTAAATTAATTGCGATGCAAATTCCTAATAACGTTTTAGACAAGGGGGGAGGTACTGAATTTGAAAAACAGAGATATATATAGAAAGGAAACTGATTAAAAACTTTCTTTAACGGAATCGCTGGAATCACTCTTATTAGAGTCAATGGAATTCAATTTCGGAGGATCCAAAATGGTCCGAGATATATCTCCGGAGAGATTATCGCTCCTTTTCCCACTCAGTCTCTTCTGCTTTCTCGCCGCCGAAAAGCAGAAATCCAAATAGCATACAGAACATCTCAGAGCCTTAAATGGCTCTCTGCGATTCCGCTAGTCGATTTCGACAGCAATAAAAGCTCCTTCTTTATTATCGCTCTCTCTCGGAAGCTCCCTCACAAGCAGGTTCTGGTTCTCTCGCCGCTCTCTCTTGCGCATAAAAGGTGCCTGACGCGGAAGAGAGTCAGATCAGATGTATATAGGGGCCAGATATTTGTCGCTCATTTTATTAGTGTTAAAAATTACTGCGGAAAGGTTCTCCAATCATTGGCGGTAGGTATCTGTTTTACTGCGCCAGTCTCAACGTTGGGATTTCTGCACCTACAATCCTCGCCGTTGATCTAAGATTTACAAGCATGTCCCACACTCGCTCGCGCATATTCAGAACTCTACTGTGGGGAGGCAAGCACTAGATTTCTGCGAACCGCCATGCACTGTTGCACCTGCCAGCTTTCACAGACACAACCATTTTGGACTCAACAGACACGACCATTTTGAAGAGAGGTCACAGCTCCTAGCCCTCCGTGCAAGTTAGGCTTTGTTTGGTTCAATTAAAAAAAAAAAGGGGGATGGGAGGTTACTTAAAAAGAGAGTAGGGGTGAGCGGAGGTTACAAGTACTCTTTGCTTTGAGGGGAAAAGAGAGGTGAGAATGTTTTATATTCATGAGAGAAGGAGAAGAGAACTAATTAGAAGTTAATACATATGTCTTTACTCTTTCAGTTAGATTTTTTTATTATTTTACTACAATATTTATATCATACTTATTATTTTCTAATTTATGAATATAAAAAACAAGTTACCCTACATATATCAAATATTTACATTTCTATAAAAATATACATATCATACAAAACATTTTATTATCATTATCGAATATACATATAATAAAGAATATATGCTTGTCATATTATATCAAGAAAAATAGTATAATCATTACAAAAATATTATATCATTATTGTCAGATATCACTACACAATTTCGTAGTATAGATACGAATTCTTTAAAATATTTAAAAATAAAATATCTCTATCTATATCGTCTAATTAGATGGTTTTGAAATTATTAAAGTCTTACCATTATCAAAAGATTGTAAGATATTAATTTATTAAAGTTTTACGAAAATAAAATACATATGAATATCATTGTTCCATTGAACTAAAAAATAAGTTGCATTAATAGCATAAAAAAGCTTAAGAAATAAAAGTAAAAAAGGGTTCTTTAATAAAAAAAAGGTAAACTTGATATATGCAGAAAAAAAAAAATAATTTAGTCAGAATAAGACACAATATTTTTCTCTCCTCTTAAAAAACCCAAACGTGAAGGAGTGCGAAGAGAGAGGAATGAAACACTAAAAAACTTTTTTTTTCCTCCCCTTTCTTTATTTTTCTAAACCAAACACAACTTCTTACTCCTTCCCCTCTCCTCCCTTTTCTTCTTTTTTAAAACCTCCAAACCAAACAATGCGTTAGGGAGCACTCCTCAACGTCTCGACACAACACAATATGTACAGTACGTATAAACTTAAAATATCCATATTAAAGATTATATACTCTACAATGTGCTATAAACGAATTACATTTACATTTGCTAGTAAACCTATTTTACAGAGTTCTGATTTATAAGAGTTAATTCTGATCAACAAAATTATAAAGAACTAATTCAATCAATTTATAAATAAAAAATAAGACCACATTGAGATGGATGTAAGAGTAGTGGTAAAATAGAGGAAAAATAAATTTGAACTATGAGAATAAAAAAACACGAAGACCACAAAGAAGAAAACATGTAACTCAAGGTTGGCCAAAAAGAAAAACAACCTTAAGGATGGTGAAAACTCAATGGTGTGTTACCAAGATGTAGTGCTCCCTCGTATTGCCAATACAAGTGTCTGATAACTAATTAAACATATTAAAAATCAGTTCAACTAATTATTTGCATAACACATGTATTAATTTTTTAAAAATATTATTTTTAATTATTTGTATTGGGGATTACAATCACTAAACAGGGTTTAGAAAAAATATCATGGATTTAGGAGATAGATTACATTGAGAATGAAAACAAAACCCTTCACCACTTCTCATACTAGAAGAGTGTGCATCGGATTGAACCACGTTATCTCTTTTTTTCTGTTGGTTAATATAAAAATCATGCCATATCTAAAACGTGAAATAAAATATTACTCATCATATTCTTAATATAAAACTTATTCAACTAATTTGATTATATTAACGAAGTTAGGTGAGTTAGCAATTATAAGAAATATGACTTTTTTTCCTAAAACATCATAGTCATCTTTCTTAATATTTTTCCTCTCTATTATACTACCTCTGGTCCTTAATATAAGATTCTTTTTACTTTTATTTTGATCCTAATAAAAGACCCCAATCCCTTTATCTCTCGTATTTATATATTTTTTTTCCAAAGTAGCCATTCCAGTAATAAGAGTTATAGTCAGTACACTTGATTGGCAAGGATATTTTAGGAAAGACAACACCTATTTATGATAAATAAGTAACTCAACTTACTTCCTTGATCTCCTCAAATTAGTCAACTGGCTCTTATAATTAGGATCGGATGTAGTATTCGATTATGGTTGAGGGAGTATCTACAGGAATAATTTAAGAAAAATTGATAAATATGAAAAACATATCTTATATTTATGATCAAAACTAACTAAGTAATTAAGTTTTATATTAAAAACGGAAGGAGTACAATGCTTTTTACCGTCTGTAAGAAAAACTAGTATTCTTCTCCTATCAGGAAAACTAATCAAATAGCCGGCAGGCTGTGTTTTACATACAGAGCAGAGCTTAAGTTGCAGTTCAGGGGGTCTAGTACTGTCATTCTTCATCTTAATCAGTGGATTTTAAATAAAATAGAAACATTTGATATTTTTACAGTTTTAAAATGGCGTGTTTTTTTTATTTTTGTTTATTTTTCAAGTTTTTAAAGGAAATACTAAAAATTACACAGTTTTGTTTTTTTTTAAATATCACTAAGAAAAAAAGATCACAAGCACAACGTTTCATCACATAACAATACCGCAGTGCCTCTCTCTTTTTTTTTTTTTTCCTCTTGGAGATCATGATTAAAAAATAAAAATATAAGCAATGGGACCCTACAAGAATCATTAGAGGCTCATTTAAGGTGATGTGAATTATTTACAATACGGCAATATCGGAGGTCATCGTTTTCCACAATCATACAAATTAAACCTCGTGTAATATACATATGCGCGTGTATGAAATCAGTTCGATGAAGATACATAACGACGTTTTAATTTGAGTTGTTTTTTATTTTTAAAAAGTTATTTACGTGACAACACCAACAGGCAACAGGTCTAAATAAATTTCTAGTTGGAATTTAATGTTGATATATCTGGACGTGTTTATTTAAATTATATGAGAAAGGAGAAAATAGGTAAAAGAACGTCCTGATAAACTTTTACTTTGTAATCGGACGCTGTTGCGCGGGAAGTCACGCGCATGAGGGGAGAAGGCGCGAAGTGGAGTTTGACGGGGACATGTGCAGGTTGCTAGTGGGTTCGCATGCGACTGGCTGGCTGTAAAGGGCGGGTAGGTGGCGTACAAGCGTGTCGGCATTCGACCGCGATCACGCGCGAGTGATTGCACATGAGACGAAAATACCAACAAAACAAGCCAGCTGGATGGGCAAAAAGACAGGGAGGAACTTGGCCAAGGTGTTCCATGCGTATGGAACAGGGTTATTACGGTAAATTCAAACAAAAAATTATGGTAGCACCAGAGTAAATAAAGCGCCGCCTTACATATTCTAGACTTTTCAGCGGTTTTCCGTACTCCACTTCTATATCGGCCCATACACGTGGAATTGTAGCCACTTCGGGCTACTCTCGTTGTCGTGTCGTGGTTCCACACGCCATCGCGCGTTACAAAGCTTTCTCTCTACGCTTGGAAGATGAAACTACATTAATTGATTTTTTTAAAGATAAGTCGTGTAGTAATTATTTTCTTTAATTTTTAACTACGGATCCACTATGAGGAGCCATGCAAGAGCAAAAAACTTGAGTATTTTTTTTATTGTTAAACAAATTTGAAATTGTCATCTTTCATTATTTTTTATTGTTTTTAGTCTTAATTATAAAATCTCATTTATAAACTACAAATGATATTTTATAATTAAAACCGGACATAGTAGTTTAATTGAAAAAATTTCACATTTAAAAAAAACTTTCTATCCATTATATCAAATTTTTTTAATTATACGTAATCATGTGTCTCTTTTTGTTTTATGTATATTTATAATTAAATACCATCAAATGCTAATACTTCAAAAATAGGAATATGATTATTTATGAATGGAAAAAATTAACATAATGAATATAAAAACTTAATATAAATATTTTCCTAATTTTAATTATTTCTGTTAAGCTTTATATAGACATTTTAAAGATGAAACATACGTAAATGTTCAGAGTGTTGTGACAAAAATAAAATTTCACAAGCACCTGATAGCGTCAGTTTGACGTGAGGGAGACGGAGGAAAAACGATGCGAAGGGAAATTTTAATGAGTTTAATTTAAAAAATTAAAGAAATTAGGTTAAAAACTTTTAATTATTTTATCCTACTCTTTAACATTATATCTTCTCTTTATTAAAATTTTATGATTCTACTTTTATAATTTTTTAAATTGATCTTATTGAATTTTTTTCCCTCCTTTCCTTCTTCCCAATTGTATCATGTCAAACATATAGGGTCAATGTAACTTGTGTGACAAGAATAAATTAGACAGATTCTGTCCCTGATGTTGTGGCCCATTGTGGCTTGTGAGTCCAGAGGCAAATATTCGTGGGCTGTAGGACGAACAGTGACAAGGGGCCGCAAAAAAAGAGTTTGTTAGTACCAACGGGAGTTGAGTCTACTAAAAATGTTAGTTTTTCACAACGTCACGAATTAAGGTTCGAATCTTTACTGGGAGAGGTGCTCACATTTAGTGCCTGACAGTGCCTCGAATAAGATTGTCTCCAATAAGAGGATACCTATGTTTTAACAAACAAAAAAAAGAGTTTGTTAGTATGATGCCGTTGAGGGGTCACAATTAACATTTAGTATCGGATTTTAACTAATGTTTAATTGATATGATTAACGTATATCTACATTTTTTAATATAAGAAATAGTTAACTAATTTAAATAGATTAAAAAAATTAGTTAAGTTAGTTATTTGTAATAAATTAGTTTGTTAGAACTATTATTATTACAAGAATTATCTTAAAAAAAGAGGGATAAATATGAAATAAAGTACAATGATATCTTAGATTTAGAACTAAAATACTCCTTCTATCCCAAATATAAGGATTTTTTATTTAAGGCCAGAAGAGTATAAATTAAATGAATTTTTATATTAAAATTGGAGATAGTATACAACATAGTCGCGCAAAAACCGTGCAGTGCAGACAATCTTAAGATTTGCAAAGTGATTTTGGAGCATAATTTTGTACTAAGAAAATTAACAGAAAAGTGGGAGTGATGAAAAGATGGGGAAGCAGGAGCCAAAGAAAGCAACGGGGGCGTGGTGGCACAGCAGCCGCCCAGCAGTCCATAGGGTTATAATTATAATGTGAGGTGAAGAAGGGCTGATTTGGAGCGTTGCGGATCACGGGGTCGTCTTGTGCGGCCCAGCCCCGAGCCACGTGGAAGTCCACCGCTCCCCTCAACTTGCATTTTCCCTGTTCCACTCCTGAAAGTTACCTTCCTCTCCTTTTATATTATCGTATGACTGGCAAATAGATGGTAAGTTCTTTTTTTTATTAAAAATATGTACAATTATATCCTCATTTATTGTGTCAGTAGAATGGGTTAAAAGTATATATACATGGCCCACAATGCTCTGCCGCGGTCACCCAAGCACTTGGAATTTGATTCTTTTTTTGTTGTCAGGGTCACGACCATCATGTGGGGTAACTAATTCCCTTATTTATTGTTATTCCTTTGCCCTCTTCCTCAGAACGTTTCAATATAAATGGCCCCGTTCATTAGGGTTTTATCCTCACTCAAGTGCTATTGAATTAAGTGCTTATTTGGGATCATAGTAGAAATTTTTATAAACACATTTTACGTCAGTAGAGATAAAATTTTTTATATATTTACTTTGTATTCCGTAAATCACTATTAATAAACTACTTATAAGCTGTTCTAAAAGGATCTCATAGCTAAAATCATTCCTATATGTGTGTGTATCTATACACATGTAAGTATCTTAGCAAAAAAAAAAACAATTATATATATTGGCCAAAACTATTTACACTCTTAAGTCTTTAAAAAAATTTAATCAAATAATTAAAAAAAAAGAAGGAAAATTCCTTCATATGGAATGACGCCTGTGATGTTGTTAGGCCCATTTGACACATAGACGGAGAAGTGATGGGCAAAGAAATATCATCTACTTTATTATACTGTGCGTTGTTAAGGTGAAAAGGATAGTGAAAATCCCTTTCAATGCAGTATTTTCTTATTTAAATGGGACGGGCAATTTAACTATCCCCTTTTAATTATTTTCATTTTTTTTTCAAAACACTATTCAACAAAATTGGTAAAATAAAACACCCCTCAGTAAAAAAAAGAAGAAGTAAATTTGTTGTTTGTTTCGGCATGTACGGCAGACATGATTTTTTCATTCTTATTTTTGTTCCAGCATTATATTCATATGTATAATCACCTTGCAAACCAGACGGGACTTTAGAAAAAGGAGGGGAAAACACTCTGTTTCGGTCAACTAAACCATCGATAGTTAAACATGACCATAGTTCTCTCGTTACGCATTTTTCAAATCCGTTGGTGCTTTCCTTGATTCCACTTTCTCCTCTCGTTTTTACCTACACTAAACCCTATCAGAGTATAATTTATTGCCGAATTATAGTTTACTGAAAAGTACAGTTTGTCACTTGTAAGCATGAATAATTTAAAAAATGAGTGACGTGAGTTCAGCAACAACAAAAAGAAAAACATGTATAACAAATTGGATGGGAAACAAGAAATATTATATTACATGTATAGTCTGCATTAATCTATCCGCTGTACATAGTACTCCTCATGTAGATGTAATCTGAGAGTTAGTATTATAATTTTTTTCCAGACTGGTCCTGATGATATTTCCCAATGATAACTAAGCAGGCGAGTGAGGGAGGGAAGAAATTAAGAAAGGTGTTTATGATGTTTTAGAAAGAGCATATCATATTAACTAATTTAATTGACATTTTTAATCTACTCAAATTAGTTAATTAGATCCTACATTAAGAATCGGAGGAGTGTAATTTATTTAGAATTTTTATAAAAATTAAGAGTGACAAAAAACTGTTTGTTTTTTTTGAGAATAATAAATCCTAATTTACTCTGGCAAACAAAACCCATAATTTTCCATGCACATCTTATCTGACCAGCTATTGAGCCAACCTTGCTTGTTGAGCCGTTTATCTTGGGCCTAAAGTCTGGATCTTAAATTTTGCTTGTCAAAAGGTCAAGCAGCAGCCGAAGGAAAATATAATAATATATAACGGAATAATGACAGGAAAAATAATAAAAAAAACAAAATGTGGTATTTAAGAAAAGATAGAGTTTGTGGGGTGGTGACATTTTTCTTCCCAAATCCCAATCATGCAGAATAATTAAATATAAGTACTGTACAGTTAAGAGGGTGAAACTCAAGATACCAATAGAGAGAGAAAGTGGTAGAGAGAGGAGGGGGGTACAGAGAGAGGTCAAATCGAGTGGCGAAAGTTGGGTGTCTTGTTTAGTATTTTTGTGGTGGTGGTGCTGGTATTAGCTAAGAAGGTTTCCACCAAAAACCAAAGAGAAAGAGAAAAAGAAAGAGGGGGCGGGAGGAAAGAGAAACAGATAGAAGAACTTGCAGGCCCTGATAACTGAGATAATTATACTGGAGAGAGAGTTCGTAGCTCGATTTCCACGGGGAAAAAAAAGTAAACCAGCTTCACTTTAGCTCATCTTCTCTCCCTCTCGCGCCTTCTGATATCAAGCAATCTTGCAGATGGATCCCTTCGATTTGATTCGGAAAGGTATACCTCCAAAAATTTTAGATCTTTCTCTTGCCTTACTCAATTTTTCTTTAATTATTGGTTTTAATTCTGTTTGATTATGTTTACTGGGTTTCTTTCATTTGTTCTGTCAAATATTATTAGGCTCCGAATTATGCAAGATCTCTTAAAGTTTACGGCTATTGTAATGGGAGGCTTTGTTTGGCTGCGTTTGTGCTTTCACAGATTGCTATTTTTGTCCTCCTGGGTTCGAATCTGTCGTGTTTTTATTTGTTAGATGCTTGTGGAATTTGGGGGTGAATTTTATGGATATCCTTTCGGTTTTAATGGGCTTTCTGTGGGTGTGTGTGTACCTACGAGAAATCCCGTTATTGTTCGATTCATCTCGGAAAAAAGAATCTGCTTTCTAGATTTTCAATCATCCAGGAATTTTTAGGGTTTTCAACATGTCCCACAGTTTTGTCTAGTTCTAGAATTGGTCCATATTTTTGAAAGCTTTTTTGTATTCGTTTAACTAAAAATTGTGTACGACTCATCTATGGTGCATCTTTTGTTCAAATTAACTCATAGGAGAATACAAGGTAAGAAGTTACAGTATTGAAACTAATCTACAGTTGATTACTGTGATAATCAACCTGACGTTGCGTCTTTTTATATCCTCCACTACTATGCTATCTTGTCAATGTGGCGGACCTTTTTATGATTGTTTTGTTGTAACTGAATTTAGATTCTCTTGTCTAGTACACGCTTAAAATGCTTGTACTGCAATTGTTTACTTCCCCTTTTCTCATGGAAGCTGGGTTGATCATGAGTGTTATCAAATTGAACCATTCTGCAGGGTTTGGCTGAAGCTGACTGGACTGGTGGTGTTACTATTTAGGTTCTATCTATGTTGTTGTAATTTTGTTAATATCTTAGTTAATGATGAGCTTAATCCAGAAAGGATCCCAATCAGAAACAAAGCTTAGCTCCCCAAACAAGGTAACTACTTTGAATCCAAATGCTGCGGAATTTGTTCCTTTTGCCCTTAGATCATTGCCATCTGGAAGTACCAGCTCCGCAGATGCAACAGCAAGGTTTCCTACTGCTGGAGCTCTTGGGAAAGCGGTTTTAGATCGATCAGAGTCATCCATTTCAAATAATTCTGATGATGAGGTCCACCAATACTGGCGTTGTCAGCTCCCTGATGATATCACCCCCGACTTCAAGGTCATGGGAGAGGATGAATCCCAAGGTCTTAACAATCTCTCTTTAGCGGGCTTGTCTGTACATGATGATCATGAAGCACCGAGGTTCCCTTCTAATGGAAATAGATATCTATTAAATGAGCAGCAGGAATTGTCTCAATTTCAACTTAATGGCAACAGTTTTGCTGATAAATTAAGATTTTCCAATTCAGCCTATAGGGAGGACCCATCTTCAGCAAATTTTCTAAACACATTAGCGAAGCCTTGGGATATGCAAATTGGAAGTACCAACCAGCATTTTGGAAGCGGTCGAGAGGGGCTTACTTATGATGATAATTCTGGACATGGATTCTTAAATGATCTTTTGGGCGAACAAGCTATAGTGGATGATACTGATATGAACCCTTTGGAGTTTTTGGCTTCTCAGTTCCCTGGTTTTGCTTCAGAAAGCCTTGCAGAAGTTTACTTTGCTAATGGATGTGACTTAAATCTGACCATTGAGATGCTCACTCAGTTGGAGGTAAGACTGACCTTTTAGTGGTAACTGACTTTGGGTCTAATTGGGGGTTTCCCATGAGCCGTGTTTTATATGATGAACTGTGAAAATTTACTTTTTTAAATTTTATTTTCAAGCACGACCTCTTCAAGCATTGGCTTGCAATTTTTGGTTGGAAATGCATGGTTGTAATATAGTAGGTGCAATATTAAGTTTTATGGGATGGATTGTAACATCGCAGAGCAGCTACAAACCTTGGGCAGGGAAGAGCTAGCTTCCCGTAAAGTGAGATGATTCAGATGTGATTTTAGGCACACTCTTATTTCTTGTTTTCAATTCTAAGTATCAGTTTTTGACCAATTCTCTCCACAACTTAGTTCTGTACCTCATATTATCAATGGAAATCGTTTTTTTTTTTTTAAAGTTCTATGTCATTGTTTCATGGCGGTTGATCAAGTAGTACAGACATCCCTGTGATTGATTCTTCTTTCTGTGGATGTCCTTGCCATTTTCATTGCCCTGATTTCATTGATATTCTTCTTGAGTCAAAAACTTAATCAATATAATTTGCCCTTGTAGCTTCAAGTTGATGGCAATTTCAATCAGAATCTGAATTCAAAGACTGTTTCAGCTCCTAATCTGAGTGCAATGGACTTCCCTGCACTTACCTCACCTGATGGCCACACTACTTCTGTTAAATATGCTGCAGATAATGTTCAACAAAGCAGCAATCCTTATGGATCATCTGACAAGGACATGCTTCTTTTCAAATCTAGCTCTTCAATTCCATCTAGAGGTGCTATTGACTTTGCTTCTGCTGTCAGGAAATTGGCTTCCCAGGACTCTGGAATGTGGAAGTATGATAAAAATGGTTCTGGTGATGCCACTATTGGCTCAAGTAGAAGTTCCCATGCTCTGGCTCATGCGTATAATGGTGGTCAGGGAAGAGCAAATTTTGGTGATAGGTTGACAAACCGTGGTTCAGCTCGAGCAGCTCCTGTTTGGCTTGAAACTGGTGATGCAGTTGGTAAATATTTATGTTCTATGCTTCTATTCTGCAATGAATTCCTTTTACACTCTACATTTGATCATACGTTGGATGGCAGCAAATATGTATTCTGAACTGCGGGAGGAGGCTCGTGATCATGCACGGTTGCGTAATACATATTTTGAGCAGGTAGGTCTCAAACTCTAATGCGGATTTAGATGGCAATGGATAATATCTCATAATGTGATGCTTTTGGCTATGCTCTTCTTGGGTTGCTTATACTGACACACATTGCCCAAATTTCTCTCCCATCTTTCCCTCCGTTGAGCAAGTCAGTATTGTTCAGTTTTCATTATTTTTTTGGGTCATCAAATTGGCACAAGAACTAAAGGGAGTGTAGGTTTACTCTCAAAGCTGTTGTCCGATTATCAAACAACAAAGTTAGAAAGTCAAGGAACAGTTGCTGAAAGTCTGGCACGTTCTTATTAAACCATCTTCTCTGGGGTTGCTTTCATATGCAACTGTAGAATTTTCTGCAACTGTCAATTGGAGGATTTATCTAACTGATATTTTTGTAATTTGAGCTAATTAGTGATGATTTAAAATCAGGCACGGCAAGCATACCTCATTGGAAATAAGGCCTTGGCAAAGGAACTGGGTGTTAAAGGGCAACTGCACAACATGCACATGAAAGCAGCTCATGGAAAAGCTCAGGAATCTATTTACCGGCAGAGGTTTGTTAATCTTCAGTGCTCTCATTTGGCTCTTTTTTCTGTTGGTTAAAATAAAGAACTCGTCTAGGGCTTTGTTGATACGACATCCCTTGCTGCTAGCTCACAAGCTGTATATAAATTAGCATGATGATTAGCTTTTGATAAGTTGGCCCTACCCCGTCTAAGTTTTCCGTTTAAACATACCTTTACCTTTTGCCTGCTTCTTTCTGATATCAATAATGTTTTTATTATACTGAATACTGACATCCAGCTTTCAAGAACATGTGCTGCTGCACTTCTGCTGCTCTTTTATTTTCCCCCTTCCCCAGTTTATACAGCTTGTACAATCTGCTGAATAGTTGCCATCTGGAATGATTACATGGACGGACAAGAATACATCATCGTTGTATGAGCTAGGGTGTTCCACATTACCAGGTTGTTATTTTAAGGGATGGATTCTCTCTGACATACAAATGTTGAATGTTCAGGAATCCAGTTTCTCCAGAGATGCAGAGCAACGGAAGAGGACATGAAAGAATGATAGACCTACATGGACTACATGTTAGCGAAGCCATTCATGTGCTAAAACATGAATTGAGCGTGCTAAGAAGCACTGCTAGAGCTGCCGACCAGCGCTTGCAGGTTTATATATGCGTTGGTACCGGTCATCATACCCGGGGTTCCCGCACTCCTGCAAGGCTTCCAGTAGCTGTACAGCGTTATCTACTTGAAGAAGAGGGTCTAGACTACAAGGAACCACAGCCAGGCCTGCTTCGAGTAGTGATCTATTGAACAAAAATGACAGCGAGGTATACAAGTTTTTGACACAGTAAAAACCCATGAAGTAGACATTGTAGTCATTCTTGTATCTGTACATTGGGGAAGAAATGGCGATGTCCAAGTCTGAAGAAAAAGGGGAGGAAAAAAAGTTCAGAGTAGAGAAAAGGAACGTGGAAACGTTAGAAGGAAAGACGGGTTTGTAGTAGCAGAAATGTATCATTAAGGTTTTAACCACGGCATCTGGTTACGTTAGTCAGCAGCGACTATACGTCAGTGCGTGTCATGTGATCATTTTCCTTCTGTTAATTTTGTACCCTAATTTTCTTTTTTTTCTTCGCTTTTTTTAAAAAAAGCCCTTTTGTTTCTTATTGATTCAGATGTAACTGATAGAATTCAATTACATGATAGAACAATTCACTTTTGCCAATTTCCAGTGCGCACTGCAAATGCTCGTTCATGAGTGCAGGACCCTAACGAACAATTGAACGCTTAAGAACCTATGCTAGCGTCACCAGTTAACCAAAGTACCGTATGTTCCATCTATAAGTCGATCAGCAGCTGTGGCTTTGCCTTGTTAATATGTATCTGCGTCTCCATCCAGGGATTCAGCGATGGGAAAATACCATGTTAAAGCACGATACAAGTTCTATTGTTCATAACTGTAAATTTTACATTATATGTTTAACTTACTGATACCAAATCCAAGATATTTTGAGCAGCATGTAATACAGATAATTTAAGATGCCACAACCCTCTTTCTATATGATTTAAAATAATTACACAAGTCATGGATGATATATGTGCATTTTCTTTTTTCAAAAAATACATGTGGCGTTCGGACTCATCCTAGTTGCTTGTACGAGTAATGGGTTATAAGCAATGAATGTAATTCATTGTTTCATTTTATGCAATGCTCACTCATCCTAGTTGCTTCTACATGTATTAGAAACGTGTTGGAAAGCAAATACAGCTCTTATTTACATACTCAAGCATTATAATCTTGGACCCTGACTCTGGTAACTTCTCATACATGCCTTTTTGCAGCCTTCTCGCTATTTTCTCTTGATTCAATTATTTTATCGGCTCACATACATTTGGTTAGGCTGCAGAGAACACAACTCAAGCTGGCAGTAAAAGTCCGAGTTGGAGTTGAATGGTGTTAGCCTGTTAGGCCCTGAGTAATAGTTCGTAGACGTTAGAGTTGTTGTCCCCACTCACACGTTTCAACATTTCAAAACTCGTACGACTACCCAAGAAATCAATCCTTTTGAACACCACAACCCCACGTTCTGCTGTTTCTTTACTGGAGTACACTGATCGAAGCCTATCAGCATGTCTCGAATCAGTATGAATTGCAGCTTCTATTTCATGGGCTAACAGATTCTCCTACCACACCATAAAACAACTAATGACTACTCAGATCGATGAGAGAATTAAAAGAGCCACAAGACCATAAGAAATAAACTGAATTCACTAGAAACAGTCATCTTGTAGAATAGATTCTAGCTCAACTATATAGCTTGTGGGAACAGTAGAACAATCTTAAAATTTTTTTAAGATGTAAGAAGTGGAAAATAGGGGGACGGGGAAAAAAAAAAAGAAAAGGGAAGAACCATAGAAGACAGACAGGTTCCTTTTGTCCACTTATGTATGCAAGTCAGTTATGGCACGAATCCATTTAAGCATATTTCTGTTCAATAAAAGAATTGTAATTGGCAAAAAACAAGAGCCTGCAAATTTACTTCAACGGATGCTCAGCACTAATAAAAGCCAGGAAGGCAAGAGACGTCCCAAAAGAATGAATCTTGTACCTGATAAAATGCATATATATGATCCAACACCTGCTGGCATGTAAAACCGTTGTGACTGAAAAATGTTCTTGACGAAGGACCCATCTCAGCAAATCGATCAATTGGAAAGAGAATGGTAAGAAAATGGTTTTTAAATATCAGTTCAGATTTCTCACTGCAAAAGACGGAAATTCTTGAGATATGGCAAAACAACGGCTCCTCAAAAAACAGGCCAGTGCTGTGGTTAGTCAAACTTTAACTGATGAATATAAAATCAGAAATAGACTTATTTTGTGCTGCATGCTATGAAGACATTTGTTACCATGAACTTGGGAAAAGGGAGGGAAAATCTCATTTACTTGTCATCTTAACTGCATAAGAACAAACAACAGATAGAGTCAACAACCTTTCTCTTAGAGGTTGAGTACCGTTTGAAAATGAAGCTTCTAAATCTTTGACGACCCCGTTTGCATCACAAAAGGTTGAAAAATGATTTTCACTAGGATCTTCAGCACTGAAAGAGTCAGTGTAAATCGAAGCTGTTGAAGTTGGTTCAGATATTGACCAGCAGATGGAATCCAGAAGGTTGTTAGGTGTTATAGGACGCATTGGAGTCTGACAAGTCTGGAAGAAGGAAAACTCTAATAATATTAAAAAGAAGCTAGGATCTCTCAAAGCCCTACCTTCTGCTAATTCTGACAAACCAACAGAGAAACAGTATACATGCTGCATAAGAATATGAACTTGCCTCCCACATTGTTCTCACAAAGCAGTTATTTGGTGTTCTATAAACAGATTATCACTAGCAATCAGATGTTCAAACAATGGTACTTGATCCAGGCATACTTTTGAACGCTTAAGGATCCAGATCAGCAAAAATCAACAAGCTTTGAAGGAAAAACATTGCTATGAATGCTCTATTTTTCTTGCACATGTTCAAAAAGCACAAGAAAAAGGGAGTGAATGCCGGAAATTAAATCTTCCAATATGAGGCCGAGGGTTTATCACCATCAAATTCATTCCATCAAGAGCCAGTCTGTTTTTGCCGAACTATAGAAGTGTCTGAACTCTGAAATCATATTTATATGGAGTGTAAAAGGGTAGCAGATCAAACCTACGCTGCAGCATCTCAAGCATAAAATTACGGTAGGGACTGGAAATAAAAGGGTAAAATAATTTGTACTTTCAGAGACCATGGCTGGTAAGTGTTGATTTACCCCTGAGAAAAGAAACAAGCAACGAAAGACTTGCCTGCATTCGACGACCACGGCGATTTCTAACATCTATTTTTGCAGAGTTCACAATTTGCTGCCTTTCTTTGTAACTTCCTTTGGTTTTAACGCCCTGAAGATCTTCAGAGAGATTATGCTTAAGTGATTCCTAATATATCAGTAAAATACATGTCAAATTTCTGCGGAATTAGAAAAAGCATAGGCTTTAGGGCATCGTCAATTACATAATGATTCAATGAAATTAGCAAGGTGGCAATTTAAAAACGGGGGAAAAACCTACTACATTTAGTACCACCGTGAAGAAAAAAGTATGAATGATGTGGCATCAATAAGAATTAAACCTAGAATTTGACTCAATGAAGTGGTTAATACATGAGGCAGAATTATCCTCAACGACCCTGGAATTATTGACCTAAAGCAAATTCCTTGATTAGTGATTCAACTTCCAACACCTTTACTGGTCCTAAAAGCTCAATCACGACCAATGTGCTATATTGCTTTCGGTCAGTATCATTAACAGACAGAAGAGTGTTTAGCGATTGCCCGTGTTACTCTAGGTAGCCTAATTCAAACCATCAAAAGATCAATCATAAACTTCATCACAATATATCCTCATTCCTAGTTTTACCACAATATTACCTTGTTTAATTTTGGTATCAGTCACCTAGATGTAATTGATAATTAATTTACTTTCACCGTTAAAAGTCACATCCATAGCAACCCTATACACTTACTTTGCAAGAGTTACCTAAAGTGGAACATGACAAGGAATTAGTCAATTGTTACAGTCCCAAATCAATGAAATTTTGCCCTATGCAATGAAATGCTATGAAAAATAAAACAAAATGATATTGAAACTAATAAGAGGTAAAGAGTGACGAATTACCTCCTTTGTAACGCCATTATGAATGTCCTCAAGCATCAAACCCACTTGCCTCGCCAAATCAGCAGACATGTGAACAAGCCTTTGCACTTGTTTCTCTTTAGCTGTTTTTAGAATCCAGAGTGGCTGAGACATATCATGTATCAAGAATTTCATTATGAATATAAATAACACCATAGAAACCTCTATACTAATAACAACACAACAATGCCATCCATACAGTTAGATAAGCAATATATCGGGACAACCACAGAGTCTGAATTATCAAAAGGTTTTATGCCCCCGTAATATGTCTTAATGTTCAAATAATAAGCATAAATATGCGGCACGTACTGTAACAAAGTTACTAGAATATCCAAGATATCTTTGAATTGATGCCCCTTCAGTGACCACATGACTAGAATTACAACCAGCAAACCACTGTTCAGTCAAACTGGCACCTTCCCTGGAAGCAGTCTCGACAACCTATGAATGTTTAAAGCAGCGGAATCAATTAATCTAGAGCACTGAAATTATAAAACTCCCGTAATCCTAGCAGCAAAGTCAATCCAATAAAAGCTGACTTGTTCACATGAATCTAGTACAATGACAACTGCGAGCACAAGAATTTCAAAAGAATGCAAATATTTCTTGTTAGAGCACATATGTATACCTTAGTTCGCAATTCAGGTGAGATGTCTGGATCCACATATATCGAGCAACCAGACAAAGGCAGATCCACATTCTTGGTAGACTCACGCCCAGAAAATCTTTGAAATTCTTCAGCTTTATCATTTTGCTTGCTTTCAAGAAAACTTGCAGGAAGACAAGAATTTTCAGCATTCGTATACCCGGAAAGCAGTTTATAATCATCCAAGTTCGTATTGTTATTGCCATAATTCTTTACACTGTAAAGTGATTCACTCAACCTCACTGCAGCGGATGAAAGAAGAAATTAAGGTCATAAGGATGATTAATAAGTATCAATTAAATTCTTATAGCTTCCACATTAAATCAGCACGGCTTGGTTATTAACATCTGTTAAAAAAATTATAAGAAACAGATTCCTCATTAAATCAGCACTGTTTGGTTATTAACATCTGTTAAAAAATTATAAGAAACAAAGTCATCATTCTTGAAAATTAGGAACCAAAGACTTCATTCATAGAGCAAATCTGGAAGCAACTTCTTTATAACACATAGGTCAAGTGGAAAAAAAATATTACCACAGATAATTGCCATAAAACATTGTCACCACCCATGGGCCAAAAGATACATGGTTCACTCCTCAAATTTAAAATAAAATATAATGAAACTCTTAACAGCGTCAAGACACCACTGATTGTGGTGAAATAAGCCCCCCCCCCCCCCAAAAAAAAAGATTCTTTGAGCACCAGATAATTAATCTTAACAGTGCCAACTTCTACACAAAGCAGTAAAACGATGAAAGTATGAAAATTTGATGAAGTTCCTATCTTGCTCGGTACTGTAGAACAGGGACTGCATATATATATATATATATATATATATATATATATTTACCACAAGAGTTAACCAAAATTAAACCAAAAAAACATTAGTCAGCAAAATACAAAAATGAGCTCTACTGACCATTTTTTCTAACACTATCGACAAACCAACCCAGTGTGACAATAAAAAGACCATTTCTTGCGCCGTACTTCAGTGCATGCTCAAACTTACGCCCACCAAAGCTGTAACAAGTGTTAAAGATTTCATGCCAGGATGGGATGGATCAAGAACCACGTAATACTAGAAGAAGATCAGTGCTGGGGACAAATGAAGGCAAGAGACCATAAAAGATGAGCTCAAAGCATAATATAATCAGATCTTTCTAAACACCAAACGATCAAATTTAAACAAAGTCGCAGATGAAGCCATGGGAGGGGGGTTTTGTCACTCCTATTACCATGTAAGAAAATTCAATAATTTCACGAATAAGAAAGGATATCTGAACCACCAAATGGGTACACTGGGGATGTAAATGGGGGCTATATTGGCCACCTAATCTCTCTGTCGCCTCCATGACCTGTTTCCTTGCTTCTGTCACCACAAAATTCCAGAAAGCAATTAAGAATAGTTGTTCAACTTTTCACAGACCTCAGGGGTGGGGGATGTACTGGAAACTGGAAAGTAAGTACTCCGGTCCTTAATATAAGACCCCGTTTGACTTTTAGTTTGGTCCTAATTATAAGACCCCAATCCATTTTGTCTCTCATATTTATACATTTTTTCCCAAGATAGTCCTTCTAATAATGATAGTTTTAGCCAATACATTTAATTAGCAAGGATATTTTAGGAATGACAATACTTATTTATTACAAATAACTAACTTAATTTACTTCCTTAATCTCCTCAAATTAGTCAACTAGGTCTTATAATTAGGACCGGAGGTAGTATTATTCTGATATTAATACTAAAGATTTCCAATGGATATAAATAGGCATTATTTATGCGGATGCCAGTGATTCAGATTTTACTCCCCTCCCTATATCTTATCAATTACCAATCGCCCTTTTCATGTCCTCTACCATGAACCAGCGGGAAAAGAGAGGAGCAACACAAAACAAAAATGACATCGAAGTGGAAGAAAAAAAAAAGCATGATCAGATTTTTGCAATAACCACGGAGTGACTGGTGACTACATTCTTCTATATGAAACACTATCCAAAGAGAAGAAAATTATTGCGTGCAAGGCGCCATCGAGATATCAACATAGAAAAAGCAATAAACAAATTGAAAGCATAGATGTTCAAATACAAAAATACCTTTAGATAGACCGGTTACGCATATAACGAGACCAGCAAAAGGAGCACTTGATCGTCCTTCCGCTGGTTCAGAACCGTGAAAAGATGAAACAGGAGTCATTGGCTCCAAAGGTTGCAGATGCAAAGCCCTGAATAAAGGCAATGAAGGTGAAAACAGTCCAGAGCATCCCTTGCTACTTACAACTTCAACTCTTCCACCACCCATAACCGCCACTAATGTGGTGAAATTTTTAATTACGCGGCAGCAGAATTAAAACAAAAAAAAAAGATTAAAACAGCGAAATATATTTAAATTTAAAGTAAAAAAAAAAACAGAAATCATGAAACGAGCTCCCGATCGTTCGCAGGCAATGACAGATTGAAAGCCTTGTTAATTAAATACATCATTGGGCGGGAAATTTTTCTCGAGAACAACACAGAAATGATTGGACAAACGCAGGATTATGTAATGTAATAAAAACAACCCCGAAAACGAAAAGGAAAAAGAAAGAGACAGTGAGGCAGGGTAGATAGAATCTGGAGTGAAAGGGAGAAAGAAATCGAAGCAGCGAAGAAATATGTATTGGTGTAAATTCAAAGGCTTCAAGACAAAGAATGGATTTTGAAGATGCTAGGTTTGTACAAGGTAAAAGACATTAGAAAAGCGAATTTTTTTGAATGTTGTGCTCTGACTCTGCGTTTTCTGTGTATGTACGCGAAAGACTGCTTCTTTGGCAACTTTTACTACTTTATATCTCTGCTTTTGTAACGCATGTGAGAGCGTGGGCTTCACTGTGAAAGGCATTAGCTGGCGAGTCGCAAGTCCACACCGCAATGAAATTGAAAGTTGGTGAGAGCCGGGGGTTTCAAAAGTTTCCGCTTCGGAGTGAATTCTTAAAGTAAGGGCAATTTTATGTACCGCTACCAAGATTTCTGAGACTATGGAGCTAAGCTAACCTGGGTCTGGTGAGTGATTCAGGAAGGGTCGTGTCGGTTAGGTTCATGGTGGTCTGATGAAGAACACTTGTTGATTTGAATTGAATCAGTGAGTCACTCCTGGCTGTGGCAGAGTAATTTCAAAATTGTCAGGACCAGTGGAACCTTCCCTCTTCCTCTTCTCTTTAATAGAAAAGGGTTTTAAAATATAGAGATAATTATTATTCAAGTGACTAGAAAAAGAAATCTCAAATTGCGAGGAACTTTTGTGCGTGATCGCGATCCAGACTTCGTTAACAGGAGAAAAATTAAAAAAATGATAATCATTATCTAATTAGTTGAAAAACACTATTGCTTGTTCTCACAAGATTGCTGCAGCTCATTCCAAGGCATTACTCCTGGCGGTTTGCAGATTAGGTTTACAAATCGGAGCTCTACGGTAAATACCAAAAGAATACCGGGCAGTAATCAAGTTTCTTCATTTTTTTAAGCGGCAATTGCGAGCAAACTTGGCCTAGATAGCTTCTGTCAAAACTGATGTGATGGCTTGGTTAGGGTCCAATGCAGGCCGTGATCATAATAATTTAAGTGAAGATAGATTGGTGTCCCTTTCATCATTAAATTTTGATTGTTCTGCTTGGTGAAGAAGCTAATCCTCGCTTGCAAGCTCCAAGTGGATCTCGGGAAGTTTCCTATTTGGATGTATGATGGGTATAAACTGTGCCTTAGGCTAATAGACCTTGCTGGCTAAGCCACTAGTCAACTTCATTATCTTGGTGGGGAAAAAGATGAGATCAACATGCAGTGCCTAATTTTTATATTTCCTATTTATGTCACGAGTCACGCCTTGGTTCACATTCCATTGCAGTGTCATAAAAATTCTTCTTGTGAAGAGTTGCGTCTTTGTCAGGTTTATACAGTCCATGAGATAAGTAACTGGACCACACTTTACAGTGAAAGGTGCAAATGTGGAGAACTATGAAAGCAGGTGGCAATTCAGTTGTCCCTCGTGTTCTGGGTCACGAATGCTCTAGTCCCTTTCCTGGTTAGCTCCTTCCCACTTTGTCTCCCTTCAAAAATCAAAACTTTATTGTTAATATTACTGGAGATTTTCAGATCGCTATATTTGTTAGATTTCTTATAATATTGCTTACGGGAACAGCAATGTATAATCCAGAAGATGAGCCTTTCAGGCGAGAGCACTCAGTCTTGAAAATTAGTTAATGCGTGACATGAGAGTTTCCAAAACCAGAGAGGTACACTTAGCCTCATTTGAATGATTTCGTAGATAGAAATACAGAGAGGTCTGTAAAGGACGGAGCCATGGACTGTTCAGAACTCAAGCCTGGGCAAAAAGAAACAAAAGTAAAGAGAGGGCCAGTCAACGAAGCTGTCAATCTCCACAGGAAAACTGAAGACATTTTGAGTGGCGAGATTGAACTTGGGAACTGTTGTTTTTTTGCTTTAAACTTTTTAAGAGCCATGTTATTTTTATTCACAAATATGAATGATGCAATTCATTTATTCGACTGCATGTATCTGTCTGGCTCCCAGGTCACATCATCTATCTCTGGCGCGTCACTCGGAAGCCAACACAAGCCCATTCCTTTGCAGGCAAGTGCATGTATGAGGCCATTGCACAAAACTCAGCCCAAAATTGTAATTTGAAATAGATGTAAACGCCTGAATGGTTCAAAAATAGATGAAAACAACCAACGGGGTTGGTCTAAATAGTAAGCGGTTTGGTATCGCTTAAGTGAGATTTCGAGTTTGAGTCTCAGCATATGTAGAAATTCCTGTTGAGAGGCTCACCTACCATAGCCAGGTGCGCGACGCAGGTCAGATCCAGATGTAGTCAGAGCAAAGTTCCGATGAACTGGATGAGTAACAAAAAAAAAGATGAAAACACCCATTGTGCAACAGTGATGAGCATGACGCCGGGGGTGGGAGAAGACATGATGGGGAGAGGAAACTAGAAAATTAAGATAAATATGGACAAAACATTGGACTATGGGGCCCACCTTTCATTGTATAGCATTGCTTCATCAAACCTCAGTATCAGAACCAAGAGAAATCACAACCAGCTCACGGCTTTTGCATCAGGAAGCCAATGTTGAGGATTCTTTTCATAGGAAAACAATTTTAAGACCAGATTTTCTCCCCAGAAAGCCCAGAAACACAAGCAACTGAATATGCATATCAGCATCTGGATAATTTAGGCTTGCTGCCCTCTCTCTGTAAGTTGCTTCTTTTGCTTCTATGAAATATTTCGCCCTCGAAGCAAAGTTATAAATACCAAGTATTCACACAATTCGTTCAAACAAGCAAACAAAGAAGCTATGCTATTGCTATAAACAACTTTTTTCACTACTCACCCCCGGTTAAAACACGGAATTGAGTTAAAATGAGGTGAAGCCCGTTTACATTCAAAGCATGCAATGGACTTAAGATCCAAAACATGACAACTTTTGATTCTTCAGTGCAACTTTTCCTGCCGCATCTCCCCACAAAAACAACAATTTTTATCAAAATCTATAAAAATAAAATATCCTTAATTTTGATGACCATCGTGCGAGGATAGAGATGTGTAATAGAGTAGGCTGAATAACTAATTTATGGAAATTGGAGAAATATATTAAATTAGTTTTCTTTAATTCTTTTGCATTGGTACTTGAAGAAAACTTACTCTTTTAGTATACTCTACATGCACAATCAATGATGATTGTTCGGAGAAAAATTTCCAAATCTGTGAGCAAAATAAGATCCAGAAATCCTCAGATGGGAGAAAAAGAAATTTTAAGAGACGAATCAGATGATTCATAGATCTCAACGAGGTTCAAAACAAAGTTTTTGATGACTGTGGGCTCATCCCTGAGGCCCAAATTATTCCATCCAATCCTTCTCTGGACTGGTTCGCCGTAGCCCGGATGTTTCCATTATTTCCCTCCATTTTCCCGCGCACCGACATAAAAATTTGAAAAATGAGAAGGGCTTCGCTCCACTTCGTGTTCAATCTACCACACTGCTCTACTCAACCACATCCCTCTAGAGAGTCGCTACACGATGAGCTCAGTCTTCAATTTGGATCGCAGTCAGATGCAGGCTCAGTTGGATTCTGCTCTCCAATCTCATATCGACTCTCCCATCTTCTCGCTATTGGACGACGACATTGATGATTTCCAGATCCCTCTTACCCAGACAGCAGTTTCCCACAACTCATTTTGCTCCCAAAGACCCCTTAATTCTTCCAATCTTAATCGCCCCCGACCCAAGAGGCGCAAACGCTCTGTTGCTTCCGGCTACCTCGGTAAGGAAAACGAGGTCCCTTTGCCCTTCCACAATTCCGGCTTTGAGGGAAATTCATCGTCATCTAAACAAAACGCTACTCACGAATCCAATGATACATCGACTTTCACTTGCGATGCTCCTTTACCAGATGGAGGAGCTTGTGGACGTGATGAAAACTGTAGTTTGGATTTCATCCCGTCAACCATAGATTGCGGCCAAGAGGAGGGCGAGCCTGTACCGGAAGATCGGGCAGCAGGTTCAATTTCTGACGGGTGCGGAGTTTGTTCGTCTGAACCCGATGACAAGAAGAAATGGAAATTAAAGGAGGGTTATTTTGGCAATTCAATAGAATCAAGGTTGGTGGCATCTCGAATGGAAAGCTTCAACGGTGGGCACGGAAAACCTTCCTATGAAAATGTGAATAAAGATTTTGAGGCTGCTTCGGAGCTTGATCTGCTGCTGAATTTTGGTTCTGAACTAGACAAGGTTGATAGCTCTGGGGCTGTGGCACTTCCTCATCGGGAACGGGATGATTTACATGCTAATAGCGTCGGAGGACTGGTTCAATGTCCTCTCTGTGGGATTGACATTTCCGACTTGACCGACGAACAGCGAAATATCCATACTAATGATTGTATTGACGAAGGGGAAAGTAAAGATCAAGATGTAAGTTCCTTATTTCTGTTCCTATAACGCATTCCCTCTCTTCTCCATAATTTCGATTTAGAGGCATGCTGTTACATCATGGCCCAATAAGATTATTAATCCGTTTCAAATTTCAACGTCCGATAAATTTCGAGGTTTGTATTGCTTTCTGTTGATTGGGAAGTATATAGGCTTTTCATATTTTTGCTGTATATCTTGGGGAGGTCAAAAACTTCCGAGGAACAATGCCATGGTACTAAATGATCTAAATTACCACGAGCTAATGCCACAGTAATCTCATGCAGACTACCGTTCTGGAGGATGAGATGGATCCTCAACATGTGTCAAAAAAGGTCACTATCTCTCGTGTTGTTGATTGGCTACGTAATATGGGTTTATCAAAATATGAAGATGTTTTCGTGAAGGAAGAAGTAGATTGGGACACTTTGCAGTGGCTGACAGAAGAGGTGAGCAATGTTTTGTGGCGTGATCTCGTACCATAAGCTTATTTAGATCACTTACGTCACAGTTGCACCTTGAGTTTATGTGCACGTGCTTTTTTTTTTTTTTTTGGAGTTTTATGTGTTTCAAAAGTCGGTTTCACTTTGATTTATGGAAAAACAGCATCCCGACATTGTATTATATTTGTAAATCTACGTGCCGATTAGAAATTTTACCCGATACTTGAGAGTCTCACACGAAGGCCAATATCCTTCAGAGAAAGAAACAAAATTTGTCTTTCTACCTCCACACTCCAGGTCGAAAACTCAATCTTTTGTTGTCCAACTCTTGAGACATGCAATTTGCTAGTAATATGACGTAGAATGACATTAAGGCAGTACTCATCGGCAATTAAATTTCTGTGGGAAACCTAAAAAATGTGTTTGGTAATAAGAAATTGTTCACTCCAGGTTTTCTGTCTCCTGGAAGAAGTGTTATGAAACACTACTTTACCACTTTCTGTTACTCTGTTTAGTTCCTTTTATTGTCGAAGTATGTTTTATAACTTGATTATCTTTTTCTTTTTTCTATATCTGAAGGATCTCTTAAGCATGGGCATCACAGCACTCGGTCCCAGGAAAAAAATTGTGCATGCTTTGAGCGAACTCAGAAAAAGAATTACCTCTCCGGACGAAAAATATGAGGAAGGCCTAGTAGAGCCCCGAAGGATTAGAACCCAGAAAGTTAAATTGCATAATGATCAATCAGAAAGAAAAGTTGATGAGATTAGCAAAGCAGCTGCAAACAAATTAATTACCGATTATTTCCCAGGCTTTGCTGCCAAAAGGAAGAAATTTACTGCCACTCCTGGTGAACAGCATGGAATAAAAAACAACAGCTTGGATTCAGGTCGTAAGCATAAGGCAAAAAAGCCGTCAACAAATAAAAAGTCTCGTGATATTCCCTCGTGGTGTTGCGTACCAGGAACGCCTTTCCGGGTGGTAAATACTGAATAGCACTCTTAATGATAAGCATATATTTATTTTGTGTTACAGTCTATTTCCTTGGTGAAAGCCTTCAGGACTTTAGATATGTGCTGTCTGTCAGCGGAGCTTCAACTAATTATTATTATTTTTTCTATTGTTAAGTTCTGTTTTAGATTTGACTCACTGAAAATGGGGAGTTTGCCATTATGGCACATGGCAATACATTTTTCATTTCCTGTCAAGCAAATGCTCATTCATTGTAGAGCCGACAAATTAAACTCTAAAGGACCGTACATACATGCCAATCTTATTGCCCTTTATGATTCTCTTTCCTCCTGCTCTGATTATCACCAATTTAGAGGAAGGAAAAGAGTGTTGATGAATGCAGCCATCTAAATAAAAAGGAAGGGAACATAGTATGAATTCATGGACTAATACCTATGAAAGTGTTTAAATCTGGAACTTCGGATTTTCCATTAAAATGCTAAGCTTTTCCCAGTATTCATGATGTGGTTCTGAGTGCCTTTCAACTACATATGGATATTTACAGGATGCTTTTAAATATCTCAGAGGAGATTGTTGTCATTGGTTTCTTACACATTTCCACTTGGACCGTAAGTTTGCTTCTACTTGTTAGCATTCATTTTCACTTGTCATCTGTAAATTTTCCATTGCAGCTTTCGATTTCCATGTTATTTTCATATTTTGAAATTCCAGTTTTGGGTCTTGGATCTTTTTTTTTTTTTTTAAACACCATGGAGGCAGATTTTCTGATCGTATCTAGCACAGATCCCCATCGAATAGGTTAGCAGAATAGTGGCTTTGCTGTGTTAGATTCGCATAGTACCTGGCTTTGCTAGAAGATGTATACCCATATTAATGGAATATGTCTTCATGAAGTGGTTACTGCACCATGACAGACAATTATTTGGCATAAACAAGATAGACGTAGTTTTCATGCTTCTCTGAAATATGGAAGCAAGTTTGATGCTTTTATGCGCGCATTATGTTTACTGCCAACTTTTGTATCTACTGGCGCCCATTCGCCCTGTGAGAAAAAAATCATGGAGGTTGAGGTCATTTGTCATTATAGTTGCTTGTTCCTGATCTGAGATTGCCGAAAAAGAATAAATAGGGAGTTCCTTATGTTGAGCTTCTACCCTCATAGGCTTCCCAAAAGGCTACGTATTGTCAGTCTTATCAATCCATTTTACGCCCTGCCTCTTGCTCCACATTTTTGTATGCAGATTATCAAGGTCTCACGAAGTCCTTCAATCATGGAAAGATCTATTGCTCCTCCGTCACCGCTAGACTTGTAAATATGAACATTGGGATTCCATTTGAGAAATTACATATTTTACCTCTAAATGAAAAAAGTAACATAGCTGGCATTGATGTGACTTTTTTGGATGCCAATCACTGTCCGGGTTCTGTAATCATACTCTTTCAACCTCCAAGTGGTAAGGTCTGGCCTGGATTGACTTCCTAGTGAACTTAATTTTACCTTTTGCCCCATTGTTATTTTTTCATTGACTAGATATTGTACGTGCATTTAGGCTGTGCTCCATACAGGGGACTTTCGTTTTAGTCAAGAAATAGCAGCCAGTTCTTTTCTGCAGATGTGTCCCATCCACACATTAATTCTTGATACAACTTACTGTAACCCACAGGTAATTCGATATCCGAATAATGGAATATTCTCTTTCAAATAACTTGGCTGACTGATCACGGAAAGAGGCGGCCTACTCTAGCTTCCTCAGATATTGTCAAATTGAGATGATTTTAGTCTAAGACGATTTTCCTGAGTCTTAATCAGAATGTTATTTATGAAATTAAATGTGCTTCTTAAATAAGATCAAGGTGCAAAATAAGCCATTCAATAGTTCTATATATCTTGTTTTATTCGCGTACTTTATTTACATCTCTGCCCTGTATGTGCGAAATATAAATACTAATCGTTTTTGTATTTCATGCTGTTTCATTGCAGTATGACTTCCCCAAACAAGAGGCAGTAATACAATTTGTTATTGATGCCATTCAGGCAGAGACTTTTAATCCTCGGACTCTGTTTCTGATTGGGAGCTATACAATTGGTAGATTTTACCTCTCTGCGCTCTATCTGAATATGAACAGTACATATAAAATACTTCACATTAGTAATTTTTGCTATTTCATAGTTTGACATAATATGCAGTTTGATAATTAATTCGTAAATGTCAGTTTTTTATTTGTAATTCTGTCACTACCTAGTCTTACCAGCAAGAATAAATAGGAAGAAAAGTAAAGACTTGAAATGAAATGCATTTTTTTTCCTTAGGGAAAGAAAGGCTTTTCTTGGAGGTTGCTCGGGTTCTTCGCAAAAAGGTATACGTGAATGCTGCCAAGTTGCGGCTTTTGAAATGTTTAGGACTTGAGGAGGAAGACATGCAGTGGTTTACTTCAAATGAACGTGAGAGCAACATTCATGTTGCCCCTATGTGGACGCTTGCAAGTTTCAAAAGACTTAAGCACCTGTCGAGCCAATATGCGGTGAGGGCGGCTTTTTATTAGCGAACTTATATGCATGTCTAGACTCTAGATGCATGCATGCAGTCAGCTGGGCTATATTTGTTTTATTACACAATCTGCGGTTTATTCTCAAATACCTACTCTTACGCTAAGCCAATGTTCAGTCTGTTTTTTGACATCATCATCCAATATCCTGGCTTCAAAGGGCAAGCGGCAATTAACTGTGCATGGTTGCCAGCCACTTTGGCTGCTGGGCACTAATAAACTAAAAGCTGCTTTTCTGTGAAGACTGAAATCGAAGCTGTGTTAAGTCTTGCACTCGTATTTTTGTTTAGGGTCGGTTCAGTCTGATTGTGGCTTTCTCTCCCACGGGTTGGACATTCGGCAAAGGTAAAAAGAAGTCTTCGGGGAGGAGGTGGCAGCAGGGTACCATTATAAGGTGATGTTTTATTTACTGCATTAATCTCCTTTCTTATTGTTTCTATTTCTTTTTTCTTATATGCTGCTCCATTTAACTTTTAAATTGAGGCATGCATTGCTTTACCCTAATTTTTGCCTCTAGTTATCATAGGCTCTTAATATAATATACTACTTCCGGTCCTAATTATAAGATCTTATTTATAGACTATAAACGAGGTTTTATAATTAAGACTGGAAGTAGTAGTGGTTGATTACTATATTGTAATATGATGGGGCACTAAAAATTTTATTCAGTCCAACAATGAAAAAAGTTGAAAGTTTATTGATGAATACAAAAGCAAAAATGATTGGTGAATAATAAGAAAAGTATTTTACTTGTTTGCAAGGTTAACAGTTTCAAATATAGATTAGGGGAGAAATCACAATTTAAAACATAACCCAAAAAGGGGGGTAGGTAATCATACTATAACTTGTCCACAGTTAAAACCATTCATATTGTTTCTCTTTAATTAAATTTCTGGCTCCGACCATCCAATTAGTTCCTAGTTCCAATACAAGAGAACAAGTTTTTCCCTGAACTTTAGTTGGTTTGACTGACTTGAGATGATTGTTGATTTATTGATTAGATACGAAGTGCCGTACAGTGAGCATTGCAGCTTCACAGAACTGAAAGAATTTGTTAAGCTGATATCTCCTGAAGCCATCATACCAAGTGTGAATAATAATGGGCCAGAATCTGCCAATGCAATGATTTCCCTCTTGTTGTCATGATTTGCTGACAACGAACATTGTACTCCTTGGAATCACGACATCTCCTATGTTATGTTATAAATCTTAAATCAAGGTTTAGTGATTGTTCCATACTTCCATTCCATACATTCTTGCTCTTGTTCATTAAAATGCGAGTGTGTTGGAAGGCAGACTTGATAATGCTTGAACACGAAGTAATCATGGTTTGGAAATCAGGATTGGACCAGTGAATCGGTTATTTAGTCTAGAAAATGATTGTAACCAGACTGATGGAAGAATCAGTCAAATACCTGTATAGCTGGTCAAAACGCGCAAATTCAGTTAAAGCCTAACTAGTTTTTAAAAAAACCGACTGTAAATTATAAAATGAAACTAAATCTTTGCCCATGCAAAGTAGGTTTAATAGCCGTATTTTCTCAATGTCCCATTAAACGAGATAGCCATGCAACTTGCAATTAAATATATCAAAGGTATGTCATGTATCATATTATTTGACCCGCCGATCAAACGATAACTTATCCCATTGCAACTCAAATTCTAGGATCTTGTTCGTATCCATATCTCTTTATGCATGCATCATAAAATTCATTAAAAAAACTACAAATAGTCGTAATATAAGTATTATATTTGATGGTTTGACTCTTCATTTTGAAAACAACTATATATTTCCCTTCTCTTTTTGCAAGATTCTTTTTATGTCTTACGTAACATGTAGATATGTAAAATCAAAATTATAAAGTCTAGTACGATGTAATATCAATCAAGTAATCGTTAGTAGTTTGTAATAAGTTGGAAAAGAGTTGTGAAGACAGTCATATACATTTAAACATGTATACTTTTGAGTTATAGTTGAATTTGTTTTTGAATATAACACCTTAATTTACATTGTTTCTCCAAATTTTTACTCAAAATATCTCTATTAATAATTATGAAAGATTGTCGTTAAAGATATAGTTTCAATACATATGGGAGTTTGGTGAAGGTAGCACACATATTATATGCCGAACGGGTAACAAGATAAAAGCCATTCCTCTTTGGATTTGTTTCAAAGATCAGTTGCTAAGTATCAGCTCATTGAAGATATATTGCAGACAGAATTAAGAAAAGCATACGGATTATCTCTAGGAGAGACGTTGCTAGTATCCGTGTAATGTATACTAGACCCACACATATGTTTTGTGTATATTGCATCAACTCTGGGCTGTGAAAGTTCAGCCACCTTAGCAAAGTTCACAAGGGAGACCTGTGTTTTGTGTTCGCGAAACAAGCTATGAACACTCCTATCCGAAGTTCCAAAGGAATGAATTGTTAGAATAAGCATCTTCGTATTGATTTTCTTGGGCATTGTAGTCGAAAGGCTCAGGTGGGGGAATGAGAGATAACTCGGACGTCGACTCACCAATCTGGAAGTAATCTAACTCAGAATAGAGTCCCCCGTCGATGGCACCAAGGTCATTAGAATCCAGCGAGTTCAAAAATGACCAATCTATGGGGCTGTCGTCACTGTGGTCCACTTCCACTTGCATACAGGAGGACGATGAGGTACTGGTGGAACCTGTCTCCGACACTGATACAGGACTAGAATGAAATTCTGCAGATGGTTCTTCATGGGGTGGCTCCGCCGGCGGCTCCTGGTGGAGCTGTTTGGCGAAGGAAGAAGCAAGAAGCTGAATCTGGTGATGGGTAAGAGATTGATGATGAGGAGGAAGATGAAAGAGGAAAGGAGTATCAGGGAAGTTGAAATTGGCACGCTCACCACGTAGACAAAAGAGTGCAGCATCGAAGGCTCGAGCAGCCTTCTCTGCAGAATCATAAGAACCAAGCCATATGCGTTCTCGGCTGTTGGGAAGTCTAATTTCAGATACCCATTTGCCCCATTTTCGCTTCCTCACGCCTTTGTACTTGAAACCCTCATGATCGCTCACAGTCGCAGAATTCGGAGATGCCATTAATGGCTTCACCATGCATGCGAATAGACCTGGCTGACGACTAGAGAAGGTGAATTGTCATGTGTATTTATATGCAAGCTACGGGGAGGATGGTGGGACTGTCGATATGAGGATGAGGGTGAAGTGCCAGTGGACACGAGTCGTCACATGGGATGATCACGTTTTGAAATAAGAGAGCTGGGCCCACCTTTAAACACCACGTTTTGATATTGGGCCTCCTTACGTTTTTCGGCTCGTTTCCTAGGATAGGACCCCTTTAGCCTAGATTTATTTTTTTTCCTCTTTTGCTTTCTTAAGATTTTCTTTAGTTTCTGTTCGTACGCTTACGCTAATTGCCGTCATGTATTAAAAAAAAAAAAAAATCTCACGAATCAAGAACAAGATTCACACTGTTGTTTGCCTTCCATGTACATCTAGTTTAAATGAGCGTCCAATATATAGGTGCCAGCAAAAGTGACATTACAGAACTTGTCTCTTGTGAGAGGAGATTACATAATCACTCTAAAAACGTCTTTATAAACTTTATTCGGTATGATAATTGTATCATTGTCTTATATCATAAGCATGAATGAAAGAAACAAGGGAAAGAAAGGTAACTTATTAGCTATGCACAATGACATTAAAAATAAAGGAGATTTTCATTTTTTCAAACTCCAGGTGTGTGTGTGGGTGTGGGAGTAGAAATATTGTGGCTGATAGTGGACGCCAGATAAATTGAAGTACGAATCCAATCTCATTATTGTAATAGTAATATTTACAGATAGTGGATCGGTGGCTAACTACAGCGTGAATAGTAAAAGCATAATGGGTTGAAATCAAATCAGAGACGGAGAAAGTTCGAAGCGGTCACACTCATCAGCTCGTCCGGTAATAACAATATTAACCGGACAAATTCGGGTTTCACGTCATAGAGAGCTCAAACTTATCCATCATTTCTTATATTTCTTTCCGCATCATGATCCATCACTTGTGATTCTCTCTATCTCGTTTTGCTCTTCTAGTCATGCAAAGAAAAAGGGGAAATTTTTTTTTTTTTTTTAAGGAGTAGCCGCAATCGCTACAGTTTTTGTCACTCTTTTTACATTGTGATTTATTTTTGCTAATTTGATCATGTGGGTATATACTTAATTTGAGTGTTGACTCCGCCTGACAATTCTAATCAACAGTTGACTCTATCGGACAAAACAGTGATCTTCTTCAAGCCTCCTCAACCTTCGCTCTCGCTCTGCACGGCAATCCTGAGGGGTCCAGTTTAAGCCTAACCATATCACAAATATCATCCACACGCTAGCTGCTTTCAAATGTCGCCATTTCAATACATAAATACCCAGTCAAAGACACCTTGGATCAATGACAACAACCTATCCATCCTCCATAATATTCATCCTTAATCACATTATTAAAGGAAGAAACAAAGAATTAATTAGTCAGGAAGATCGATGAACACATGCGTATTCATTTTTGCCAGAAAGAGCTAGCACGTATGGAGCGATGAACTGCAGAATTCTGCAGTAATATTATTGAATCATGAACTGTGAGACATCATAATAAATTTTATACTTGGATTGCATGAGGTTAAAATATAGCAAAGAATGGAACAATAGTAAGTAAATGAAGTGACATTAATACCGACCATTACATTTGGGAGGAAGGCGTGTATGGTCATGAGATAAAGAATCTGTGAGTTTGCGTAGTGTCAACATCTGGCATATGATTGGAAGCTGGAAGCCATTCGTTCAATATCCGATTGAAAATTACCCGAGGCGGATGAAGACGGAGCAGTACTGCTTATCCATGTCCATATACATGACACGTGTATCCCTTTTGTTATCATCTCCCGCCGACTTTCCTTTCGACGCAGCACCTATAACTTCATCAAATCTCTGCCTTGTTCAAACCTCTCTCTTGATATGCATACTATTGGTCATTTTATTGTTCTCCACACGTCACTCTAATACTTTCAACCTTCATTTTCATCATTATTCCAAGAGCTTAGGTCCAAATATGTGTCTGTGTGTGTTCATACAAAAATATGCATGCCACCTTTCAATTCAATTTTCAAAATTTTTACCAGGGTTTTTAAAGAGTATCGTTTCTCAGCTTCTCTCTCACCCCAAATCCACCAGAATCTTAAGGGCTTGGAAACAATGGGACTGACTATATAAACTGGAGAAAATTGACTATGTTTTTTTCAGTCTTGCTGTTATCTTAGAGTCATATTTTGGATTTGAATTGAACTGTCTTTGTTTTAGAGCTTGTCATTGAACACAAGCCGTTACAATTTCTTTGGACATCCCTAGCGTATATGTTTGAACCATAGCTTTGGCAACAACGTGACTGTACTGAGTCATAGATGATTGGATGACATGAGGAAGAGATTTGACTTTCATTTGACCCAAAATCTGACCACTAATTGATGGTCCCATTACAGCTTGTTCTTGCAGTTGCCGGAAATTAAATGTTCATAAATGGAAGAGAGATCTTGACGGGTATGTAATGAACTTTTATATACATTTTGTCCCACGTCAGCCATTTTAAGAGAACTCTTAAACTGGACTATGTTTGTTGCTTATTAGAAGATGGGGCATCTAATTAACACTAATTAAATGGCTTGCTTGTTGTCCAATACTCTTCCTGACACGTGGACTGTTTCTTTTGACGTTTTCATGTTTATATGATTAACTACCTATTTGGATTAGATTGAAAAAAGATTCTTTTTGAGATGTACTAAAAATATAAGGAAAGTTTTGTTTCATAAAATGTAAAAGTGATTATTTTAAGAGGTCCAAATATTTTCTTAATGAAGGGATAATTAGCTCCCCGAAATGCAGGGATAAATTATAAAGATTGAAGGCTCCATTTTCCCAAAAAGAAGAAAGCCAGATAAAAGTAGAAGGAAAAGTTGAAAGCGTGATTTGATTGTCGTTGTTTTCTTTTTGACATCACATTAGTGAACATTTTGATCCCTACATTAAGAAAATATTTCAACATCTTAAAATGTGGAATTTAGAGATAAATCTTTTAAGCGGCCTAATTAGAAACGAATATCACATTTTGACCTAGATATGCTTCACTAATTACTCATGAAGATCTAAAACAGCTGAAGCCAGTTTTCTGATGATTCGTAATCCAAATATCTAACAACTTCTTGCAGTATTTGGTTTTCATCCAAGCTAGATAATTTTCTTCGTGTTTACATATCGGATAAATAGTAGTTTAATAGAAAATTGTTTATATTGATGACAAAATTTAAGATGAAATTCAAAATCCGAATTTAAATTGGAAAAAAAAAAAAAGCAATATAAGGCTGAGGCCCAAAATTCCTATCTAAGAAAAAATTATAAGATCCACTAAGTCCATAAAAGAGCGTCAACACCGGGACCATTGTAAACATGGAAGGCCCATCCAATTCGGAAGCGGCATTGAGGCTACAGAACGGAGTTCCGCGCCTCTCAGCTGGGTTCTCACTTCTCAGCCGCATTTCCACGAGCACTTGGAAGGCAACGTGTTATGGGGGCACTCGCTCCTTCACTGGGGACTTTGATGTTTCTCATTCCTCAAAGGTTCCATTTGATTGATTCCTCTTACATAGCTGCTTCCTTTGATTCCATTTGATGTTTTTTATTCCTCAAATGGCTGTTACGCCTCCCTTAGTTTTTCGGATGAATCAGTTAAACGTAGCCAGAAGCCTGTATCCTGTTCCGATCTTTGGCGATGGCTCATGCTTTTGTTGGGGAATAAGAGGGTGGTATAACAGGGAATTATTATCCTTTCGGTTTGGGTGGTCGCAGCATCCGAGTCGATGGATGACGACCAGCAAACGAGTACAAGACAGAAGCCGGAAGAAGCGGGTTCATGACCTTGAAATTGTAACCGAGAAGTGGAAGATAGCGTCCAAGGTGCTCTTTTTAATGGAGACTCTTAAAAAAGAGCCTGAGATGATCATTCCCGTTCGGTCGCTTGAGCAATACCGGAGACAGATTAATTTACCCAAGCCCCATAGGATTTCGGATTTCATTCGGAAATCACCCAAGCTTTTTGAGCAGTACAAGGATCATAAGGGGGTACTGTGGTGTGGGATGACTGAGAAAGCCGAAGATTTAATAAAGGAAGAAGAGAAGATTCTGGAGCAGCAAGCAGATAAAGCAGCGGAGTATGTTACGAGGATGCTGATGATGTCAGTTGGTAAGCGGCTTCCATTGGATAAGATTGCTCATTTCCGGCGAGATATAGGCTTGCCGCTGGATTTCAGGACCAATTGGGTACGCAAGTATCCTCAGCATTTCAGGGTGGTTAAGTCTGCGGATGAGATAGAATTTTTGGAGCTGGTGTCTTGGAACCCTTCTTGGGCAATTACAGAGTTGGAGAAGAAGGTAACAGGAATAACAGAGAACGATTCTCACAAACCGGGTATGCTTTCACTCGCATTCCCCTTGAAATTCCCCCCAGAGTTTAAAAAGGTATATAGATATGGCGGGAAAATCGACCATTTTCAGAAAAGGTCTTATTTATCTCCCTATGCGGATGCTCGGGATCTAAAAGCTGGGTCGCAAGAATTCGATAAGAGGGCTGTTGCTGTTATGCACGAACTACTTAGTTTTACTATTGAGAAGCGGCTAGTAACTGATCACCTCACTCACTTCCGACGAGAACTAGTGATGCCGCAAAAGCTTATGAGACTTCTTCTGAAGCACGTTGGCATATTCTATGTCTCGGAGAGGGGTAAGCGGTTTAGTGTATTCTTAACTGAAGCTTATCAAGGTTCGGAGTTGATTGAGAAGTGCCCTTTGGTCCTTTGGAAGGAAAAAGTCCAAAGTCTTATTGGTTACAGAGGAAGGAAGAAGAAAATAGAGACATTCAGTGACATGTCTGATACCGAAGGTGATAGTTTGCTCCAGGGTAATTCTGAGGAGGAGAACTTGCATGTAGAATTAGAGAAACAGGAAACCATGGATTATGAGGATGATTTACATTCGGACAACTCTGATATGGAAGTTGGCGAGGTTTCCAGTGTGTACGAAAATTTTTAAGACTTTTTTCTTGAGGTCATTACAATTTTTGAAATTTTCCATAGTCACTTATCATAGAGTATTATCTAATTCACTTGGCTGGAGAATGTAAATTTACATTTGCGGATGTATTCATTGGCCTTTTTTTTTTTTCTGGTTAATTATGTAATGAATAACCTTATTATTCACTTCCAAGTGTTTCTTCTTCAGTCGGCAGGTTTGTTTAATAAGATTTCTGGGAACGAACTTCGTAAAATTTGTGATATTTCAACACGGAGGTAGAAACGTGGTTCATTTATCAGAAGATAAAGAAACCACGGTAATTACAAGTGTGGCTGGAGACTTAATTGGAGATCAAAAGGCAGACTAGCATCATAAAATTTTAGGTGTTCTAGAATGTTGAGTGGAGTGAGGAAACCTAGTTCTATGCCTGGAAATCAATCCATGAGGAAGAGAACGGTTCTATTATCATCATAAGTCACCATTAATATGTGTCGTATTGTACTAGATTTAGTTAGTTTCATAAGTGAGGCCTGGTAATTTGGTATATATGGGGCCTATAATAATTTGTGCGCGGACATAATTATTCTAAACTCATTTATACAGTGTCTGTTGTTGAGTCTGTGTTTCAAATAATGATTTCTACCATAATTTAGAGGGTCGCGATTCGTCGTTTGGGCAACCGTTTTCAATGTTGTATTGGCCTTGAGCCATTGAAAAATTTACGTGGCCAAGCAACAACTTTTTTGTGGTTTGTGAAGTCCTTGGAAAATGTTTAGTGGGTGATTAGTGTGATTCAATCAGTTATATATTTAGGACCGAAAGTATTACTATTCATTAGTACTTGTATAAGCGAAGGTTATAGAAAGTCAAAGCTGGAACGTAGCTTTTGTTGTTAAACTGCATTGTTGCTGTCTTAAACGAGATTCCTTGGCCTTCTTTCCTAAACTCTTAAATGCCATAGTGAAGAAGACAGGGGACCTTAGATCAGACTGTCTTAAGCTTGTTCACGAATCCGAATTTCAGATTGCCTTAGGATATCCCTGTCAAATCATAATTCGAAGCAGTGTGGAGGATCAGCCATTTTAGGACATTGTCCTCTCAATTGTTTGCAAGGCAGGGATTTAGATCTCCAGTAAAATATTTATGATATGGGAGAATCAATCTTAACAATGTTGCTTTCAGTAGTTAAAGAGCTGATAGCTTGTTTACCTTATTGCTAATTAACATATGTATTTCCGTTTCAGATAAATGCATCATTTGGTTTTCAGAAGGGAAAAATGTATTTTAGGGGAATAATTTGCGTCATCAAAAAGGACAAATTAAGCAGGATTCTGTCTAGAGCAGCAATCATCCCCTTGTTCAACTTCAAACCTTCCAAGTGGTGTTACAAAATAATTTCTTTTTAGCGGACAATCCGACATAGCAGGCTAGAAACAATCAGGAGATGCCCTGTGCCAATTCTTTTTTCCAAAAAAAAATTAACAGTACTATTCCTTGCACCCTTCTATGTTGCTTTCTTTTCCTGAATGTTTTTATCGATCTGAGAAATTAGAGCTGTTCATGTTTGGGATGGGTCTGCATGAGACGAACGGTAAAAGGCCTTGAAATCTTATGATCCTTGATACTTTTCTGACAAGTTGATTCATATCTGCCCACATCTTCATTATTGAACACATTTACTTTCCTCCCCTTCAGGCTGTATGTCACTGTCAAAGTTGCTCGGAATCAATTAGCATCTCACCTGCCTATCCCACTCTTATTAAAATTAAGCGTTGGTTTCAATTTCCTTTTCATAGATTAGCCACTCTTACATCTAATCGGCAAATTGTATGCCAGAATAGTATCCACATGTTCCTCGTTTTTGGCCAAATCATTGCTTAAAACTTACTTTCGTGTGACGAAATAATTAAAAAACGGGCGTAAGTACAGAAACACCCCTCTTTCGTCTTCTGTAGACTATAACTTGAAATTCTGGCCACAAATTATCGCAGTTTTTTGGTAGTTCATTTTAAATTGCTTTCTGGGGCTGGGGCTTGAGGTGTATATGTATTTCCGTTTTTCATAGAAAAATCTTCTGGACATTACTATTGCTTTCGGCTTAGGTGCTTCCTTTAGACCATGAAATGGATGAAAAGAGGAGAAGGGATTGTTCTAGAAGGGTCACCTGTGACTCTTGCCTTTTCCATGCGACTTGTAAATGTGGTCCATGGACTGTTAACTCTATAGGAAAGAAGCTTTATGTAAATTGCTAGTCACATTTCTTTTGGGGCTTATGAACATGGACTTGCCATGAACAATGAACAATATAGTACTATATCTGGAAATTTGGTCGCAGAAACCTGTATTCTGCTCTAATGCTTGCTTGAATTGGTCTCTTAAACAGTGAAATAACCTTAAAAAGCATTATTTTACAGGTCACTTTCTTGTGAGGGGTTGTGGTTTTAGCTATGGATTGCCCATTGTGCTTTCGCTGAATTTCTTTTTTATGCTGTATTGCGCGCACACCCCTATAATATAAAAACTTTAACAAACCACACTATTCATGTGCCATGAATATTGTAGCTCATTTCTTAAGTATAGTACGATGTACAGAATCCACGCAGACTGAGAAATCTGCAGACTGCGAGGAGCAATGGAGAGGGAAGTGTTGTGTTACGACAGATTTGGGAAGATCTCTCAACCAGTGTTCACAATCTTTTATTCTTGTTTTCCTACTAGAAGCATGAATTGGGATCTTGAGTATCAATATATCTAATTCTAAAGTGTACAGCAGCATACGAATGTTCAACATCATGTTACTACTTTGTCATTTGATTCACCGGTTCAAATGATTTATGTTACGGAAGTGACATAAAATATTCGAACATTGTTGCTATGTCTGTTCAAGTTACAATATTCGTGTTGGATTACCTGTGATGAGAGAGAGGGGGGGGGGGGCTGACAATCAGATTTATAGAATTGAAGAGGTTTGTTGATGACAGGTGAAAGATATGGGGAAAAAAGTATGGAGTAACAGAAAAACAGATAAAAGATTAAAGGAGAGATGGTAGCCTAACCGTATCTATAACCAAGGAAAGCCAGCTGGGGGTTCCTAGACATGACCATTCATTATTCACAAGAGACACAGCTGGGTCGATATAAATGTTCACAAAGATTTTTTTCATAAAATTAATTTTAGAAAAGATCAAAAGAGACAGACCATACGTCCATAATGCACTCTTCATCTTCCTCCTCTTTTGAACTCCAAACCAAGTCACCCACTTACATTTAATGAAGGAATTAAATGGCGTTGAAAAGCCTCAACTACGCTCAACTCCAGTTAGTTGCTAGCATTAACTATCTTCACCCACCTTCTCTATATACACACGCACATGATCCGCATTATCCCTCAAAACTGTGGTCAGTTATTGTTTGTAGTGATACCACAGCAATCACTTTTCCCATCATGGCCAATGAACGTGATCTTTTTTCCACGGAGATTGTGAACCGTGGGATTGAATCCTCCGGCCCCAATGCCGGCTCCTTGACCTTCTCGGTGAGGGTGAGGAGGCGGCTGCCGGACTTTCTACAGTCCGTCAACCTCAAGTACGTCAAGTTGGGTTACCATTATCTCATAAACCATGGCATTTACTTGGTCACCATACCCGTGCTTCTTCTGGTGTTCAGCGCTGAGGTTGGCAGCCTCAGCAAAGAAGAGCTATGGAAGAAGCTCTGGCAAGACGCCTGCTACGACCTCGCCACCGTCCTCGCTTTCTTCGGCGTCTTCGTCTTCACCTTGTCTGTTTACTTCATGTCAAAGCCTCGCTCCATTTACCTCATTGATTTTGCATGCTTTCAGCCCAACGAGGACCTCAAGGTTTTAACTTTTTACCTTAAAACTGTATTACTGCGTAATTATATTGTACATATGGAGTCTGTGTTGAGACGTTATTGTATCTACGCAGGTTTCAAGGGAACAGTTCATTGAGCTAGCAAGAAAATCAGGCAAGTTCGACGAGGATAGCTTGGCGTTCCAGAAGAGGATATTAATGTCCTCGGGCATAGGGGACGAAACTTACATCCCAAAGGCAGTGGTAGCGTCCAATGAAAACTGCGCAACAATGAAAGAAGGTCGAGCAGAGGCATCCATGGTTATGTTCGGAGCCCTTGACGAACTGTTTGAGAAAACCAAGATTCGTCCCAAGGACGTGGGTGTTTTAGTAGTGAACTGCAGCATCTTCAACCCCACACCATCACTCTCAGCCATGATCATAAACCACTACAAGATGAGAGGAAATATTCTGAGTTATAACCTTGGTGGAATGGGCTGCAGTGCTGGGATCATAGCCATAGACTTAGCCAGAGACATGCTTCAATCGAACCCCAACAATTATGCCGTGGTGGTGAGCACTGAAATGGTAGGGTTCAATTGGTATCAGGGGAAGGAAAGATCTATGCTTATTCCAAACTGTTTCTTTCGCATGGGTTGCTCTGCTGTTCTTCTCTCCAACCGTCGACGTGACTATAGGCGTGCCAAGTATCGTCTTGAACACATTGTTCGTACCCATAAAGGTGCCGACGACCGCAGCTTCAGGTTAGCTTTGCTCAACTACTATATCTGCAACTCCTTTATTAGTTTTCATCTTTGCTTTCCAACTCCAAAAAACAGATGGTCTAGTTAATGATAGTAAGTTGGTAGTTTCGTGTGGGCCTGCCGACGTAAATGCACTACAAGTTGAGATAGATTGGGATCTTCTCCATTTCTCATTTTCGATTCCATTTCTTGCCAAATTTCAAGGAGAAATGAACAAAAGCATGTAGAGTCCAATCCATCACGCGAATGGTTTCCATACATTCAAATAGAACCTATCATTGAAATAGATCTTACATTCATGTTAACTTGAGATCTACGAGTTTTAAAGTTTTCAAGTCGTTGAATCATTCTCAAGATTTGAGTTGTTCTAAGTCGAGACTTGAGTGGGGACTGTATGTCGCTGTAATTAATGTCCAAGCAATTTTCCGAACTGTCTTAATAGGAGCTGTTTTCACATCAGATAGTTCTGTTCTGTGTCATTGATTGAAATACAAACTCATTTTCTACATATACAAAACAGGTGTGTGTACCAAGAAGAAGATGAACAAAAATTCAAAGGGCTGAAGGTGAGCAAGGACCTAGTTGAAATAGGTGGTGATGCCCTTAAAACCAACATCACCACATTAGGACCTCTGGTACTACCCTTTTCAGAGCAGCTTATCTTCTTCGGCACCCTTGTATGGAGGCACCTGTTTGGTGATAAATCTGCTGGAGGGAATTCACCATCTCCACAGAAACCTTACATCCCAGACTACAAACTTGCTTTCGAACATTTCTGTGTGCATGCTGCGAGTAAAACCATTCTTGACGAGCTTCAGAGGAACCTGGAACTGAGCGACAAGAACATCGAAGCCTCCAGAATGACTCTGCATCGTTTTGGCAACACATCTAGCAGCAGTATATGGTATGAACTTGCTTATTTGGAAGCCAAAGAGAGGGTTAGACGAGGAGACCGTGTTTGGCAATTGGCTTTTGGGTCTGGTTTCAAGTGTAACAGTATAGTTTGGCGTTCCATGCGTCGTCAAAAGAGGCCTTCTACCAACCCCTGGCTTCAATGCATCGACAGATACCCTGTGTCTCTTTCTCAAGCTCCTTGAATGAGACGCAACAAGTTCAAAACTTTACATCAGTTATGATTGATTTAGAAAGTTGTGGTGATGATGATCAGTAATAGCTATTCTTAATTAGTGGGTCTTTAAATCTTATTTTGCCGTCTTGAAATTGTTTACTGCTATTATAAAAAGGCTTATAGTGTGCCTCTCTACTTTGTGTTTCTCTGTCTCTCTGTTTTATAAGACTTTCAAAGTTAATCAAAGACTGGTTACATCGATACTAAATGAGTCCGGTGTTGTTGCTATGTCTATTTACTGGTGATTGATGCTTTTTAAATAGGTAGATTATTGAAGTTTGAAAACAGAGTGATCAAAGGTAAATGAACCTATGAACTGTTTTGAGAGTGAGTTCGGGTTTGCTGGCTTGGGAAGGTGATTTAGAATCTCGACCCAGTTGAAATTAAATGCATCTCAGCGACCAATCTTAACGCGTCTGGATTATAGTTTAAACACGATCGATTTGTTAGTTCATCCAGGCAGATGCAATATTAGTTGCTTCAATAATCGCTACTTATATTTGCTGGCAGGGTGGGGCTGGATTGTAGTTGTAGTAGGTTAGGCGTTTCTAAAGAATCTTCAACATTTTTAATTAATGAAAAAAATTAGAATGAAAATCCCTAATTGTAGTGTTTAATATAACCGCTATTTAATTTGAACCAAGACTCTCAACAAGTTGTAGGCCTTGCTCTTTTTTAGAAGGAGCTATGCTCTTATACATCAAATCCTGTGTCTTCGTTTCATTTTTTTCCCCTTATCTTTTTTGTGGCCTGATTCCCCCCCGGGGTTATTTTAGCTTTATATATTAAAATTTTCTTATAAAATATTTAATCGAACTCATTCAAAATGTATTCAGATTAAAAATGAGGAAGGAAAGAAGAAAAAGAAGTGAACAGCATTGTGATCTCACAATACGTATATCCTAAAACCAACCCTAATAATTATAATTTTCCTGCATTGAAATTCTTTTAAGCTTTTGTTATGTGTGATTAAATTTAGTTTAGCTATGCCAGTAGGAAGCTGTTTAAATTCTATTAAAAATTTGTTTAAGAAATCATGATATCAGGGGAAGTCAGAGTTTAATTTTTTTTTTCAAATTTTTTATTGGGTTTGATTTTAAAATGAGAACGATGGTGACTGAAAGCGAAAGAGTGTAATTTGGGTTGGCCTAAACCAGAAGCACAGTCTAACTTTTAGAAAACGGTTGGTAATTTGGTATACTTGGAAAAAATATATATATCAGACCTTTAATCTGAAAGTCAGATCTGACATAGGCTTTAACAATAATGTAATCTCAAAAAATTGGAGTCAAATTAGACTACTTGAGCATGTCAACCCTTAAAAAATGGATGTGTTAGATGGTAATAAAATAATTCTGAGGGATCAAAAATAACGTGTGGGTAAAACATACCTCCGATCCTAATATAAGACCCTTATATTCTCTGTTTCTTTTTTTACCCTAAACAGAAACATTAAAGTGAAAATCACCGAGATACATGTGGTAATTAGAGTTTGTACTCCTCCGGTCCTAAATGTAAGACCCTTATACACTATAACTTGTCATTACAAACTGCTCAGATTGTTCTTTATTAAGACTTTTAGTAATTATTCTCTTATGTGAGACTTGATTATAATTCTTTCTTAAAAAAAAAAATCAAAACTGTTGAAGTTGATCTGCCGAAGTTGAACTGCCAAAAGGACATCCAACGGCAACAAGTATATATCCAAGTTGGTATTTTATAGAGTCATAAATGAAATTTCAAGAGATAAATAATATTTGATTGTTCGATTTCCTCGATCTGCGTGTAGAATAATGCTTTTCGTACGTAATTGCAAGAACACATAGGGAAAAACTTATTAAATAGGGATTTTTTCCCTCCGAAAAGCCTTTGAAAACATCGTAGCATTATGAACTGTGTATTATAAAAAAATACATATTTAAGAATAAAGAGAGTAACTAACTAGAAAGTATAAACATTTGTATGAAGTCTACATGAAACAAAATATTCTTTTGATATTAAATATAATACTCATTTTTTAGTGTAAATAATGTTTTAAAAAAAATAAGGAAATTTTCATACTAGTGTTTTCTTCTCAATAGTTATCATTCAATCAAGTTGATGGTGAGTAATAACATGTTGGTCAACAAATTTTGTAGAGTCAATAGACTTGGTCACGTGGCATTATTGCACAAAACATGCAATTTGTCTACATAATGCATGCACCTATTTATTTACGTATCTTCTGGCTAATTACGGAATATATATATATATATATATATATATATAAATGAGTTAGGTGTTGGTCATGAGTCTTATTAGAGAATTATGGCGTAATAATTAGATGATTTCCATGTGAACCCGTTTGCCAAATTGGTCATTAAAATGTTGTTTATATATATTGTTTGGTACGAGGTGTGAAATGTTGGATTTTTGTGTTTCAAAAGGGTGTTGAACTCTTATATTACGTACAAATTAAAGCAGCCTTAGACTATAACATGGATGGAAACCCACTGGTATTTTCATGATCACAAAAGTCTCCAGCATTATATTGTCTATGAATAATCTATACGTTCCCGAAATAATTTATTATGCTTTAGAGATAAGAAAAGCCTTCTAGATTATGCCATTTTCTTCGTTATTATTTGTTTTTCCCTTGCAAATATAACAGATTTGACCCAAATTAAAAAAAATACCAAGAACTAATGAGCAGTTAGTTGAACTGGTAAATGTGTTCGGTCCCTGTAAGGATGAGAACGTGGGTTTGGCTCCCATAAAGATGAGAACGTGTGTTTGAGTCCCGAGAAGTACTCTCGTTAGGAGAGGGGACAACCCCGCCTATGTGGGCAGCACTCCTACCCCTTGAGTTCGGATTAGTCAGTTGCCAAGAGGTGCCGGATTATCAGGCAGTGTATGACCCAAAAAAAAAAATACCAGGAAATTTCTTATAGCTAGACGAGAAATTTGTTATTTGTCAGAAGAAATTCTCTTGCCCCTTACCCAACTATAATTCCGCACAACTTTAGGCTACCCAAATATCATGTGCATTCTTAATTAATTGAGGTTAAGCCTTTTAATAACGTACGATCCCATGTTCATTGACCTTGACTCACCAGTTTTAAGGCCTTGATGAAGGACCATACCAGCTTAGGAGTTGGGAGGGGACGGTCCGTGGATATGTAATGGGAACACACTATTCATTCAAACACGTCCTGTTCTGACTGATGACCCACGTTAAATTAATATTTCCGTATGATGCTTCCTGGTTATGTTTGTTTATCATTTTATAAAAGACCTACGAAATTATGAAGAACGATCGAGTTAATTAAGAAAGAAACATCATGGCAAGTCAACCTCTTTATTCTATGATCCGAAATGTGCTTGGGTTTACTACGTAATCTGTCCGTGAAACTTGCATGGATCCACAGAATCCTGGAAACCACCAATCACAAACTCTCATACCGCCTGCTCAATCAATTCAGGAACTTAATTAGAAACAACTGAAGATATCCAATGGTCATATAAATATACATTAAATATTTAAAAACGCGCAATCAGTGATCTGACGTCGTTATATAGCTTGATTATGGGAAAGAACATTGGACAAACCATTTAAATATTAAACCTACCACCCCCTCTTATAATTTTATTCTGATTACTATAATGAAATTTTTAAAAATCAAAATGGTTTATGACAGATGAAGTACGTGGTCGTACCTCTCTATAAATAGCCGCATGAAACTGTTATGCTTCCTACCTCGAACGCTCAAGCTTGCTAAGTTATTGTGTGCGCGCACGTAGCCCGTAAAGTGTTGTACGTGAGTTGTGAGGTTGACATAAGCAAAAACCCATCATGGCTATGCAGAAAAACCAGCATGTTATCGTAGAATCCAAAGTTGGGATCATTGGGGCTGGAATTAGTGGGATTGCTGCAGCCAAACAGCTATCCCATTACAACCCAGTGGTTTTTGAAGCCAGTGATTCTATTGGGGGTGTTTGGAAACACTGTTCTTACAGTTCCACAAAGCTTCAAACCCCTCGCTGTGACTTTGAATTCTCAAACTTCCCTTGGCCTCAAAGAGATAGCTCCTCCTTTCCTTCCCACCTCGAGGTTCTTGAATACTTGCACAACTACGCCACACACTTTGATGTGTTGAAGTTGGTGCAGTTAAATTCCAAAGTGGTGCAAATTCGCTATGTTGGTGACCAAACCAACAAGTCTGAACTTGGCACGCTTCTCACTGGCCGTCCTGTTTGGGAGATTGCTGTCGAGAATACCCAGCTTAAGGCTCTTCAGGTCCCACATATCATTTTCTTCTTCTAACACATTTCACTTCAATATAATTTGACAAGTTCGCATGAATACAGATAACCTAAACATGCATGTTTCCTCGTGTTTTCCAGAGAGTTTAAGAAATGAACCATACCATCATTCATGATTTTACTACGTATATTTTGATTGATATACTGATTTAGTGTTATATACATATATTGGTGAACAGTGGTATGCTTTTGAGTTTGTGGTGGTGTGCATCGGCAAATATGGAGATGTACCAAGGATGCCAGAGTATTCACCAAACAAAGGACCAGAAGTATTCAAAGGCAAGGTGTTACATACTATGGACTACTCTAAGCTTGACAAAGAAGAAGCTCAAGAACTTTTCAGAGGAAAGAGAGTTGCAGTTGTTGGCTACAAGAAGTCTGCAATTGATTTAGCTATGGAATGCGCAGAGGCAAACGCAGGTAAATATACATATCATATTCTACGTAATGACAATAGAACTGCATCAAATATTTACTCCTCCAAGAAACACACGTATTATGAAGACTCTATTTCCGATGGTTGTTACACTGAGTCAGAAAGCTGAGGGGTCAAACTAAGGAAATGTCATCAAGATGCATGATTACGAAATCATGCATGTTTTCACGTCATCACCTGACTTGTTGACCTTTTGTCTACCTAATTTTTATTCTATAACAAAAATTAAAAAAAAAAAAAAGTCTGGACTCAGACTAATATCATGAGTATACTGTATATACTATAATGGGATAGCCGGTTTTTTTTCCCCCCCCCGGTTCCTTCTGCTTTTTAAAATAATTGGTTGGATTCGTTGAAGGATGCGAAGGGAAACCTTGCACGATGGTGATAAGGACTCTGCGCTGGACGGTTCCATCTTACTGGATATGGGGATTGCCGTTTTTTCTGTTTTATTCCACAAGGTCTTCTCAGTTTCTGCACGAAAGGCCTAATCAAACCTTGTTCAGAGCCCTTCTCTGTCTTCTCTCATCTCCCATGGTACACTAATTCACTTTGAAATTAATCCTCTCTGTCCACTTCAATCATATATATCAAAGAACAGCCTAACATAGTATTTTGTTTCTTCAAAATTGACAGAGAAAAGCCATTTCCAAGTTCATAGAATCATACTTGAGTTGGAAGCTTCCTTTGGAAAAATATGGGCTCAAACCAGACCACCCATTTGTGGAGGACTACGCTTCATGCCAAATGGCCATCTTGCCTGAGAACTTCTTCTCCGAAGCAGACAAAGGAAATATAAAGTTCAAAAGGGCTTCCAAATGGGGGTTCTGGAGCGGAGGACTTGAATTCGAAGATAACACCAGATTGGAGGCCGACGTGGTGGTTCTTGCCACTGGTTATGATGGCAAGAAGAAGCTCCAATCTCTACTTCCAGACCCATTTCGAAGCTTAATTGTGGACTCTTCAGGGATCATGCCTTTGTACAGGTAAGTAACTCAGATGAAAAAGATCAAACAGTCATCAAGTTTTTGAATTTGTCATATGGGTTTGCTAATTTGACTGTGTTGAACAGAGGAACGATCCACCCGTTAATTCCAAACATGGCATTTGTGGGGTATGTTGAAAGTGTGTCAAATCTCCAGACGGCAGAGTTAAGATGCAAGTGGCTGGCTAGACTAGCAGATGAGCAATTTAAGCTTCCAAGTGTGAAGAAAATGATTGAACAGACGTCTGAAGAAATAGAAGTCATGAAAAGAACCACTCGTTTCTATAAGAGACACTGCATTTCAACTTTCAGCATCAACCACAGTGACGAGATTTGCCAAGAGATGGGATGGAGCCATTGGAGGAAGACCAACTGGTTTTCTGAAGCTTTCAGTCCCTATACCAGCCAAGACTATCAGTGAATATAACACAAGACAAGTTGATAATCTTGTTATATTTAACCACAAGAATAAAACACAAGCTATAGGTATAGAACTTCCCCTTCTTCGTTACTCATTGTTTTTCAGCCAAAGAAATAAATGTACGTACTTCGTGCGTCTGTAATAAAATTGAGTTCTCCAGCTACTTTCACTTAATGTATACTCCTTCCTGTAGTAGTTATTATAAGCTTAAATAACTAATTCATGGATAATAAATAATTAGTTAAAAGCAATAAATAGGTTAGAAATATATTTTTATTTTTAAATATGCCCTTATAATAAATTAGAAAAAAGATGAAAAAAATATGTAGGGAAATGTATAAGAAAAGTCATGACAAAGGATAGAAAATAAATAATTAAGGGCAAAATTAGAAAAAATACATTAAATGTTAAAACAAATACTCTTCTGGTCCTATTTTTAAGGCAAAAAGAGAATATATTTTTTGATTCTATTTATAGGGTATTAAGAGGAACTTTTTACATGAATATACAATTTTACCCTTCATTTATTATTATGTTGACTTTGTTTACATGAGGTATAATGTATATTAAATAAGGATAAGGCTGAAAAGTTATGAAATTTTAAATAAGATTTAATAAGGTTTAAGATTTTTCTTAGTATGTATAAACTATGTTGGAAGTGACTTATAAATAGAACTATGAGAGTACTAAATTGAAACTTGTAAAATGAATCACACTATTTTTTTCAAATTTAAAATTTATAAATAGGATCACAAGCAGTAATTTATTGCAATTTTGTCATCAATGTTGTTGTCTCTCGATGCTTTGATTACTTATCTCGCTTCTTAATTTCATTATTTCAACCTAGGCGGCTCATGAAAACGAATGCTGGGAAGCGTAATGTGAATGCTGAAAGTCTTAACATTGATGACTTTCAGTCAAGATTGAAGATGAAAAAACTACTCCTCCGGTCCTTATTATAAGACCCAATTTGACTTTTTATTTGGTCCTAATTATAAGACCCTAATCCATTTTGTCTCTTATATTTATGCATTTTTTTTCAAGATAATCCTTCTAATAATGATAGTATTTTATAAATTCAGTGTTGTCACTACTAAATAAAATATTAATTACCAAACTTGATTTGAAATTTAGTAATTTTCAGGTGTTTTTTTATCATTTTTTTCTTTTAAGATAGTATTTCTAAAATCTTGATGATAATTTTCTTAATTGTTTTTTTAATAAATCCCATAGAATTTCAATAACAACTTTTAAAAATAAATTGCAGCTATACGAAAATTGGAATATTAAATGTACATTTTATTTCCCGGCATTTTCTGTGTTATATTTTCCTTCCTTTTTTCCCCTTCTCACCGTCCTCTTTTTTCTTTCTTTTAATTTGATCAAGGTTTTTTTTTTTAGACTTAAAGCGCAAAATTTTTTTACTTTTCCTAACAAATACGTTTCTTGATATTCAAAAGTTACGTTCTTTCCTCTGTAGGGAGTAAGCCACTCACTGTGAACCAACAGTTTGTTGTTTCCACCGTCTTCTTTTGTCTCTGGTTGTGATGATTTAATGGCGTGGTCCTGACGGGCGTAATAAAGTAAGGTCTGTAATGAGATGACCGATCAGAACTGCGACGTCCATACTTATCTTTTTTTTTTTTTGGTTTCCCCTTTTCATTTATCTCTTCTTCTTTTTCTTTTTCTTTTCATTTTGCAAATACTTTTAGAATAAAAAGTGGGAAAGAAAAGAGAGAGATCGCAATGAAAAAACAATATTCGTCTCATTTATTAGTGGCCTGCCGTTTTAGATATATTGCGAGCCTTATTTTATTAAAAGAAGAAGAAGAAGAAGAAAATGGAATTACAGCATCAAATCCCGCGGTCACTCAAACGGGTGGAAAAAGCAAAAAGATACCAAAGTTTTGATTTAACCAAAAATAATCAAATCCTTGTCACGCTAACCACTCCTCATCCATACCTTCAATGTCTCCAATGTCCATGCTGTTTTTTAGAGTCACGAAAATACGAAAAACAGGAAATGTGAAAACGACATATAAAAGGATTAGTGTGGATTAAACAAATGTAAGTAAAACCAAAAATGCATGCATTAAATCGTCCAGAAATTCTTGTATATTCCAATAAGTAACACGTCATTTGTGCGCTAAACCAAACCAAAAAAAAAAACTCTTAATCAGACATAGTGGGATTCATATCTTTCACATTTATCATAAGATTTATCTTTTTTTTTCCTTTTAATTTTATCCTGTACATTGCAATATGTTTTCTACATCCTTTTTATCAACCCTAGTATAACTTAAATAAAAGTATGCATGCGTTGTAAAATACTAAAAAAATGTAAAGCATAATTTTCAATTCTTAAAATCCAAGAACTCCATGTTAGGAATATATTTATTGGCTAGAACACAAATGATGGGGTGCTCTTAGAGTATTCAAGAATTTCTCCAAAATGGACTAATTCACGAAGTTCCAAAGAAAAGAAAATTCAGAAAGTAGAGATATTCTGGGTTTGTCAAGATGATGCAGCTTTAACAAGAAAAGCCCATAAGTTCTCTGACACAGAAACACTGTACGCTCCATCATCAAAATTTTTGGATGGAAACACGCACATTTTGAAGGACAAGTTTTTCAAAATGTGTTTGTTTCCATTCCAGAAACATTAGTATTTAATCAAACTGGTAAATAGCATTATTATTTTTCAATTAGCCATAGGAGCCGACAAAAATCCGAGTTAATCCGAAGGCTTTCAACTCCTGATAACAAAATGCACTTTAAAAAAAAATGCTAGATGCAATAGCATTCATAGATCACTTATCAAGTATTTTACCGCACACAAACTACTTTTTTCCAAACAGCTTTTCAAAGTGTTTGAACATAAACAGAGACCCCCAACAATCCCAAACATGCTCCATGATATTGATACCTGATAACAACTTAAGAACATTGGTCAATAACCCAGTGGAATATCCTAAAGGAGACGCATGCGTAGGATTTTCGTTTTGAAAGGCGACGATGATGAAGGACAGTAGGCCTGTTTAGCTTGGTTTCCTTTTACTGTTATCTGTTATCATTTAAAAAAAAAAAAAAAGCCGACGGGTAGACACCAAATATCCCAGGGAAAAAACAAAACTCACAGCAAATTATTAGCCAGGCAAATAAATATCATACGGAAAAAGATGAGTTGAGACCCAGTACAATGTCTCTTGCTTTGTTACAAAAAGACTCGAACAAACTACAAACTTCTTCCTTTTCCATAGCAACCAAAAGAACAAAGAAAGACTTCCTAATGAAATTTATTTATAAAATTCTAAAATTTGTGGTCAAACTTACCAAGGTAGGGTGGGATCTTGGAAGTAATCCTGTGAGCACTGCTCTAAGCAGCTTTCGTTTGAATTCAACCATGCTGGAAAGTCCATGACTTCCTCAAAAATATGGTATGCATCATCTTCAGGCTTATCATCAGTTGCTCCATGTTCCATGCTCTTCAAAAACTTAAACCACCATGCTGATGTGACCAAATTCATAGTGTCATTCCATTCCATTTGATATTGCTCTCCTACGGATCTGATCTCTGCCATCCCCTCATCGTCCAAGGCTGTATGCAGGCCCCCAGTAGCCTGGACAACAGCACTGGAATCAATTGTATGGACCGCTGCAGCAGTCTCCTCTCCCAGTGATATTGCGGCTAGAGGAGTTTCCTGATCAGTTGCAATAGATGGTGATGGAGAAGATGATGATGGAGACGAATACGAGTGTGATGATGTGTTGGCGTTGTCAAGGTAAAGGGTAGCATTTAAATTGGTGAAATCATGAACATTGAGATTCAAGCCCAGAGTCTGATTTGGAAGCATGATATTGGGGGTTTCGGGCACAAGGGATGGAGCAGTTGGAGAAGCGCCGGGGCAGGTATAAGAATTTTGCAATGACTGAAGAGGATGAGACAACGATGAATAAGAAAAAGCATCCATGTAATTTGAGAAATTAGTTGTGCATGATGGGTATGATCCAGGATTTCTCCTAGACTTGACTCTTCCATCTTGCTCAAAACTTGAGTGCTGCAGAGGCTGGAGGGATACCGACGGCTGTTGCTGAGTTTCTTGCTGCTGCTGCAGCTGCTGTTCACTAGCTTGTTTCATAGCAGCTCTGTGAAATTTCAGGGCAGTGACAATCTCCCTCCTGGCCTCTGCCATATTCAGAAGCCTTTCCTGGTAAGGCCTACTTGTGTGCAGCCTCCTCCTGACTTGTTTTTTATGCTGCTGTCGGGGTTGCGTGGGTTGCTTTGGCTGATGGCCATCAAAAACTCTCTCTTGTTTGGTTAACTTTCGAGCTTGGGAAGAATCAACAGCAACAGCACAATCTGGGTTTCTAGGGTTCATGGAGTCTTTTGTTCTTGAGGTGGTTAGCTGCTTCACTAGGTTACGGATATAAGCACCAGAGAGACGAGGCTCTTCCTCAAGGTTACAGAGTTTATCTAATTCCATTCCCTGTGTTTCTTTCCTTAAAAATGATGGATTCCTCAATACTATAATATGGTCTCTTCTATAAGCTTTGGTGTAAATAGAATTGAGAGGAGAGACCAAGGGCTGGTGGAATCATGGGTTATCTCCTGTAATTCTGAGAGACAAAGTACACAAAACAGAGGCAGAGGCAGATACTGATACAGAGAAGTCCTGGTCTTCTTGGATGGCCTCATGGATGTTATAAATAGTTGGGGACAACCTAGGGCTTTCAAAATATTTGTTTTTTTCCTTGTTTTGGCAAACTACTTTTGTTACCGTTTTTATTACCCGCTTTAAATGGATACTTCTAAGTGATGGCCTTATATGGCGTCTCCTTCTTCGACAAGAAGCAATATTATTTTCAGCATAACAAATTGTAATTTTGAACCACTCAATGGAAAGGGAATATGTACGTACATATGAACTATCAAAGAAAAAATCACATATCACACTAACATAATCAGTAAGAAATCAAGCATTATTGACAGAGTGGCAGGAACATCAGAGGACTAATCAACAACTGAGCAAATATATGGGAATGTAAAAGTAAGGGAATCAGTCTATAGTTTCAAACAGAGTATAATAGCCAGTAATTAGGGATAGAATTATGGACAGAATAGGCCATGGTAATAAGGAATAACCGTTAGTCACACAACAGCGGCCAAAAAGATCACTGCGCCCACATTAAGGGACATTATGATGAGGGGAAAAAATTATCCTTTCCAGTTTTTGATATATCTAAGAAGCTGGGAGGTGCAGGGATAAAAATTTTCATTCAGTGATTTCTTAATATGTTTTATCCATTTCCTTCATTCTATTATTATATAATCAAATGTCTTCGACGTACGTATACAATAGCATCATGTCTACAGGAGATAAATGTATTCAGGGAAGAAAAGCAAAAACCACAAAGAGAACTTGCACAGAACAAGTTGAATTTATGACTTGCTGATTCATTAACTAAAATTATGAATTTTCCAGTCTGTGGTTCTGTGCTCTGAAAAATTAACACTCACATAATCAATTCAAAACCACCATAACGCCCCAAAAAAAATTGTTCTCAGTCTCCTCACTGAATAAATGAAGATGGGATTGAAAACGCAGCCTATAATTGTTATAATACAAAGATATAACAGGAGAGACGATAAGGAAAAACAGAGGGTATTTATGACATTGAACAATTATTGGCATTTCAATTCAGTGGTACCTTGCCGGCAAGTACTATGGGACCAAAGCTACCTAGACGTCAGCAAGAGCCTATAGAGAATGACAGAAGAATCTCCATGACTGTTAAACCTTGTCTTTTTCACTATGTATGCTAGCAAAACACCATTTTCCCCGTTTTAGCAAGTTGAATAGCATTAGGATCGGTTCAGCAAACAGAGAACTTAGACCTTTTGAAATACAAGACAGAAACACTCCATACCCTCCTTGCCCTGCCTCTCCCCTGTCCCTCTAAACCATGTGCTAGCTCATGCTTTCCCTTGTATGATTTTTAAGTTCAATTATTTACATTGCAAAGACAGGGACATGGATTTTTAGACTTTTAACCATAATCTTCAGCCAGCAATCTACATAATGAAAAAGACATAGGAAAGAGCTGCGATTAATACTATACGTATTATGGGAAAGAAAGGGAGAATATACATATATAGAAACACAGTCGCATTTAGTATTAACAATCATAACAAGAAAAACTTCTACTAAACATAGTTATCAGGCATAAATTGTCTCAAGGAAACATACTCATCACCAAAACATGCGAAGAGAGATGAAGCATCCAAAATACAACGTAAAGTTATTTTTCCCTGAGCTAAGACTAGAATTAAAGGTGAAAAACATTAGAATTTCTCCCTCCCTACTTTAAAGTTTAAGTACATGACTGCAGGAGGAAAACACATCTGCACGCACGCACGCACGCAGAGAGAGAAGGATATTACGATTAGCCGTAGATTAACAGAAGAATTAGTTAAGAGATTGGAGCATCTAAACCCAAAAATTTAAATAGCATACCAATTATTTAAATTTAAATGTTTTAATTTCAGTACCACTGATGCAAACTCAAACCACATCACCACCACCCCTTTCAGATTAATGATTTATGACCTCAGTTTTTTTCCCCCCAGAAAGTGCTATTGGTCCAGTCACCTGAAAGACGACTTCAAAATGTTACTGTTCTCTTAATGTAGCCTCTGAACTCCACTACATTGCGAAGCCATGACATTATGGCTTATAAGCATGACTACGAGACAATGCAAGTTCCATACATCCTACACGATCTTTGTATATAATATAACTTGCTGATCAAAAGATTTGTTCTTTTACTAAGTTAGTGTGTAATAAGATCCAAAAATTTGTTTATTGTAATAACTATGTGCGTCATAGGATCCAAAAATTCACATCTAGAATATGACTTGCAGTCAGGCATTAAGTCTCGGCATATCAAAAATAGTTTATTTGGTTCATCAATAAGCTTAGAGAATAAATCATTGGTGAACCAAAAAAACCTATCTTTGAGGTGATGAGGCCTAAAACTAAAATTATATCAAAGAATAGCCAATAAGATTAGCTAAACTTTCATTGTTCATTTCTTTATCTTCCCCTGCAAGATGTGCATATTGGTATCCTCCAAAGTTTACCGTGGAAAGTCTTCAGCCAAAGATGTGATTATGGCAACAATCCTTTTTGACAAGATAAAGTTCAAAAGAAGAATACTAAAGCCGCGGCAGAATAATTTTTTTTTTTTTTTTAAACAGAGTTAGAGAGATAAGAAGGAAAAGGAAGTGGAGAGAGGAAGAGAAACAGGCCTCTTGTGGTTGAGTAAGCAGTGGATAACATCAAAGATGGATGGATATCATGGGCTTTCTCCTTGTCTCTGTGGTGTGAGAAAAAACCAAAGCAAAGCAGCCAAGTTGAGCCAATGGGAGAAGCAGCAGGTGCAGTTGCCCCTTTCAGATAAAATTTTAATTAAAGGAAGAAAAGAAGCCGCTTTTGGCGAATCGCAGACGCCCACATTCATCCACTTGCGTTTTGATTGCTTCTCTTCTCTGTTTCGGTCGAAGCCAAACCATGAATCCATTCCCTCTTCATGCACCCAAAGATAACCCTAATCATCCCTCCCACCATTTACGTGCGCCCGATTTCTTCGTCTCTGTCGCTCGCTATCCGCCTCATTGCCAAGTATCAGTGCAGTGGCAGTGATTATTGAATAACCTCATTAATTAGCATTCATATATGACGCCCCTCATATGCTGCGAAGTGAACCCCACTCTCATGGAGCAATAACCACCCTGCATCTTGTGTCCCTTTCGTGGGGTAACAGTGCGGAAATATTATATATGTATATATATTTTGCCAGAGCGGAAATTATAATTATGCTGAGTTCTTTAAAATGTTCAGTTTTTCCTCCTTGCCGCCATTTTTTGACCTCAACTGTAAATTGGGTCGTGAACATTTCCGGTCATTTCCTACCAAAAGCCACTGCTTTTGGATGGGCCATTTGCGGGTATGCGCTGTATAGTAAACCATGACTTTTTTTTTTTAACTTCGGAACTGTTGATTAAAGATCAAAATATGATTTTAAAAATAATTTTATAATATACGAGATAATGTAAAAAAAGTTTTGTTTCGCCTTACATTTAACTATTTTCAAACACCCTCTTAATATACTCATATTATTATGTTCATCATATGTATGTATAATTATAATGCTAGCCTGTACATTACATAAGTATATCTTAAATTGTTAAATTCAGATGCTTGATATAAGATATAGTTTATGATTTATTTTAAACTACAAACTAAATATTAAATGTAAATGGTGATATAAGGAGATAAAACATAAAGCCTCGGGCAATGCTCTTTTAGACATGGTTCAAATTCTCATAATATTATACTCCTTAAATTCTAAACGTAAGACTTATTTTAAATCTTATATTTAGGATTAGAAAAGAAAACCATATCATCCGAACCTTACTTCTTTGCTTTTTATGATAACACGTTCCTTTATGTGCCCTCTTTTCCAATCTTTGATTTGTTACTTAAAATGCAATCATATTGTGGCAATAAATTTGATAAAACTTTAATCTTTTATGTGAGACTTTATTAGTCATTCTAATAAAATTTAAAAATTAGTTAAATGTATTAAATATAAAAAAAATTAACAACTTCTTGAAACAATTTTTTGATTGGTATAATTAATTTAAAATTTTAGAGATTAAAACTAAAATAATATTAAATTTTATGATTAAAGATATTATTAACCCAAAACTTTTTTTTTATTGGTATAATTAATTGGAGGATGAAGACGAAAAGAATAAATAAAATGGAACATAGAGATTCATATATTTTTAAAAATATATTATGAGTCATTCATTAAATTTTATAAAAAAATGTTGGTTTAATACTACTTTATTTCTCAAACAAGTTATAATTTTAGGATAAAATTATTTAGACTAACTAAAATGAAGTCAAATCTTAAGAATTAAAATTATTAATTTAAAATTTTAGAGATTAAAACTAAAATGATATTAAATTTTATGATTAAAGATATTATTAACCCAAAACTTTTTATGCTGAAAATATATTTAAATAATTAAAATTAATCAAACAAAGGGAAGAGAAGGCGTATTCCCTGGATCCACCGCCTGCAAGGGCGGGCCGGACATGATGTGACCCCTTATAATCGGACGGCCAATCTTCTTCCAGCCGAAACTGCCGGACCTGACCCTGCCACGTGGCTCCAGTTTGAACACTCCAATGACATCGCGGTGTCCACGTGGGACGCTGCCCTGTGACGATATGCAAGCGGCTTGGTCACCCGCCCTCTCACCGCGATGGATTGATGAACCGTGACCGCAAAAACCAATATTTGTTTATTATAACAAATAATTCAATTAATTTTTTTAAATATAAAAATTAAGTCAAATTACTTAT